CCCAACAGGGTCGCTCATGAATCATTCACTCGGAAGGGGGGGGGGGGTAAAAAAGTACTGCGCTTGCAATACCTACAATGACCGGGTCAGATTGTCCCTATAATTGCCGCGTAACTCTAGAAACATAAATGAAAAATAAAAAAGAGAACAAAAATAGTACAATGGAGCCGATTAAAACAACACATGGAGGGAAACAAAATCTGGAGCAGCCGTGATGAGAGCTAGGTCAATGGCGGTAAACGGTGCCGGCGTTTAGTGCGGGGTGTCAAACAATACTTAATATACGGACGCGATGACACTTCTGGCCGTAAACAGCGCGATGACACTTCTGGCCGTAAACACAGCAATTGCATCTGCGCTCCGGCAAACCTAGTATATAAACACACAGGGGCTAGCGACCATGCCATTGCACTTAGCGGTCATGCATATTTCATGGACTTGAAGCTTTACCGGTGATGAGGATCATCAGGAGAACTGGTGTGATCATAAAGGATGCCTCGTAAAACAAATTAACAGCCCCGAATAATGCCCCACTTGAATTGTTTTGTACTCGTGAAATGTTCGAGTGCGGGACCACGTTATTTTTGATGGATTGTTATGCTGTAATCAAGTACTGAAAGGGAAACGATAATTAAGTGTGCGCCCTCAAGCGGTAGAGAGTGATGACATAAGCTTCAAATTTGAAGATTTTTTGGGTCAGCACAGAGCTTCACTATAAGTATAAGTGCTTAAAAGTTTGCTAGGCAGAAATAATTTAACAGCCAAAATGTCATACTTTGGAGGGAATCCGTTCTTTCGCTGGTGGAAATTCGAAAAAAAGGAAAACGGGCCGTTCGCATTCGGTCTACACGCCCCATTCGAACTTGGGCCGAAATGCCACCAGAAAGTTTTCTGTGCATGTTTCACCACCGATGCTAATTTTTAATGGCTTTATTATTTCCGCCGCTGTTTTGCCGGATCTATTACACTCGAGTTAATTCCTATAGATGTCTTTTTAATTGTGTTATCACTGGACTCAAAGTGGGCATAAAAATCTCGTTTATGTTTTGGTGAGATCGCTTTGTGTGGTCGGTTAACAACCCGGGGTGTTTGGGTGTATAAAGATCCTCATCCACACGCAGCTTGTGTGGTTGATGAGGAGGCATGTGTTTATTGATAGCCCTACCGTCCAAAGGCGCTCTCGCCCCGTATTAATCACGTTTGCTCTCCTGGTGATTACTCGTACTTCCCGGAGAAGAAAAAAAGAAAGATAAGTAGATCGTTCTTCTTTCGGAACCGTTTACACCTTGTGGCATGCCCAGTCGGCCGATTCAAGGATTTATTGTTTGGGTGACCCCCACCGAAAATAATCAAATCATATACACATCGACCCAAATGTACTGTCAAATTACACGCATAATATAAATGTTGACATTAAATAGCGGCCGCGCAGCGAAAAGGGTCACGTGGCATAGCTATATGGTTACATGAATGTTAGGTCGGTTATGGATGTTGGAGCATTACAGAAAATGAGAATAATAGACGAACAAGACAAAAACGGAAATCGCTGCTTTCAATGTAGATTATTCAAGATGGCTGCCGCACCATAACTATATAACCCTTCATGAATTATTCAAAAGGACTGTGCTTGTTATCTTGAACTCATTAACACGTCAGTCGTAATAATTGATTCTGCGTCATGAGCTACGTCACGACAACGAACCAATTAACATCCTCGGGTTGTTGCTGCAAAGCCATTGCACTATGATTCGAGCAATTTAATTGGTTAATAATCAGAGTCGCTCCGATGACGTAGTGGATGTTATCACACATTCAACCCGAGATAAATCATTCATCGGAAAGTCCGTGTCGAGAATTGGACCAACGGCTTTTACCACAGCGCGTGATTTATCCATTTAAAAAAGGCGCGAAAATATATATTCATTTCACCCGTCAATCAATCACGGGTTTGGCGCCAAAATGATATTACAGTGAGATACTTCCCGCCAAATTTATTATCCTTACGAACAAATTAATTAACTAAACTTAAATATAATACCTATCATTGCTTGGAGAGGTCAGTTCGGCCCAGGCATGCAGTTGACTGCCAAAAAAAAAAGTAATAACGGAAACGTAAACGGAAAATCGGAAAACTAACAAACACGCCCTTTTTAATCAAAGTGCAATGAAATTGTTTTAGCCGGGTTTTTCAACGCAACACGAAAGAGCCGTCGCGTGCGCGTAAAATACGGACTCCGATGCTCTCAACGGTTCGGCAAATGTTTGGGAAATTGACTTTATTTCTGGAATTTGTACAATTCAGCCAAGTCGGTGCTGTGTTTGCTTTGATTTCGCCCAGGCTGTTTGCTTGCTTTTGCTCGCCATATTTGCTTTTATTGGCCAAATTTTTGTCGGCAATGCGCGTGGCGAAGCTTGGCCTAAGTAAACGAGCGCTGTCATCATTTCTCCACGGATCGGCTTAATTACAGGGCCAATATGTCCCGTGATTGAGGCTTTGACCTAATTTCTGAGGAGAAAAGAGAGCGAAACAAAAATACACAAAATGGAATTTTTTTTACAGTGACTCCATTTTGAGATATAGCAGCTGTATCACACATGACTAGGGAGCCGGTATGAGGTTTATTTTCTTAAAGTGATCGTAAAGGGTTTTTTTTTTTAAGAAGAAATAAAAATCAATTTCGAGCACAGTTATTTTGTCTTCTTATTGGTCCTTTTGCAGTTTCGTAGCCCCATTTCATGATAGATCTGTAAAGTTTCATGACTGGTTGTGCGCCACTGTCTTGTACAAAATGTCTGGACAACCCAAGCTTTTAGGAACATCAATCTTATTCAAATTATGACCGTTTATTTACCAATCTCTCTGCTAAAATAACTGTTTTTACAGTAAGTGCTTGCTGAGGTCTTTTTTCCTGCCCTCAGTTCGCGGAGTCGGGATCGCGCACCGCAACTCACCAGGGTATTTATTGGGAGAACTTTAGCAAATGAGCCGTGAAGAGCAGGCAAGACTGACGCGGTGAAAGTTTAGTTTCTTCCGTGACTTTGGGTGTCTCGGGGGGTAAAAACCGCGCCATCTCGTGGCGTCTGCTAAGTAGCTGACCCCTGACCCCGATGTGAAGTCATACTTGTCAACTTGTCATCGTGGCTTTATTAGACAAGAAAAAGGCGCCAACGACCCCACATGCATTCCGAAAATATGGAGAAAAATATGAAATGATCGTGTCATGGGTTGACACCTTGGGTGATATTCTTGACAAATTTACTACGTCTGCACACCCTTTTCCAGTAAATATTGTTAACGCTAAAATGATTTGGTGGTCCGATTTTCTTTTGCAAGACATGTCTGTTCTATTTCTTTTGAATTTATTGCCTCGTGTAAGTTAAAATTAACAGTGAAGAATTATTCTCATGTCGTGAATCATCCGATAGTCTAGGAAGAACCTCACTCCGCCGACAGAGGGCGCTTAGTTCAACCTTGCTATGAAGTTATAGGAAAGCGTCTACCAGTTATAGATATTGGTGTGTGAAACGTTAGGATTTTCTTTGTGGTATTTATTTTTCTAATAAGGGAGATGGCACTGATAGAGGGAAATAGTGAAAAATTGAGAAAGATTAGTCTGAGTATCAATTCCTTCGTTATTTCAACAAGCCTGTATTTTAAGTCAGTTTGTTAGGCATTTTCTGCTTCAAGGTGCTTTCTAATCAAAGAACGTGCAACGTTGTTATGAGCTACAAAACCACACCCCCTTCCAAGCTAGCTCAAGCCGCACCCACTCGAACGGGTTTCCAAGCATTGAACGCATCAAAGTGCACACTACCCATCCAAACCATTACAAATAAAAGGTTCTGCCTTATTTCTCTCATATTTCCCACTTCCGAAATGTGCCTCTCGCTGCACATTTTGCACTTAGGCCGCTTCCGTTTCAAATTGTTTTTATACGGTCATCGTTTTATGGGCGCGTGCAATAAATGAGCGGTAAACGGTTAGAGTCGCGTGTTTTAGCACAATCAATCCGCCGTGGTGCGTGATATGGCCCGGCCCAATGATGGCTGCAGCACGTCTGGACAAATAAGCAGACGAGAGGCGAACCGACGCCTGAATGATGGACGCACGCTGCCTGGCCTGATACATCACCGTAGTCGGTCCTTGGTTTAAAGATCTGTTTCTCATCGCTTGGCTTGTCTGAGCCATCACTTCCTGAACTGTCTTCTTTTCCCCTTAGTCTATCACCCATTTCAACCCCTTTATGTCTTTTAATAGTTTCATTTAAAAAGAAGAAGAGATGATTGTGTGCTTCCGATTGATCGATTGCATTTAGCGGCCATGTTTGAGGGTGTGTTGTTTTGCTACTGTGGATTCACTATTAACAATGATTGTACAAGAGTGTATCCCTGGCCTGTTGAACAAAAGCTCACACCTCAAACATGGCTGCAGTGCAAACCATCTATTTGTAAACTTGCCCTTGTTCATGTCCATATTGCAAACCTACCAGTCTCATTTAAACTAGTGTATAAACCTGTACCTATACCTTATACCAATGTCATTTGTTCTTAAGCTGAAAAGATAAAATGAAGTTAGACTGGCAAGTGACTTATAATAGCTGTATACCAGTCAACATTTTTTTTAATGTACATGCCATTTTTTGTTGGTTACTTTTTTGTTTGTCTCTCGTGAAAATTTCTCTTCTTTGGTGCGATCGTGAAATTTAATTTATCATGGACTCCTCCCCAGGGCTGTCTGTACTATGATGAGTATCTACATGCCTCGTACGCTACTGTATCATCTGTTTGCCCTCACGGGTAGGGTGCTCATCTCATGGCTCATGGGCAGACTGGCAGTCTGTTACTGTCCTCTGTCCGTTGTTTCAGTTTACACGTTCGTGTGTCTGTGTGTTTGTCAATTCTGGCACTGTTTCTGTTCAAGCATTGTTGCATTCTCTGTAATGTTTGACAAATCTTGTGTCTCAATTGTCTTGTCTTTTCATCTTGTTTTTTTCCTGCAGTGATGTGACCATGGTGAGTGCACATGAAAGAAAACTGCAGAAGTAAGTAATCATGTTTAATCTATAAATGAAATGACTTTTTTGCATTCAACGTTTGCGTGTATACCGTTCACTGTACAATACATGCTGCTTGTTGCTCTGCGTTTAAAGTGAGGCTCGTGCCAAATTTCGTCCGGTGCCAATTACGTAGTGACCCGTTCAACTGCGATCTTTAACAATGTCCTCAGGATACCAGACAAAGATGTATACCGTGTGAGAAAAAGGGATTCTCTTATCAAGTCCCGCTACTCGACTTGAAGTTGCCCGACTACTGGTACGGTAAGAGCCTTTTACGAAGCACACATCTAATCAATCAGTCATTTGTTACCAAAGCAGAGTGTCTGAGGTGCTCTAAGGTATCTCGATACGGCCCACGGGGACACGGGTAGCGGCCGGTTGAACCCCAAAGCTGCTTGAGCTATACCCCCAGTATCAAGAGCCAATCGATGTTGTGATTTAAACGGCTCGAACTCCACTTTATTTAGACACTAGACCCTCTTGTCACTGAGAGCCCATCTCCCGACTAATCGTCCAGCGCCTTCCGTTGGGATAATTGTCTCTCATAAACAAGCAATCGCTGAACGATTGGCTCAGCGAGCTGTGGAGAGTAGGGAGTTTTTGCCTCGGCCCACAAGCGCGCGGCAGTTCACGAGGTAAAACATCTTATGCGACACAGGCAACGCGGGTAGCCAAGGGTGCTAAGCGATCTGAGAGTGAGATGGATGTGATTAAGTATCGGATATGTCATCCGCTAAAGTAGAGACCCCTTCGCACAAATTCAACTGGTCTTTTATTTTATGTACAAAAAAAATGGCGCGCGCTCGGTTTTAAGGAGACTAAATTGAGGTTTAATGAATACGGTTCTCTTTATCAGGCCGCAGTTTGGCGGGAAAAAAAGGAGAGAGACCGAAAGAGAGAACTCCCGTGATTGCGTCAATGGGGGATAATTTGAGACGGTTTTTTAATCCAGGCCGTCCCTGATTGATGAGGGTGGGAATTAAGATTACAAAACTTCAAGGTTCGGACCTCAGACACAAAACGGGGGCAATTTAATTTTTGATTGGAAATAATTTCGCGAAGGTCAGCGAATGCTTGGGTTTTAATGGCGACTAAAGACCGAAAAGGGGAGAGTACTTTCGAGTAATTATGAACAAATTTATGAAATAAAATCGCCGCGTGATTGATGTTGCCGTGTTTCGTTTTAAATGAAAAAGATTGGTATATAACGTTGGCTTGAGTTTCGAATCGTGTTCAGGACAAATTTCCTATTTCTAATCGAAGATAGATTTACTCCGAGTCGCCGATTTTTTCCCCACTATTGCGTTTTTTTTCATGAACTTGAAATACACATGAAACAGAGCCAAATTTTCCTCGAGGAAAAATTAACCTTTAAAAGACGGGTCTTATTCATCACATCTGGAGATTGGAAACAATAATTGTGCCAACAATTTCTGTTGATTCGACAAAGAAATTTGTCAGAGCCGTTGCGCATTCCTTATTTTGCGCTCGGCATCTTCTCACAATTGGTGCGTGTAATAGCATTAGTTCAGCTTCACCAATGCCCACTCAACACAAACCCAACTTTTTAGGGCACAAAAACTACTTTTGTTTTGCCTGGCTATATACCCTTCATGTTTGTCATGTTCAAGGCCTTTTAATTCATTTGTTATCTGCACGAGTTTGTGGAGGGAGTCTTGCCAGCAATCAATTTCCCCTCCCTTCGAGCTTGGCAAGTCGTCAGGACCGTGATTAAAATCCTCTCCTGAGCGGAGCAGTGAGCGTATAGCCCCGGGGCCCCAACGGCCAGGGAACGGTCGGCGATGATTGCCGGTGCCCGCCTCGTCAATTTCCGCACTATCTTCCCGTCTTTTACCGTTGATGACCCAATCACTCACACAATTCGTGTGCGGATTCAACCCTTAGCGAGCCAGGAAATTATCACAGAAGAAGACAGAGAGTGGATTTTTTTTCTCCTTTCTGGAGATGCTGGGAAATCCAGACCAAGAAAGTGGAGTGGGAATCATTGGAATTACGACTAAGTGGTTTTTTTTGGTCAACATGTTGTCGGTTTTGCGAATTGTTGGTTTGTAACTGTTACGTGACGCTCATTGCCATTGACGTTCATGTGGTGCACAAAAATAAGACTTGCAAATTTTTCACTGGTTTGCTTGTTCGTTGTTTGAAAGTTGTTTGTTTTGTTTGATAGTTGTTTGTTGTTTGATGGTTGATTGTTGCCGGCCGTTTTGATATCTAAAATATTAAATGATAAAAGGAACTTGAGCAGGGATTTCGCGACTTGGTCGACTACCAGTGCGCATGCACAAAATGAAAACTTATGCCTATAGGCCTACGTATGTCTTTTTTATTTCAATTCCAAAAACACGGTTACGGCTCCTTAAAAGTGCGTTCAAATCAGACTTTGGTGCACAGCCATTTTTAGTGTTATCTATAGTTACATGTTGTCGTCTCTCATTAAAAATATAATAAATATTAAAAATACACTATACAATACACAAAGAAATTGCACATTCACAACACCAAACTTTACTGCACGCAATAAAAAATATCAATTTTAGATAATAAAAAACTGTGTAACGACTGTAAAAACTCATTCCCCCTAAGAAAACCAGTAGATAGGAGTAAAAGTTATGCAAAAACTGTAAATCACAGTCCTCTTTAAAAACCAATAATTAATACTTCAAAAAAATGCCTTGTAAAAGCATCATTATGACATTACAATGCATCTTAACCTTTGTCAAATGTCAATTTGAACAAAATTTGCTCAAAAGAAATGTGCACCATAATGAACAGAGGAACCTTATCTCTAAAAATGCAAACACTGTCAGGTTGTAATTTAACCAGTTACCATTATTTGTTCGCGCCATAAAATTAAAAGCCAAGTACCGAGGCAAACCATGAAGGAGTGAGATCATACTTTGTCACTTTTCATGTGTAGGCCTAGCATCGATTGTTTTTGTGTTCCTTGCCAAACTTTCTCATAGTTACAATTTTCAATAGATTCCACCATCGATAAGTCACCATTTTCTACACAGCGCCCCTTTAAACACACACTGAAAGACAAAAAGACCAACACGTCCAAACAAAGACTAACAAACCATCGCTTAATCTCAACCCATCACATCCTAATGCGGAAATCATTTGTATGTTATTAGAGGGTATACACACTCGCCCCCATAATCATCGAGCGAGAACAGTTAGGTACCTGTCAGCGGCCCGCGCATTACGGTCCGTGCGCCCCCGTCAGAGAGTGCAATCCTCGGAGTTCAGTTTACATTACATGCGTCCCGCACATTTTTTTGGTACAAATCCAGCAGCGTGCACGGGCTTCTAGCGTCACCGGGGATTCCAAGCCAGTTGCCCCGTCTCTCCGCCCCTCTCTCCCTGGCGCCCTAATGACACCTAATACAAACTAAAGTGACGCGATTAGGTAAACTGTATGACACGGTGCATATCATCTCAAATACATATTAATCATGATATGACAAAACAGCTCTCAGCTAAGTGTGAAAACAATGTGACGCTGGTTGGACTGGGACACTGTACTTGTTGGGTTGCTTGACGATTTTGTTTTCTTTTCATTCGTGTATATACATAGAAACTATGATTATAAAACTGCAGTTAGGCCTAATTGTGTCTACTTGTCTTCTAAAGATTTTAAAGATCGGTGCCTTTTCTCCGACGTCGGCGTTAATTACTCCGAGGGATTGATTTCCGGTGACTGCATAAAAAAAAAAATGAAAACCAACATTTGTAAAGTCCTTCCCAACAACATGTTTCAATTTAGAAACAAAACCCAAGATTCAGATAACAAAGAGAGAGTGATACCTATTTATGGACGCAAATTCTATGGAAAATTATTTTCCAAGTACATGAAAAAAAACAGTGTCCACTAGTACTCAGGAGTGCGCCCTCTTGTGAGTCAGGTATACCGTTTCTCATTTGCGTAAACTTCAACAGGTTAACACAATGGTCGGAAACAAACAATTTTCAAAGAAAATAATTACAGTCCAATTATGATAATTATGAACTAGTAAAGTTTGCTAAAATTAATAGGCCTGTTCCATTTTTTGCCATTTCGGTGCAGACTTGGAATTCCACACAAACCTTCCTTCAACCCCCTTTCGCAAACAGACTTGTCTCAAATAATTATTTGATTTTATTTGAAACAATTGTGTAATTAATGATGACTCATTAATGATTTACATAGCACATGCATATCGGACTCAAATTTTCACGGTGCAAGATGACACGACACGAAATATCAAACAGAATCCTCCCAGCAAGTTTTTGAAACATCTCTGGTGTCAACAGAGGGCGCACTTTACGATAGACGGCGTGGAATTTATCGGTCGAGAGTAGATTTTAATCATTGAAATTCATTGGCAAGGATAAAATCATGTGAAGATTTGTTAAAGTTACCTTTTATCTCCCTGGATGTTAAAAATATAGATTTAATTTTTTTAATTTTTGTTTTCACAGGAATCCCCTCCCCGAGGAGTAAATTATTTTAATATTCTTTGAATTTTTTTGGGGGGGGGGTCCTCTTTTATTTGGTTGACAAACAGGAATTTGAAACATATTAACAGCAATTCAAATTTGAGCCAAAAATAAATTTACACTCGTGGTCTTAATTTACACAAAATGTGACTTGAATTTATTTGCAATCATTGCATTTACATCCCATTTTAAATGCCTTTTCCCTCACAGAGCTTAAATCAATAATTTAACGGTTGTCAGTACAAATATTTCTGTCTGAGAAGTAAATACAAGTCTACGTTTGTTCTGATATAATCAACACATAAACAGGAACACATATGCTATATATACAAAATAAAATCTGAAAATGGATGAAACTTCGACTCAAGGTGAAACAAATTAATATGGGCTCTGTATTCAAGCAAAGTACATGTACATACATGTCCGTGCACTGAAGAGAGTTTGTAGGCTGTGATACAATCAATGTACATGTAGTTCATTTTATGACTGATCAAAAATTTCATTTATTATGAATACTAGTCAAAAGACAAAAGCGTGCAAACCTAACGTTACGATTGCACTGATTTGAATGTCTTCAACCTTCTTTTTTACATCAGTTGTTGATTATTTGCCCGACAGAGAAATTTTTTTTTTAATTTTGAAGAGTCTAGACTACACAATAGTCACTCCAGTGCAACAATAAATGAAGTTGAAAAAACTTTAAAAGATAAGGGGAATGAAAGGAACTTATCCAACTTTGTATCAAAACAAATGAATGCCTTTTTGAGCACATACATGTTTTCATTTTTTTTTACCAGAACATACATACAAATACATGAGATTGCTGCACTAGAGTGATTTTGAACTAAAACAAATTACTACCTTTCGAAAGCTTGACTTTATGAATGTCAAAATCAAAACACGTTATCTGAAATCACAAACTACTAAATAATGTACGAGTACTGTACTTTAAAAAATATATCAAAATAAGACTTAACCAAAAATATTAAAATGTTTTCACACAATTTTGAACATATGAATGAAAGAGCCTATCTTGTCATGACCTTTGTAGTAATTATCTTGACCTTTGTTAGAGTTGATGCTCTCAATTAACCCCTCAAGTTATGCAAAGCCACGGCCCTCCTTAAAACAAAGTTGTCCATGTTTCACACACCCAAAAACAGGATATTTTATCCCTGACCCGTGCCAAGTATTTTGTCAGAACTCTGCTGAAACCAACAGCTGTAACGGAAAAATATTTTGGTTCACACTTCAGACCGACAAAATCCAGCAGAATGTTTTATGTTTGGATCTTGTAAGGCGTAAGTAGGGTTAGTTGTTTTTCATATGAAAAAGGCAGAATTCTGCACTGTTTTTTAAAACTGATATGGGTACTGAAAATACTTTGGGAGATAGCTTTCAGTCTGACATTCATACGATGCAGCTTGAAAATGTGCCATTACTGACATTTCAAAAATCAAACTTTGTTAATTTCAATTATTATTTGGATATCGTCTGAATTCTTCACTATTTAAGGAATACATCTAATTAAGATACTGAATACTTCTCCATTTGCTCCTTTTTTGGTGAGAAAAACTCCACAATTCCAAAAGAAGGATTTAACTTTTTAGAATGTTTTGATTTCTTCTGTGTTTGGAACTGCTTTCATGTTTTTATTGATTGAATATTGGCCAGTGTAGGACATATATGTAGTTAGCTTTTCTGCATCAACACACACACAGTATCACACAAATAATAATTCTTAACTTATAAGTTTCCTATTCTCAATTTTATACTCGGTAAATATACAGCTTAAACTTAAGTGGATGGAATTTTCAAAAATTGGTTCTTCTTTTTAAAATGTAAGTACAATATTGAATATTTGGCTTATTAATTAAATAGTGGAGTCCATTATGACTATCTTTTTGTTCTATGTACGTTTTATAACTTGTCAGGGGACTGGCATGGCTAAAAAAAGTTCAATTCTAATTTAATATTTTGCACTTTGGTCAATTCCGTTGAAGGCTCTAAGAACTAAAGTAACTCCCCTCCCTACACAATAAACCCCTCTCACTTTTTGGCAATCCCAATATAATCCTAATTTTACAAGGAACCACCCCTAATCCTCCAAAATCCAAACGCTGTATGGTTACCCAACAAAACATTCCCTGTCCCCTAAACAAAAATGCAACATTCACTCCTATGTGGAGCCATGCTGTCAAGGCCCTGCAGTCCCACATCTATCAAATTCTATCAAAACCAAACATAGGATTTTGGAGCATTTGGAATGGCCTAGGACTTAAGTTAACTTCACAAACACCTAAACGTGTCCACAATTTACAAAGTTCCACCGACAAAAAAAATATAAAGCTCTGTGTACATGGGCAGTGGTAGTTTACTTGTTGAAACAAATATAACCACGCACGCACAACTTTTTTTTTACAAACCCACACCACAGTACATGTATAAAAGGCACGATATTAACCAATAGATTTGGTTGATATTTATAATCGATAACCCGAAAAGTAAATATGCAAAACAGTTCAAAGTTGGTGGTATTCAAATTATTCGGAATAGCCATGTCAAATTAGTTTTCAAAGAAATTCTGATCCACCCATAGTTTTGATGTAGAACTTTTTGATGAATTTTAAGAGAAAAGGTGTAAATTAAAGGTGGGACCAAATAAAATTATAGCATGTATGCAGTGCTAGTGCTTGGATTGATGGGTGAGCAGGCCATTTCGAGAAAAAAATAATGACACCGTAGTCAAGGCACCGTGATTCATTTGTGAAATGAACAAAATGCAACAAATTCAATAGTTTTTGTGTATGCTCAGTACATTTCAATCAAAATGGTTGACTGTCATTTTCTAGAATGCCTGTAATGTCTTGGTGTCTTATGAAGTGTCAAGGGGGCGGGGAGGCAGAATTGTGTCATAATTTTTTTTATTATATCGTTCTCAATCCAACTTCAATTTCTCAAGGCTAAATTTTAAAAGTTTATCTCCCCCCGCAAAAAAAATAAAAAAAGTACAGGTTGGTCCCACGAATCAAGTGTGGTTACATACAATTCTTGAGTATGGTACCTTTATTTCTTGACAAAGCAACTAACATTGACCGTACCATACAACTAACTGTATTGACAGCACTGACCATAATATTTAGTTTATTTCAAAAGCAAATCATTTTGAGCAGGAATATGTTTGTCTGAATTCACAATTTGAATCGTCTCTTTGACAACTGCCACGATGTAAAACAGGCATAATGCATACTGTTTTCAACTTTTGACAAACGTTAAATGTGCATGATGCCTGTCCCACAATATGGCGGTTGTCACAAAAATGGACTGTAAAATACATTCTAATGCTCCCAAAAGATTGGCTATTCAACTTATGGCCAGCATTACACCACGTCCAAATTCAATGGCTGCGGCTAGCGGTAACACACATAAGTCAGTCAGCCGCTTCCATAAGCCCAGGTGTAATATCAAGCCGTAGCCAAGCAAATTCAGATGCGGCTTTTAAAAGACAGAAAATATATAGACAGTGCCCCATGACAGATAGAAACAGAATCCCATTAAAATCAATACTACAATCCCTCGAAAGGGATGGGGTACCACTCACCCACTGTGTTATCAAGTCTGTCCTTAACACGGATCCCATCTGCGTAACTCAAGTCGATACAGTTAGTCTTGTTTCAAGCCTGAGTGCCTATCGCAGGGTGAAGCGGACAGATAAACAGTCTCTAGATTTTGTTGGGTTTCGTTAACATTCCATTTTCCCGATTGACTACTTCTTTGATCCTTTCTTTGTTGTCACGACGTGCTTAAAGACCCAGTCAAGACCATCCTGCAAAACAAAAACAAAATAGAATGCTAGATGTGAATAACACATTTACAATTCTTTCAAATCTTGAAAAAAAAGGAATGTCCACGACAAAGCCAATTAACTATGATATCTAGTTAATTATTGAAAGAAATGATCTCAAACTCATTGTTTATATAACCTCCTTGATCTTTACTAGATGATGGACGTATGAGATTTGAAAAACACATTTTCAGGTTTATTTACTGAGCTCCTTAAATGAAAAAAAGAGAAAGAATTGTCTGATTTGTAATGTCCGTGATGCTGGAATTGCCTCATAGGTGTCCTGCATACTGCAAGATTCTACGGGATTCAGGAGTTTCTTGGAATTAACCCTAACCCCCTTAGCCCTTTTTGCTAGGAACCATCCTCACTCCTCCAAAATCCTCCAGAATGTTGCGCTTACGTTCAAATGAGGGATACCCAGTGCCTCAATCCTTCAAAATCCTCCAATAGCCCACCCCTGTCTCTCAAAATTCATTCAGCCTCAATCCTCCAAAATCTCCTCTTCTTCAAACACCATGCAGCCTCAATCCTCCAAATTCAACCGTAACTGAATGTCCATGTGTCCTCAATCCTCCACAATCCTCCAAAATTGTATGTTGCATTCAGCCTCAATCCTCCAAAATCCTCCAAAACTGCCCGGAGGACTTTGGAGGATTGAGGACGGTTAAGATTAAGGTTAGATAACAAACCTGTAGCCCTTCCCCGGTTAACGCCGAGCACGCCTGAATCTGCCAATCTCTGTCCCTGATCTTTGTAAGTTCCATCGCCGTTGATATATCGCTAGCCGAAGCTGCCAGCGCCAGATCTTGCTTATTTGCATAGACGAGAACGGGCACGTTGGCCAACTTTTCCTCTGATAATAAGGTGGCTAATTCCTGCAAGACAAAAAAATTAAAAATTTATTTGGGGAATATTGAAACACTTTATGCTGGCAGGTATTCTAATCGTGTCCTGAAAATCTCAATCCTGGAAGACAATGGAAAACATTGGATTGAGAGTTTCAATCTTGATCTCCATTTTTCATGAAGCAATTGGCATGTCAAAAATTGCGGCAAATTTGATGTGCTCGATACTTTGTCAAAACATAGACGATATATTGTATTTGCAATACAGTAAATAATTTTGTAATACTTGTGCATAACTTTTTGTAATTTTTATAAAAAGGGTCAAATATGGACTCTGGTTCCCAAAAATCTATGATGAGCGGCAGTCTTCAGGACTCACCAATGAAGTTTCTTCAAGTCTCTCTGAATCGGAGCTGTCAATGACGTAGATTAGTATGGATGTGTTGTCGAAATAATTGGCCCAGTATGGCCTAATCTTCTGCTGCCCTGTAAACAGAAATCAAACATTCAGGAGCATTATAGATGAGACGTTAGCATTATAGATGAGACGTTTGCAAGTTTAAAACAAATATTGTGTCACTTGTCCGTTTAGAGTGAAAATTTCACATCTGAACTTTATACATTGATGCACATAGCAGGCTCTTTTGCCAGAAGTAACTAACTTGGTTACGGACCTAAATGTCAGGTAAAAGGTGTGTTTTGAGAGTTTCCATTTAAACCACAACACTTGTGCGCTGTGCACCCCTAGACACAAGAATACAACATCTCTAACCCTGCCAGATGCAACAGGTGTTAAGATCTGTGGTACCTTGTTGCATTGGGCTATCAACACCAGTGCATAAACGGCCTAATCTCATACACCGGTAGTAAAACCTAGTTCCACATCGACATTAAGCTTATGTAGACTGCGCAGAACCATCAGCAAAGTTGGACCGGGTTCAACTTCGCCGATGTTCTGTGATATAGTTTGCGTCTGTCGGGGTTGTCGGTGACATTTGCTGATGAAATGTTTCCATATGTCTGCGTTACAGTTTGGGTCTTGTTTGCGTTGCTCTCTGCGTTTCTTACCTTGATATAGAAACTAGGCTTTTGTTCCATTGGACACTGAAGACTCTGAGGCAGTTTGGCCTTAAAATTTCTGACCTGTTGGATCTAGTAACACTGGGCAGTCTAGTCAATTACCCTGGAAGGTTTGATTGACATATTCATGGCTTTCTACGACAGCTCAACTCACCCCCAATGTCCCAGACATTCAAATGCCAGTTGCCAGTCTTGACCGTCTTAACATTAAAGCCTTGTGTTGGGTTGATGCGAGAGATATCCTCTGACGCAAGTTTCTTCAAGATGGTCGTCTTGCCGGCATTGTCTAGACCCAGGAGAAGGACACGTAACTCCGTCTCATGCTTGGTCTTGAGATTGCGTAAAAGGTCCAGTAAACCCTGTATGAAACAACATCATGTTTGTTAATGTTAGGCCTATAACGTTAGTTACGTTCATATGATGAATTTTTACCCCTTGGAAGAAACTTTTAGCTAAAATTTAATGATAAACATGTTCTGAAACGGACTGAATCAGCCATAAACCCCGCCCACTTTCCATGGGATGGCATTGGCCATACTGCATAGACCAGTCGCATGTGTCAAGCGGTACATGGGTAAAAGATCATCCATACATACTTAGGCCTATCGTCTGATTTGTCAGGTTTTTGTTGGACATTTGTTTCTGCAGTCACACACGGCTGTGATTTGGTCAAAATGTCGGTTCCAAAATGTCATGCGGCCATGGCGGCAGGAATAATGGATCAGTCTACTCGACATGATGCCATAGTCGATAATTTTACCAATTTACACTAGACTGAAAATAAGCAGTGAACGTGGCCTACATTCCACAAATTGGGGCGATAAACAGCAGGCCAAATGCAGTGTACATTTTTCTTGCTCGGCATTAATTCACCACTGCATACTGTCCACTGACTGATTCCGAATTCCGTTCACCATGCATGACGACTGACGTTCACAGTTTAAAATGGCAATTAAAATTCATGTAAACAATTAAAATATTACACTCCATAAATTGAGATACTCATCCATATGACCTAAATGATCGAAATACTCACCATTATGACTGAAAAATAGCTCTTCTAAGTGTTATTTTTGAGAGAATAATTTCTGCTGAAGCACGGCGTGAGCACCGACTATATACCACCGCTGCATGTAACTATGTGCGTGTGACGTCACGAGCTTGCAAGCAATGACAATTTTTCCCACGATTGCTTCGGAACTAACAATGGTAAATAATTAACTGAGCCATAAAATATGATAATTTACATTAAAAATATTATTATGTATCATAATATATCTTAAGTACATTTTAATTTGCATTCATTATGCTTAATTTCCAATTTTAAATGTTCTTTTTCTTTTCAAAATTTGTCGTGGGATTTAAGTTTTTTTGCCAACAAGCTTGTCTAGATCCCAGTCTCACGGCACGGACATTGCAGTATTATCTCTGCTTCTTGTATAGCACCATACTGTGCTCATAGCGTGCAATGTAACGTGTACAGTGGCGTGAGAAGCAGTAAGATAACGTGTCGGTCAGAAAAGTATTGTAAAAGGTTGGTTAAACAATATAAATAATGCTTATATTTGCTGCAGTCTTGATCTGTGTCAAGGTGATGGTGATGGTAATGATAAGGGAGTGATTAATTTACGATGAAAGGAGAACGTGTCGTTTGGGCAGGTTGGGAATGGGACTGGGAGTTGAATCCAAAATGGGGGCGTGACCCAGGGTGATGGGGGGGGGGGGTGGTACGGGAAGGGCAAGGGGTATGCCTTCCTATCCTCATGTAAAATAATAAATCATCGTAATCATCTTGATCATAAATGTGGATTAGAATCATATCAGATTGGCCATGTTAGGGGTTTTGTGTATTTTTGTTTGTTTTTATTGGGTTTTTTTTGGGAGGGGGGTGTTTTAATAAGTGGTGCTTAATTTTATGGTAGTGACTAGCTAAATTTTTTTCACTATGCCGAAGGTTCCGGGATCGACCCCTGTGCAGCGCAATTTTTTCCCTTTTTAATAATATTAATACCTACATGTAAATTGTAATAGTTTTCTTTACTTCTAATTTCTTTTTAACTAAATCATTCTTAAAGTAGATTTAATATTCTTCTTTCTTTACTTTGTAATCAGTGGCTTTGGGAGGATTTTTTTTAATAGGGAAATAAAGTCTGAGAACCATTCGGTTGATAATCTGGTTCCCAACAGCGAAAGATCCTGACGTTGAATACTATTAGGTCAGGGAACCACACGGTTGACTGCCATGCCATAACGATAGCAGTTGAAATTCGTGTTAGCACCTGCATAAAATGTTATGGGCTTATGTAGGCCTATTTAAGTAGATAATCAAACACTACTTCTATTTATGCTTCAGAATAGATTTGGTTGATCGTTTAATTCAATATTTATTATGAAATCTATATATTTTTCCTCAACAGATTTGAAAGACGAACGCTGAAACATGGCACAAACTCTCGCAGCCCAAGACATTGCAGCAGCACCTGTAGGTCCGAGACTAGACCTGTCACAGCCTCGTTGGGACCAGACTACCTTCGTTGGCAGACTCAAACACTTCTACAATGTCACCGATCCAAGGACGGTCATTTGCGGTGATAAACAACTCTATGCCGCAAGGGATTTAATCAATGACTACAAGTAAGTAGACGTTCAATTCTACAGTAAATTTTTCGGTTTTGTTGGAACATGCCTGAACGTTTGTGACTCTCAATACTAAGTCATGTTATAAATCAGCCACTAGTAGAATAAGTAGATCAATGGTAGTCTATCCATGGTCGATCTTACTTGCTCTTTAGTTAACGTACTACTGTCAAAGTTATTTTTATTCTTCCAGAATGGGTCTTGAGCCCCCTGGCACAACGGAAGAACAGCTCTGGTATGCCCAAAAGCTCTACATGTCAGCTTTCCATCCAGACTCGGGCGAAAAGATGAATCTTATTGGCAAGATGTCCTTCCAAGTACCAGGAGGAATGGCCATCACTGGAGCTATGCTGCAATGGTACAAGTAAGTCAAATCCAGAGCGTTGATCTGCCCCCCCCCCCCATCTTGCCTTTGAGTGTCTCCTCCCAACCCTGCATGCTTGTGTGTTCCCTTCATGTTTGTTTCTTGTTCCTCTGTCATTTGCCTCTTAAGAAGTCCTTGCTAAAGATGAAATATCAGGCCACTCTAATTTTTGGATATGTTGACGTGTATCATTTCGTTGTGTTTTTCCTCCCTTTTCTAGAGAACTTATCAAGTATTCCTTTATTTTGTTGATGTCAGGACAGTGCCCGCCGTGGTCTTCTGGCAATGGATCAACCAGTCCTTCAATGCACTTGTCAACTACACCAATAGGAACGCAGCGTCAGCAACCACGAACAGGTACAATATGATAAGTCTCATTTTAATTAAACAGGATCACCTCCTAAAATGCTTTTTACAGTCAATCCTGTCCCATACTTCCATTTGTGTGTCTATTTCACAGGGAGATTGGCATGGCGTATGTCACAGCAACCAGCGGTGCCTTAGTAACTGCTCTTAGCCTCAACTCACTAACAAAGGTAAGAAATTTTGAAAACATAAACTGCTTCATATAATGAGATGAACGTTAGTCCGGAGATGCTATTAGGAAGAAAATATCGGTATTTTAACAATGTCATTTGTACACACTTTGATAGGGACGTAAAAACTCTTTGCTCACTTACTCAAGAGGTTACAAGATTGACTGACCTTAAATAAATTTGAGAAAAGAATTGGGCAGAATATCACGTACATGTATATCAAAAGCAGACTCAGACACTTTTTGGTATTGAGACCTTGTATCAGGAGATATGTCTTATTCCTTAAATAAAAAACTTCGAATTCAACAAACAAACAAAATGACAAATCCCAATTTGTTCTTACTTCTTGGGTATGGACTTTTATAAATATTTCCCCAATTGTAAAAGTGCAAATACATTCTCTGACATTTTCTTTGAATATTTTGCTCCTTTTCCCCCAGAAATCCCCACCACTTATAGCAAGGTACGTTCCCTTTGCTGCTGTAGCTGCGGCTAACTGTGTCAATGTTCCCATGATGAGACAGAAAGAAATTAAGTCTGGCATCGTGATTTGTGACGAAAACGGCAAAGAACTCGGCAAATCAAAAGTAAGTCGGAGTTCCAATAGAAAGAGTAATTTATACGTATCTAATTTAGTCTGATGTAGTTTTTAGCATTTGCATCGCAAACTCAGAACATTTGTTTAAGAATGTTGAATTTGGAACATGACACTTTCACAGCAGAAATAATCAGTCGTCCAAAAACAAGTCAATCTGAGAGAGCCATTCTCAACCTATTATACGATTCTTGAGATTTTTCCTGTAAGATTTTATCTCAGATTTCAAGTTGTGATGTTGTTGTTCTGCCTCCCATGTGATTTTACATTGGAGGAGACAGAAAATGTCAACAGAAGAATCGCCAAATCATCTCATCTTCTGTCTATATCTGGTCAACTTTTTATCACATCTTTTCATTCACATTTTGATTTCAATGCAGAAAGCGGCAAGGAAAGGTATCGCACAAGTCGTCACATCAAGGATCGTCATGGCAGCACCTGGCATGTGTAAGCAATTGCTTCCCCAAAAATTTGTGACAAAATGTTCATATAATGACAATCCTGTCTCTATTTCCTCAAATTGATTTGTTTTGCTCAAGAATATAGCCTGTGATGAGCTAGTGATGGATTTCTTTCTTTGACCACATTTAGTTAAAATTTTTATATCTTGTTTTCCGATTTATTTTCAGGTGTACTTCCTGTGATCATGGAGAGACTACTCAAGTATCCATGGTTTAAAAGGGTCTCAGTTCTACACGGTCCCTTCCAAGTCATGGGTGTCGGGTGCTTGTGAGTATACTCCAGAATGGTTCATGTACTATTTGATGCCGTCTTTTCTGTGGAACATAGGATTGTAGTCCAGGTTCCAGACAGAGATGTAGAAGACTTATAACATGGATTTTTTTCACGGGTTTTTCCTCAGTATTGGACTTAATGGATTTTTATATCAACAATTTTGGGGACTATACTTCCATTTATCTTTTTTGTAATTGCTCCCCGTGAGTTGATTTAACTCTCACATAATCCCTGATCATCACGCTATCTGGAATTTTATCAAATTATTTCATTTTTGTTCATCTTTGTTTTTTGTTGTCAGTTTAATCTTCATGACGCCTACAGCTTGTGCCCTCTTCCCTCAACGATGGTAGGTAGACGAATCAAAACTTGTGATAATTACTAAGAGTTGGATTTCAACTGAAGGACAATATTTTATTTCACTTCAAAGCAAAAACTGCTCCCTACAGTGAATAAGCCTCTGTACTGATGACGTCACACCTTGTTTACGTGTGTGCTTTCCTATGGTGCTCAGTGGACCGTGGGCCCCCACTGGCTCCATAGGAAAGTGCACATGTAAACAAAGTGTGACATCATTAGTACAGAGGCTTATTAAGCTTTCGGCGTCTGAACATGCTCGTTCTAGCTAAATTTCTCAGCGTTTCTTTCTCGATCTCCCTCCCATGAGTCAGGAGACCCCTATTTTTCCAGTAAACAGTTGTCTTCATTTTTATTTATCTCCTTCCTTTTACACTCATTTTCATCCAGTTCCATGGCCGTTGATAAACTCGAGCCCGATCTACGAGCTTCCATCAGAGCAGAGTACGGAGACGCCGTCCAAACGGTCTACTTCAACAAAGGATTGTAACGCTGGATCTTAATTTAGGTTAGACATTCCAGCATTGAATATTCAGTCATAAAATGATGCCCTCTGCCAAAAAAAAAGAGTATTGATCCGAGTTTTATGTGATACGATGAAAAGACAGAAGTAGCTTGGCTGTGGACAATTAGCGAATCATAATCCTCTGTGTTTCCCCTGCAAAATTCTAGTGAGCATGTATCAGCAGTCTTGGATGAGACTATAGGACAGAGTCCGTGATTGGGTGGTTGGTTGGGTTTGTATTTGGGGAAATGGTTCGTTTGTGATATAATTTGGTGGATGGGTTTTTGTGAGTGGATGAGTATTTGGGTTGAAGCTGGCATACTGTGCTTTGTGTAAACTGAAGATTGCTGTACTCCAATTTGGACAGTTTTGTTTTTGTTATAAATAATTTCAGGGCCTGCATTATTCATTCATTTTAAGTTTATTTGCGTTTGATCCTTCCCATATTTGGAAAAGACATGTGTACATCTGCTATATTGGACCATCTGACCAACATGGTTATGTCTGCAATGATAATTACCACAGTGCTGTTTAATATAATGAATTGTAAGGCGTTTATCGGAAATTAGCGGCTCTCTAAACCACAGTGTGCTAAATCATGCAACATTAACTCCCTGCGTTCTTGATGTACTTGAACAGAAAGCAGTGTATTGTATGTCTTTTTCTTTAGTTTTCGTTTCAGCGAATTTTTGGTAAAATATAAACTTTGTTTTTTTCAGGTGCAGGAATGCATGCAGCTAACGGGGGAAGTATATTGATATAATAGAGGACTTTAAAATAACTAATTGCCCTGATAAAAAATATGTTTTTTCTGCAAGTGAAGGGTGGTTGCTGATCGAGCCTTTACAGCAGTTTTTACGAATGTATTCTCAATCATTTTTGGAGAATTTGAGCATAAATCGGATGTTGGAAGACCCACGTGTGCTGTCACCTTGTGAATTGCCCGCTTGTAAAAAAATCTTTTTAATTGTAGATGACTTTATCAAAATTGTTACCTAAATATATTTTTATTATGTGCATTAAACAAAACAAAATCATTTACAGCCTTATTATGTATGTTGGTGAGATATTATTCACTAAAGTTTTACATACCGAGGCAAAATGAGCTATATATCTGGATTCTTTTCCAATTATGTGAATAAAAGGGTTCCATTTCTTCATCATCTCGATATTTTTAGACATTTGAAATGCATCAACATAAAAATTTCATGTTTTGTCGCACCAAATACACACAAAAGGACAAGGAAAGAATGACTCCTTTCAACAATTTGTTCCAATTAGTTATTACAGATATTAGTTACAGTTTATTTCAACTGCTTTATACTGAAGTATAGTACAATAGTTGATAGTTAATAAGGCTACAAGATCCGTGTACAAACTATTCCTATATATCCAACACAAACCATAATGCTAAATACCACATGCTATAAAACGAAATCCCCAATATTATCAGGTTTGAACATAATTAAACTACACTAAATTTATTTTACGTGTTTTTACGACATTTTGGTATAAAGTGCATTTTATCACGAGGGTTAGTAATAAAAAAACCTATTTTTTTTATTTAAACCAATTTCTGCAAAAGCAAAGCCAAACTTTAGCATTTAATTAAAGCCAAAAGATGGAATATAAGCAGACAAAATTTTGCCTGGAAACTTTAAAATGCATTCTTAGCACTGTGAAAACTTTCAAACATAAATGTTATCGGACAAAAAACCTTCGCATGATGAAAATTACTTGGGCTCATTATTTTGTCCAATGAAAAAAAGAAATACTACTTTGCTTATAAAATAGGCTTCTTGCGGATTAAGTGGCTAATTTTACACACCACATTATATTTTGTATTTAACCTAACGTGCTGCTGCTTGTCAAAGAAGAGGATGTAGAAATGTGTCTAGAATTATTTTGGCTTGTTTTGGCAAATTACATATTTGATCTGAATACCAGCATCCATAAACGTTATCATAACAGCCACACTTCAAGTCAACTTGAAACTTGCATTCCTGAGATTCTTTCAATAAAATAAGGCACCAAAAAAACTCTTACATCGCAGAATGGTGCGTAAACAAAAACAACGATCAGCCAAATTTGCCTGATAACAATACGGAAATAAAATGATGAACAAATAACCAGCATGCCACGCCATCACTTTTTCAGTGCGACCCTTTGTTCTTTGCAAGAAAGTTTCTCCTGACCCAGATAGGTTTTTGAATTTCTAATCTAAGCTTGACATACAAAAAAAAATGAAGTACTTGATAAAGAGATGATGAAAAATTCAAGATTACAACAATTCAGAACCATTTTCAATAAATATATTGTGCAGACAAATTTAACAATTAGAAAAAAAAATTACGTCTTCACCCAAAAAGCAGACTGCTTCAAAAAAGTCTTCAACACATCCAAACGTTTTTTTAAAGTGTTTTTAAAAAGTGTACAAGTTTTTTACACTCATTTATACAATTTGTACTTTTTGACAGTTGAACCAACTATACCATGTAACAAATTACTCTAAAATGTTTATGTGGCACCAGTTTTCCCTCCTCAAATACATAATTTTAAAGTAACTATAAAATGCCCTCATAATCAACCCTTTTTGCACTTTACAAATACATGTATTCAATTAAAAAAATAATATGAAAAGGAAAGTGGCTTTCCACCCAGCACTTAATGCTCATATTTTCTTGCTTCCAAAAACGCAACTCACAAAACCAAAATGGTGGTAACACTAAGTTATTTCCACTATAAGTAAGCAGTAGCTTAAGTTACTTAGCAGCCATTACTGGAACGCTAAAAGATTTTAAAGCTTTTGTGCTTAGCTTAAAAGTTATCAAGAAAAACATCTCTGCAAAGATTTTTGCCGTTGAAGTAATCTACTGGCACTTCTACCGTATTCTAAAAATAAGCATTGGTCTTGGTTATACATGATCATTCAAACTGGTACGTCTTTTTCTCTACAGTAATCATGCAAGCCGAAATATTTTTTTTGGTTAAATTATGAAACACCTTTTTTCAAATCCAAATTTTTGCTTTTATACATGCAGCATTTTTAAGTTAAATTCTTTGGAAAAAGTGCTTAGTGATTTTTGGTGATCACAAGATTTTTCAAATCAGTGATTTAGGTGTAAATCAAAACGTGACATATTTGATAGATTAAATTAATGACAATTAGAAACGCATTAGGTGATAAACAGATCCAAAATACATCATCTGTTACCAAAGTTAGCCACTGCAAATTATCTATTATGATAGTGGCACAGTTCTCAATCTAAGACCCCCAAACCTGCCCCAGATCCATCTTGTCTAGGGTTAAGCTGCTGTTGATATATATTGGATACACTTGTACCCGTCACCATGAGAGGGGGTTATCACGACGAACCACGATCACCCACGAACCGCTATCACATCATCTTGGGAATCTTGTAGCGGTTGTCATGTGCACACACCTGTTTTGCCTAATGTATGCAGCGCCCAATCAAAACCTTTCATTTTAGCTCCTTATCAAACTCCCAAATTTCAGCCAGTAGCATACAAGATGTTACCAGATTTTTGTGAAACTTCATGTTAACTGTCTTCTTGTTTGTTTTTTCCATTTTTTCGGGGTGGGAGGGGAAGATTTTACAAGATTCTCAAGACGTTGTGATAGTGGTTCGTGGGTGACAGCGGTTTATCGCGTATCCAATATATAACAACGTCTTCACCCCAGACTAAGATCATCTTGTGACAAGGCAAATCACACCCAATAAAAAAAAGAGGGGGATACAAATAAAATTATTTGGGGTCCATGTGCCTTCTCCAACGATACTCACTAAATTACACTCACTGATTACTAATCATACCATCTGAGTTGGGTATCTCAAGGCATGAATAATCAGTTTGTTTTTCCGAAAATAAAAAAATGCCCGTCTGTTTCATGTTTTACTTTGTAGAATCTAAATGTTATGATTACATAACAAACTATGACTGCTTTCACTCGTGGTACAATATAACTATATTCCCTGTACCATTCTATTTGCCCTCATCTCTTTGGAAAAATGGAATGGCCCATTCAGGGATCACCTTTTATGTTATCATACCAGTCATTACGGTCAATAATTGTTACAAACACTTTCAGAGGTCTACTGCTACCATAATTATGGTAACCCTTAATAAATATCCCTTCTATGCCCCTTTATGCACCCTACGAAAATGGAACAGTCCATTCAGGGATCATCTTGGGATGCTTGTGATAGTGTACCACTCAACGTATACCATGTTATGTCACAATTTTCATGCTTGTGATAACTTCTGTACCCATTTTAAAGAAGTCTGATAAGAACAAGTGATTTTATTAATTTTTTTTTTCCAAAACAATTGGCAATCCAAGGCCCAAAAGAAGCAGCCCACTGCCGTGTCCAAAAATACTGGCAATAAGTCCCTTCAATGAGTGTCTGCACTGGTTGGATTCGAACAGGGTACCATCAATCCATGCATCCATCTCAGCTTGATCTTGGGGAGATCACACGTAACCCGATGTAAATGCTGTCAAAAGCAAACAAAAATAAACAAACTGATGTTGATTCAAACAAGTCAGAATAAAAGTTAATGGGATACATTGAAATTCACTTTTTAAACTTCAGTTTATTTTGACATCACAATGTATTCTTGGAAATTCTTGTCGACCACTAAGATGCGTGGGGTAAGTTTAAAGAGTTGCATTGCATAAGATTATTAAAGCACAAGTTGAATTGAAAGATAACCACCATTAACACTCATTTAGGTTTATAATATTCCTATCTGCTTATCGGACGTTTGAGATTCACTTCAGACTTCCTCCTCCACCCCCCTTCTCCCCGCCCCTCCCCCTGAACCCTGCCTAGTTGGCTTTCTGTCTACTCACCCAATTCCCAAAGTAAGAAGGTTGGTTAGGATGAGGGATGGAATGAAGACACTCAAGACTTCAGTTGATAAGAAGTTGCTCTTCATGGCTAGGTCCCCCTTCTCCCCCTGAAACCCCGCCCCTCCCTCTGAACCCTGCCTAGTTGGCTTTCTGTCTACTCACCCGATTCCCAAAGTAAGAAGGTTGGTTAGGATGAGGGATGGAATGAAGACACTCAAGACTTCAGTTGATAAGAAGTTGCTCTTCATGGCCTTAGACTTTCGGATGCTCAACCTAGTGTGATCAGGATGCTTGAAACGAAACTCCCTGCAAAGGAAAAATTGTAGACAAAAATCTTTGAAAATTTTCAACAGAACCTATGCCTGGTAAAACGCTTTTCTTGACATAATTAATCCTCAAAAATTGTTGTTGTTTTTTTTTTATAGAATTTGGCTAGTTTTTTAAAACATTTTCCAATTATTTCTTTCCTGTTTACAAATCTTGTTAAGTAGCACTTCCTGTATTTGTAATTATTTTTGAAATTTTCGTTTTAATGAGGTTTTCGATCATGGCTTATAAATGTTTGATTTTAACAGGATTAAGGGCCTCAACGCGGATAATGAAAAAATACCAATGTTTACTGATGTCTGAGAAAAAAAAAGATTACTCAGATGTGTAACCTAATCCTTTCCAAATGTCAAACCACGGCATGAACTAAATTCTGCACAGGAAGCAATTAATGAGTTTCTAAGAAAGTCAAAAATTGCTGTTTTAAACAGGATTTGTACAGTCACTTTCAATTTTGATTATAAGAAGCTGATCATGGAGTTAATGAACTGTAGATCAATGTATCTTTAACAGTTCTTCAAAAAGAAGTCTTTTACTTTTTCTTTTGGGTGTGGCCTTGGGTACCAAGAAAAATACAGTATTCTTGGCATTGAGGAAATATGATTGAAAATTATCAATAACTATAACTTCTTTTTTTTGCAAAGAAATACAATCATCAATTCAATGGGTGTCGCAGTATCTCAGAAGGGGTCAAGGTAATTGAGAACTGAGCTTTGTAAGGAAACAAACATTTTCAATATTTTCTAATGCCCCAAATGGAGTTCATCAAAACAAAAAGATCTGACTGCTCTGGCCAGTGACCACCACTAAAATTGTCGGTGACTCTTGAATAGTGACCAGTCCTACACTGGGACTGTGATGCATATGAGTCACAACATCAAATTATCACAGTAAGACGTGCGCGACAGCTAAAGGTCAACAAACTTTGACTGTGCTTCTCGTGCAATTGGTTTGAATAAGATCTGTTGATTTCACAGAGAAAGTTTGCCGAGCAACAATGAGCAGTAAACACTGCAGAACATTTTGTCTGGTAACCCATCTCTGCTAAGCAAATATTTTACTGCACTCAACAAACGTCTGTGCTTGGCATATTCATGTGATTGGTTTGACTGCCCAGCCCTGGCTACTAATTCCCTTGGGCTTACTTTGGTGGGAGTGGTTCAGGTCGACTTGACCAGTCCCAGATCCACTCGGCAGCTCCCTGGGCCAACCCAGCGCCCGTCCCTGGTAGCAATGGAGCAGTCTGGATACATATAAATAATGATACAACATAAAAATGAAAGCATGCATTATGCAATATGTAAATGATTCATTTAAATATTTAATTTGACTAACCGATAAAGTAAGAGGCTCATTACAAATAATATAACTTTTCAACAGTTATATTACTGCAATTAAAAATTATATACTTCATGATGTGTGTAATTACAATACATGCACAAAAGTCCTAAATCTAATTCCACTTGCTGGTTTTGTGATTTTTGTATTAAAAATTGACTGTAAAAACGTCCATGTGTGTGTTTTGATTTACGTACAGGTGAGGTACAGTGTACAGGTGTAACTTTAAAAAATGTTCTACTGGATTACGTTGATTACAGTACGTAGATTACTGTCACAGTCATGTGCACGTGTTACACTCTTATCAACAATATCAAACTTGGTGACATAAACAAGTCCGTCCAAGGGCGTAACTGACTAAAGGAGAGACCATGTGACCTTTGTTTTATCTTTCTGGTCTGCTTACCTAATTCTCATTGAGTGAGTCATGGCCCGACTGACCAAATATTTTTTCTATTCTGGATTGGAGTATAGAATACCATTTTCCAGAGTTTCCCCCGCTTGTTTTCCTTCAAGAAAACAACAGTCATTTTACAGCCCAAACTATTATTAAATTAAAAACCTCCCCTAGAACTCAGGATGAAATAAACTTTAACCCTAACTGCCTAGGTATTTTTGCTAGGATGCAACCTCAATCCTGCAACATCCTCCAACTGCCTCCATGTAAAAATTGCACATAGCCTCAATCCTCCAAAATCATCCGTTATTTCTTGAATGTGGTCCTTGGAGGGGTGACCACTGCCTCAATCCTGCAAAATCCTCCGGCAATCACTGTCAATATGTTGAGGCAGAGCCAGTGACATCCTGGAGCAGTGCGGAGGAATTCAAATACAATCTTGGCCTAAATGTATGCACAGCTGAGCATAAACAACACAAGATCCGGCCTAAGACCTTGACACAGTGCATCCTCCCAAACCAGCCACACATTTTTGCCTTTTCCTCAATTGTGCAAAATCCTCCATTTTACAAAGAGGATTTTGGAGGATTTGGGAAGGTTAGTGTTAATTAATTATGCTACTTGAAACTATGAACAATGTAACTATAAGTACCTGTGATCTGTCTGATCCATTACTATAAGTAGAGCCAGGTCCGCTGTTAGCTCCGCTGCCTACGGGACTGTGCGGACTCTTGGGGCTGAAGACGAGGCAAAGATAGACAAATGGTAATTGGAGTACTTGAGTTTTAAGACAAAACATTTTCACAATTCATAGGTCTTTCTGCACAAATTCAAGGAGAAGATTTTAAACAAACCTCCGACCAGGATAGTAGGACAGCAAGTGCCATATTCTAATCTAAAATCATTGACTGGAAATCTTGAGGGTTTATCATGGGTCAAATCATTATATTTTGAAATTACAAGAAATTACGAGTTATCCAATAAAATATAGACATGTTATATTAATATGTAACGTGCAATTCCTTGAAAATTATTCATGAAAACTTACAAAGGATTAATGCTACAATATAAAAATCAATATAAAAATTTGAGAATTACTGTTTCAGAAAATCTGTAACAAGTCAGTTTCTTTTAGCATTTCGAAAAATTTAAATTGTAAAACGAGGGAAAAGCAGATGAATATTACGAAAAATAGTTGTACAATATAACCGTGTCCTGTTGTAATTAATATAAAAAATGGTAAAGTGACTGCTATTTCATGTGTTTCATTACCTGCCTCCCTGGGAACTCCCTCTAGATGTGGACCGTGACTCCCTCTGGGCTTCCATCAGCAGCTTTTCCATGTTTCCATTGTACATGGATAGTGGTCTGTTTGTGCCGTTCCCATTACTGCTGTCACCCCCCTCTTGGTTGAAGACCACCCATGATTCTGCGTTTTAAAAAACCCACAATAATGCAGTTTATAAAAAGTGGCTCTGCAAACTTTACCAATACAAATTTATCACATGGTTGGTAGGGTTTTAAAATTTTGATGCGACAGTCAGATGATGATGTCATTTTTTAAGATATGACTTCCCTTTACGAAATAGAATAAGCTCCAAAAGCCCCTTTTGGCTTTTCTAACATAGTCTAAATCTAAACTTATCTTTTATTTTCTTACATTAATTTATTCGTCAAATTTTGTTACAAAATACCAAAAACATTTTTTCGACAACATGTTAAATATTTTGCAATTTGGACTCCCAAATTTTTGAGATTTGTTTCAACATTTTTATTATGACCACTATTGTAATTTTGTATGCCGCGAAAATGAGTGTTTAGCATGTTGTTTAGAGACTCCACTCTTCTCGAAAATAAACTTATGAAGCATAAGCCATAACACATTACCAATACCAAACCAACATTCCCATTTAATTTATTGCGTTTATTTTCTTGTCTCAACAAGCAAGCGGAATCTGGTTGGGCTACGTGACGTACATGCAAACTGCTAGAACATTTTGAAGTCTTGACATTTTTGTAAGACGGGTTCATTTCACCTTTGTACGTGTGTAAACATTGTCAGTTGTCACGTACAACCTGTATGCCTAATGCGCCTAGCAGATGTTACTGCAGTCTGAGTCTGCACGTAAGCACAGAAAAACATTCGACATAATTTTTTTTAAGTGCACCTAACTCTTGCACGCAGAAAATAACACTCTCATCGACAACAAGCACAGTCAAGGAAAACAGAAAATAATGTTACCATTCAGAGAATCCTCCCCGTTTCTCCTTGGTGAATTACTGGCCATTTTTCTGGTAGATTTTGTTGTTTTGTGGACTGCGTATAGCATACGTGTCAATTTTTTATGAACACCACCACCGGACTGCGTGCTTTTTTCACTGTGCAATGTTTTGCTTCCGTGATTCGCACTTCCGATTCGCACGGGGGTGCACGTCCTATGTCAGATTCTGAACATTAAATTTTATGAGAATTTAGTTCAGGTAATTTAATTTAAATTCACTAAATTAGAGATAAATAGCAAGTTCGTTGTTACAGTTTATCAATCAAATTTTGATCATATCATGTCAATAAGTAGTACAGAAATAATTTTTCGAGTTAAAGCGAAACGTAAATAAACCCGCAATGACATTGGAGCGCCTTCCCCAATTCGCTACGGGCGACCTCTCTTGACACAAAATTAGCATAATAAATGATTAGATTCGACCAATGAAATGGCGAATTCGACGGTAGGAGCAGATCACCTGATCATAACAGACTGACGTCATTCATGTAAACAGCTCCATGTGCTGGCTACACAAAATATGGCATTGATTCTAAGCAAAAAAATAAATAAAAATAATTCCCCTTAAAACAGCTAGATGATAAAAAGCATAATGCTTATTTAATTTACTTTGCTTTGCACATGGGTGTGTTTCAAAACGAAAATTTTAATTACAATATAAATGAACTGAGTAACATGAAAACAATTAATGCTGTTTCATTTTGACCAGAACATGGAAATAAAAATCCTGACAATATTTTATATATATTTTAAAACCAATCCTCTTTATTGCATAATTCTCTTTTCAATAAATTGTAAATAAAATTACAAAAAGGCACTTCACTATTTCCTAACTAAAAATAAAATTTCACAGAATATAAATTATAAAGAAAATGTTCCTAATTAGTTAAGAGTTAATTTTCCCTCACACTGATACACTAGTGACCAGAACTGACCAAAATATTACTTTTATTGTTAATATGCAAATCATTAGAAAAAAATTCAGTTAGTAGTGACAAAACCTACAGATTATTTGAGTTATGAAAAAAATCAAATAAGCCTCTGTATTGATGATGTCACACTTTGTTTACATGTGCACTTTCCTATGGAGCCAGTGGGGGCCCACGGTCCAATGAGCACCATAGGAAAGCACACATGTAAACAAAGCGTGACGTCATCAGTGCAGAGGCTTACTGAAAGTTATAAAACTTGGCACATTCTATTTTCATTACTAAGCCTTGAGTTATTAATCTGCATAAATATTTTTTTATTATTACATTGTAAAATACCGTGAATAATCCTCGGTCTGCGAATTTTTTTTTTAATACATTCTGATTTCTGAGAATACAATAAAACAAGAAATGTTGGCAATGCAGCCTTTAAAATCTACCACATAAATAGCCATCTATTTAAGTGTATAATATACACCATAAATCTAGTTTTTCTTTGACAAAAACTATGTACATGCGTACTATTACATATAACTGTCTAAAAGTGACCAGTACCACTATTTGCCGTTTAAGACAATATCGATTGGAGAAAATGAAGACTTCATTTCCAAAACGTGATAAAATGCCATTTTGTTAACTTACAGAATCAAGTCCTGGCTGTCCAGTTTTGACGGCTGTTATATAGTTCAACACAAGTTAAGAATACTTTAAAGCGAAAAATGAGGTTTAGAAAAGGCTGCTATATCGTTTTTATCCTGTAAAGTTTCATAACTGTGCAAACTTTTCACTTTTTTTCTAATATATCGCGTTTTGGAAATAAACTCTTCAAAAATGCACTAAAAACCTGGGAGTCAAAAGGAAAGGGCAATTAATGTTATATTCACTGTGAAAACGACATGAAAAGTTGTCTTGGTCTAAAATTTATCAGACTTTGCAAAAGTTGTTCGTTGGGTTACAAAAACATTATATGAAAAACCATCTTGTGATAAAGGGGAATCTGTCTCATATAAAGTGTTCCCTTAAATTTGTCTTCGGAAAGTGGGCATGCTATGAACAGGACAGAGTCCACGCATTCACTATGTAGAATAACTTCACCTTATTACCCCTCGAGTTCAATATTGGGTTTTTGCCCTTCACCGATGTATTTTTATAAACACTGTATACTAAGGTGTTGTCCGAGTGATTGTGGGATAAAAATATTACTCAAGTGGGACTCGCACCCACAACCTCCTGCTTGCTAGTGCAGACGTCTTGCCACTCGACCATTGAGCTTGTCAGGGTCGGCTTGCTGGTTTGAATCTGATATAGCAGCGGGTATCGCAACCAAACAATTCATAAGATGGAATATAAAAAAAACAAGTCGGTAAGGGCAAAACCCAATGTTGAATTTACATCACCCCGACGCAAATTCTATCTTATTAATACCCTTAAAGTTATTTGAAACTATTAAAAATACTGTACAAGAAGCTCTTAAGTAGACTTAAGGTATTCATTAACCTAACTAAATAGAAACTAATGTCCCTAAAAATTCATTAATCTCTTCATGTGTTTATTTTTTATATTGGTCCAGAACAATGCTTCCTGATCTTGTCTGAATAGACTGTCATGTTTATTTTTGTGTTTTTCTAGATTTTCCCAATCAAGTTGCAGAAATACCAGTGAAGACTTAAGGAGGTATGAAGTCTTTCCAGGAAAGTCAGGATCAGGTTTCATCAATCGTTGCCGGAGCTGGGGAGATCTGTAGCAAACTGCCATTTCTGTAGGACAAATAAAATACACAAATCATGTAGGCATAACATTTGAACCAAGCGTTTTTCAAGGATTTTGGATCATTCATTCAGTATCTCATTTGTAAAGCTGCGTCGCTGCTTTTTTTGTCTGAAGTCTGTCTGTTTGTCTATCTGTCTGGCTGTTGATGACTTTAAATCTTAGTGAGGAATAAAATGAATGACTGTCTTTGACTCTTCCCTACCTTTTGCGTCACAACCCAAGTGTCATCGACTTGTTTATCCCAGCCGAAGGTGACCATGCCGCACTCCTGCAGCAAGCTAGCACAGACCCGACGAAGGAACCTCGAGGTCACAGACAGAGAAGCAAGGTCTCTGGGGTCCAACAACCTCCCAATATGCTTCAGAACGGGAAACGGGAGAGCTTCAAGACTTGGATTCGGCGAGGGGGAATCCGGAGGGGGGCTTGTGGGCGACATAGGGGGCACTTCCAAATCTTCAGCCGGTGAGGTTGGAGTTTTTGGAGGCTCCACATTGTCTGATAAGAGTCGTTTTGTATTCTGCCAGGGCACTTCGCATAGATCGTCGTTAGATTTCTTCGCTCCAGGTTTCAGGAGAAGACTTCCATGAGTTTTTAAGGCCTCTGCACGTTTCTTCTTCTTGTCCTCGAGCGATTTGGCCAGCTCTCCCTCTGTCGGGATGGTATAGACGTCAGGGATGCTGGCGTCGTACTCCGCTTTCTCGCCTAGTTTCTCCGCAGCTTGTTTCCTGGCAATCTTCACGGCCATGATGGGTGCACAGTGGTGGTCATGCTCAACACCAGAAGTGAAGTGGCGTGTGAATTCATCCAATCTGTACCCCTTACAAACAAAATCAAAGCCAAACAATAAAATACTAACAAATTGCAAAAATGAAATATATAATCACCATTTCAAAAGAGTGTGATTGGCTTGTGATGATTTGACTAAACGTCTGCAAATTAATTTCGCTTACCAGTCCACACTCAACAACAAAAGCTGGACAATGGACGAGGTGTGACGGGACCATCTTGCGTGTCATGGTGGCAGGGCATCCATTGATGCTATTGTAGCATTCGATCCTGGTATTTGGGCAGCGAGTCAGATGATCGGACATCTTGCATGAGTGTAGCCGGCCTCCGCATTCTTGTGGACAGCTGATGTTGAGACACGATACATCCTCGACAGTCTCCGCATTGCACCACTGCTTGTAACATGAGTCACAGTGGGTGTGACGTTGTGTTTTTACATCTGCCATCATCTGTAATAAATAATCATAAAACTGAAAATTATTCACTTTCCAACTAGTAACGATTGAAGTCCTAACAGAAGTAAAAGCTTTAAATGTTCTCACTTGCAGACAACTCTTTTGTGAAAGGCTGAAATGTCCCAGATGTTAATTACATCACGTCCGTGGAATGCCAACGGCAAGGCAAGCAATCTGCCATTAACATTCCAATTTTTTTGTAACAATAACATATGGTCTTTCCATTTTAACAACAAAATTCCAGGCTAAAATTGATCAGGGTCTGATACATGTAGGCAGGCCCTATCATGATAACAGTAACTGTACGCCCCCATATTATTTAATGCATTGCATGTGACCACACCCACCCACATTGAAATTTTTATTAAAAAACATTGTACCATTCACTATTAATGTTTCTATTCAAATCATACAAAGTTATACCATATTGCTTTATATTCAGACAACTTTTTTTTAGTCTTACCACAACCAGACAACCCTGAATTTAAGAACAAAATGAAATCCTGATCTTGTCTACCGCTTTCCACTTTTTCTGCAGCTGATCCAAAATACCAGAAGGGCGCCCTCTTTCGATCATCAATTAGCTTCTAGAATCTGTCTGGTTTCTGCCTCTAACGAAAATGACTAATTAGAATTGTTAGCACTATAGTCTGGACGCCAGAAGCATATTTCCCGAACGAAGATGGCGGGTGCGAGTTACGCAGCACAGGTACACGAAGTATGCCACAAAATTTCCTCTTTTTTTCTGTTATGTAGTGTGTTAGGATATAAATTGTAACTTTTTTTGTAAAATTGTGTGTTTCATTTTATAAACTAATCCGCTTGTTGGAGAAATGTACGTATTAAACATGATTTTTTAGACTACTTTCCACGGCCTATCATCAGTTCGTGATCGCTGATCACTGAGACTGTGGCTGAGTGACACTACATGCACATGACGGGGCGGGGGTCAGACAAGTCGACCGTTGAGACAACTCGACTCGGGACAAGTCGACCGTTGAGACAACTCGACCGTTGAGACAACTCGACTGGATGTGCGATAAATGGAAAGACAAGTCGACCGTTTTTTTTTGTTGCATATGACAGAGCCGATATAGCGCAGCGTGATTGTCCGTGCACACCGTTCGTTTTTTTCCGGGCCACGTGCGCCGGTCCAACTTGTCCGTACCGTGCACGGTGACATCGTTTGTGCCGGGCCTGTGCGCCCGGCACTTGCCGCGCCGGTCGACGTGCCCGCGTGCCAGGCCCAGTCCTCGCGGCCGGGCGGGCCGGGGCGCACCGGCCCGACGCGACGGCCACCGGATCGGAGCGCCCTCTGTACATCGAGTATGCCCGCGCCGCGCCTGTGATCGGTCTTACCACAGATTTGTGCAACTCTTCCTGATCCACATGTATTCATTTCCATTAAGTCGAGCAGTCTCAACGGTCGAGTTGTCCCGAGTCGAGTTGTCTCAACGGTCGACCTGTCTCAACGGTCGAGTTGTCTCAACGGTCGACTTGTCCCGAGTCGAGTTGTCTCAACGGTCGACTTGTCTGACATTCGACGGGGCTATGCAGTCCATTAATTATGACAGATGCACTGAGCAAAGCGGTTTTTGGCATGTGTGGGTTTAATCATCATAGTGAATAAAAGTTTTGGAAAAAATGTTGCAACCTGACACCACTTTTTTCTTCATGTATGTCATCTCAATGACAGTCAGTCATTGTAAAAATGATAAGACATGAATTTGGGACTGAGAAACATTTCCAATTTAGGAAATACTAATTTTCTTGACTCTCCATAGACTTTGTACACAACCGCTGAAGTGGTGTCAGGTTGCAACACTTTTTCCAAAGTTTTTATTCCTCCAAGGTTACATGTTTACTGTTTACTGTTTTGCCTTCTCTAATTAAGACTTTTGATGTTGTTTTTCCTGTTGATTTTATTGTAAGACATAGTATTAAACTATTATTAATGATGATGGTATTGGTAAAATGTAATTTGTAAGAAATTGTCACAAAATAGCTTCAATGCTCATTGGGAATTCGACATATAGAGCTGGAGGTCAATCTACTTTGTAGCCAGCGGTAAAAATGGCGGAGGCCGTGAAATTTGGCCTCAGACTCAGCACAGCCACCAAAATCATTATTTTCCCCCATATTTTAGTCAGTTTTGTTCTGTTTAACTAGTCGATCCTTTGCTTCATGAATCATTCACTAGGCAAAGGATCGACTTAAAACAGAACAAAATTGACTAAAATATGAAAAAATGACGATTTCGGCGGCTGTGTTGAGGCCAAATTTCACGGACTCTGCCATCTGGCTACATGAAATCTGCTTCAGAATAGATCTGATTCATATTGGATCAGTTAAGCGTGGCAGTGTTGTCAGCAAAATATCATACAATCAAAATGTTATTTTCATGTTGTGTCATTCTTCTTATCAGCCTATGGCCATGGAGAACATTCAAAGGCAGCCCGTTCCTATCGGCAAAGTCTTTATACAGCGAGATTATTCCGACGGCATGAAAGTCAAGTTTCAGACCAAACTCCCTTTAGAAATCAACGACAGGGTATGTAAGAAAAACAGCAGAGGGCGCTAGTCACAATTTCCGAGACTCTTATTGGTCATGTTGGGTGGAATACTGAATACTGAGGAGTTCATGTATTAGTAATACACAGTTTACTATAACCAATTTTAGTATCAACCTGTGATTGTTTTTATGAAAGAAAAATCCAACCCAAGTCAAATCTGAAGATTACTTAGCGACGGTGCATTGCTAGAATTTGTCTATTAGTTTGATCTTGTCTTCTATTGGGAATATTCAGATCTGAAATACGTCAAACCATCAATAATTAGCTTGTGGCATTTTTTACTGGAACGAGGCTTCGGCTCGCCCACGTAGTATAGCAGCGATATGGTTGATTCAGTGCCAATTTATTGTCATGTTTTGGCATCAAATTGTGGATTCCAATTTTCTTAAATAATTTGGCCGAGTTTTGTTTGGAAGCAGTCACAAATCTGACTTTACTTTTTGTTTTGTTTTTTGAGCAGATAGATCAGAGGATGTTCGAGACCACCGTTATCCGACTGAACGAGATCTACGGCGATGCGGAGGCACTCAAAGCGAGGATATTCTGCGAAGGATGTTTGATATGTCTCACTGGTTATCTAGCTCTCTTATGTGTCAAATCGCATTATGAAAGGGTAAGAAAATTAAACAATACTCAACAAAAGTGTCACACAATAAAACACTGGTTCTTGGCAGCCAGTGTGGCACAAGGCTGGAACTTGACCAACATTTGTCAATAGAGGGCGCAACAGATGAAAATAATTGTCTTGCTTTTTTTTTTTTTCTGAGCAGAAAGTCAAGGAAGCAGCTAGGTATATTCAATCTCAGAATGATGAGGTCTACGCCCCGCGAGGTCTCGTGCTTGTCGATCCGTTCGAGAGAGGACTCCGAGTTGTATCCTTTCGTTTAACGCTGTGGCTATAGTTACGGCAGTCGACTTTTGCACATGCATCAGTTGTCTATGGCTTTCCTCACAATAGCCACTAAGTTGATTAAAAGCTTTCTTCAGATGACTATTATGTGTAGGACATTGAGTGGAAGAAATGTTTCAATATTGAGTTTTGCCCTTCACCGACGTATTTATATAATAAACACTGTATACTCGGTGTTGTCCGGAGTGATTGTGAGAAAAATAATCACTCGGGTGGGACTCGAACCCACTATCTCCTGCTTTCTAGCGCAGACGTCTTACCACTCGACCACCGAGCTTGCCGGGGATCGGCTGGCTGGTACGAATCTGATTTAGGAAGAAATTTGTCACGATGATTGTGATGATGCTGATATTGTTTTTGATTGTACAGTACTTACATTGTGATGATGTTGATATAAAATATAATAAATATAAGTAAAAAATGGGCAAAATTGTTTAAATTAGTTTTAAATTTTAATATTGAACTGAATTGAGAGTTTATAATGAATGGTAAACACAACTTTTGTATTTGGACAGATTTGTACAGTTTGAAAGAGTTAAGGAGAATCACATCTTCACAAGGATTTAGGTACTAACAAAATAATGACACTTGTCTATTTTACTGTCATTTTAGAGTTGTTCTCAAATGACGCAGATGTCATAAACTATTGACTTGTCAATTTTTCTCATTTGTCTCATTTGTCTTTTCTCCAGCAAGCATTGTTTCCCTTAATTCCTTCCCACAGATAGAAATAGTGATTCTACCACAAGACAGAGGTTGACACCGGTCAACAACGGGCTACAAGATGACAAGTTCAGATGTTTAACCTTGATATCACTAGAGGGCGTTCTTCATAAATCTTATCCCAAGTGTGGAGGTTATTGCCTCGTACACAGAATATTGATATAATAAAAGAGAGTTGCATTTTTAGCAAAAACAGGTCACCGACCAAAGCCATGCAGTGAATAATGGCTTGTAACTGGCTCCCAACACATCTTTGCTAAGCAGTTTATTTTGCTAAGCACTATGGGCTCCGTGCGCAATCAAGAGAGGGCGCTATTTTACCACTTTCGAGAGCCCATTTCGAGAATGTCTCTCCCAGTGGTCTCCCCCAACTTTCCCTTTCTGACCATTGAGGGGGTACTTGTGCACCAAGCCCATTTTTTTTCCCTAAGAGGCTCCATTATTAACTTGTGTCCTGTTTTTGAAAACAATTGCTCAATTTTATATTTGCGTAGCTAAGAAATTTGCCCCCGATTGGCTGGTGTGAAGAGCGCCCCCTAGTGACACATAATTGCAATTCCTCAATGTGTACAAAGTGCAGAGAATTATAAGTGCTAAAGTGAATCCAGTTTTTGTAAACATCGTGTAAATATTTGTATGAACTGGTTATTTTTGTGATTTGTGTCGAGGTTGGTTTCCAATTGCATTATCTCATTTCGTATTTTTTTTTAATTGTAGGTTTTGTACGGAACTTACCTGTTTGCTAAAACTTGACCATTTCTTTTCAGATTATATTATACTCCACACTAGTGGTGGGAGAAACGGGAGACGTTAAAATCTGGTTATCCTTATTTTTTTCAAACCGAATAATCTGATTTCACCGGAAGTTCCCATTCAGCTCACAGTCATGCCAACAAAAAGTGACGGGTGAGGTGCCGCATGCAATGCCCTCCCAATGACTGGGTATAGTTTGCAGGATTCAATGACCACTGGGCCTTTACAAAAACACTCCAGAGCTGTAATGTTGAAAACATGGATGGGAACTCTCTGATAAGTTGAATGGGCAGGCTATTCATATACCAAGAAGACCACGAGCAGGTGAATGCAGTTACAATCAGACACCATGGAGCAAATTTGGGGGGGGGGGGAGGGGGGTTCCACTTGTTTTTTTAGCATGGGCGTAATTTCTTTTAAGGTTGGTTTTGAATATCCGGTTTCCAAAATTGAAAAGGATAGTAGAATTAAAACCGAATTTTTAAAAATCCGGATTTAAATCCAACCACTACTAAACACTAGGTGCATGTGATCGAAAAATGCATTGTATCGTGTCTTGTTCATTTCGCAATTATTCCAGTGCAACGACGATATCATCGATGTCAATTAGGAATTATCTAGTGATTGTTTTTTATGCATTTGTACATTGTGTGCATTGTTGACTTGTACATATTAACTGAGAGATACTAACTTATTTAATAAGTCAATACATGTACTCTTATAAAATGTAAAACAAAATTAACTGGGAAATAACAGTTTTGAGATGGAACCAGATTATGGACCAAGATTTTGACTGCATAATCAGTGCAGGAAAACAAAAGTAGAATTTCATTCACGTGAAAACCTTTCAATCACTAAAATGGGGATAAATTTCACCTTAAAGTTATCAGTGAGGTAAATCTACTGTGATTTTTTGGTTTACACAAACTAAATTCAATAAAGTTGTACATGTATTTCATTTGAAATTATGTCACATGTGGGAAAAGGTAAAGTGAGTGATTATTGGGAATTGTTGGGAATTATGCTTTCACGCTAATTGCAATTTAAATGTTATGGAAACTACACTGAGAAATAAATGTTTGAAGCAAAACCCTATCATAGTGAGTTAGATCATTTTAAAGTGGTATGTAGTTGTCATGGTAATTATTAACTCAATGTATCTGCCTTATTTTTTTTCTTTAATTACAGGACAAAAATTATACAAGTACGTCTTTTAATTCATGGCACAACACCTTTTGCATTTATTCAGGGGTGTGAAATCTCGGTTTTAAAGCTGATTTCCGCTTTTTTGGTTTTGGATTTCAGCTTTTTTCCCCTCATTTGCTGTGTACAAAAGTATAGGAGGTTTCCAAAGTTCAGCTTTTTTACACCGTTTTCAGCTATTTCTATCAGTTGTCACTCGCACCCCTGTTTATTACATACAGAATAATCTCATCCGATAAACTTGACCCCAGTGTGTGCTTTCGTTCTACTCGTGCGTAAACCTCTTGTACATCCATTATTGAATTAAAAATAACCAAAACATCTCTGGTGTTTTCCATGCACACATTACTTTGAAGGTAAAACTTGTTTGAAAAACACAGCAGCAATATTATTATGTATTCATGCACTAGAATAAGCATATCTGCGTTGCCAAAAACTCCTACAAGTTTTTTGCCAACCATCAAACAGGTTCATGAAATTGAACATTGGTTGGATGATAAAAAGTCAAGTTGCAGAAAAAATCAAGTTGCCTGGAAATTGTAAAATTTTTAAAATTGTTATCTCATAAATCACTTTAAAAAAACAATTGTCTGAGTGAAATGTATAAAGTGTGTGACCAATACAGAGCTTTTTTTTGTTCAATTTTTGTTGACCTTTATTTCTACGAATATTGAGTGGTTAATTAGTTTGAAAACTAAGGGAAGACCCTCTTTGACAAATCTGTGCCCTGGACTGAAAATAGTTCCCAATATTTACACATTTATACATTGTGTTTGACAATCATGTGACCGTAATTTACAGTGTTAAGTACAATTTACACATACATGTATACCATTAACATACTGTGCTATCGAATAAATTACATGCTGGTACAGTACAAATAAGTTTGATTTCGTAAAGTTATCAAACTACATGTACAATAAATATGTAAATAAGGATTAATATAAATAATATAAAAACTGAAGTACTCTACGCAAAGTAACACAAATACACTTGTCACAACAAAATGCAGAATCTTTATGTGATAGGCAGGGATATCTGATCTTAAAAATGCAGATAAAAATGGTAAAATTGAAGATTTGTTTTGTAAGAAAAATCTAGTTTCCTGATTTTAAGGCATAATGCCAAATTGTATGTTGTGGCCGTAAAAAAAAGGTAAAACCAGAAAAATAGATAACTCACAATGCTGAAAATGTTTAAAGTAGATCTACAACTGAACATCCATCTTTCTAACCTACAGCCAACTGTGACTCAGCAACTGTTGACCTACATTTTTAAATTTTAAACAGTTCTACAGGTTTAAAATGTTTGCGCTAATAAATATGTGCATTTAGAACAAGATTTATGCAAATTACTCTCCAAAAGTAACAAGAGGTAAAACTTGGCAAGACAAAATTCTGCAAATTTTCTCACACACTTTGAAATTACACTGCTACAAAGTACCATTTTTGTAGCAAAAGTGCATTTTTTTAAAACTAAAAATGAATTAAAAAGTGAAAAACCTGAGAAATATTGAAAAGCACTTTTGTATTCTAATATCACACAAACATCTGAGCCACGTTTGTCTTCCGATACAGACAAAGTTGAATGTAAAAATCAAACATTTTGCATAAAACTTGATTGTTTTCACGCCCCCCCCCCCAAAAAAAAGGAATTAGAGGATTTCTGTGAATTTGTGTTTCAATCTTCTATTGGAAGCTGCAATATTACACGTACAGCCTCCATCAAAGGCAAGAATGTGATGAGGGGACAGGGGTGCTGGGGAGAATTGGGAGTGTAGGGAATTATGCAGGGGCATTTTGACTGGGTGTGGCGTAGTGATCATGAAGCTTGAGTTCAAGCTTATTTTGGGACATTCTGCTAAAATCAACAGAGTTCTATAAAAGTGAAAAGTGAAACTGGCCAAATCGAATGAAAACATAGTCTCCAAAAACTATTGGCCCCATGTAAGGACAGTTGATGGTGCTTAGTGACCTCTCTCGAGATCCCGTTGGACGGGACAAACAACGTGCGCATTTGCCGTGTGTGGCACGAAGTACGCACAACTTGCACATTCTGTTCACAAAGCCAAAGCATCTTTGCGTGAGCGTCAGGCTCGTCAGCTTGAATGTCCCTGCCAGTGCTCTCCCCCAGTGGTCTCCCCCAACTCTCCCTCTGTAACTCTTGAGGGGGTACTTGTACAGTGGAGTCCATAACATAATGCCCCTTTGTTTACTAATCATATCAACACAAATGCACCTGTTGTTGGGTCTTGTTGGATTAATTTTAAGTAATTAATGAATATTCATTAAGTAATTAATGAATATTCATTACAAAGTCTAGTATTAAAAAAAATGGCATTCATTTTGCGCATGTGTTAGTATTCATAATTATGTTAGCTACTTACAGAGTTACGATACAATTATTGTGAGCACACTACATTGAAATCCAACTGTTTGATTTTATTTTTTAATCTATATTTTTGGGCTATTTGTGTTCTGTATGAACCACAAGATAAAATTAGTTTGAAGATATGTTTGAGACCTTTTTTAGTTACTAAGTATTTTCTCCAATGGAAACATTCTATCCTGTTTAACAGGCAAACTTGAAATGTGAAAAATAGTATGGAATATGTTAGAAAAGAACTCTAAACTCAGGTCAGAACCTGCACATTTTTTTTCAATAAAAATAAGAATTTTCTGGAGATCAGTCCTAGCCAACTCTAGTTCCAGTTCTTTCATTTTAGTTTCAGTATAAAATGTCAGCTGGCTTTAATCAGTTTATCGCTTAATTTGTAAGAACCTAAACGTCAGGATTAAACTGGTTCGATCTGGCTGTAACTGGCTCCATCTGGTTAGTTACTTCAGTACCTACCGGTATACATCCGGACAAAACTGGTTCAATCTACAAATATCAAATCCATCTGCATTATTGTTTCTTTGATAATTCCAGTACGTTCCTACCTCAAAAGATTTGTTGAAATCTTTGGGAACAACTTGACTAGTCTTGATATTTCTAAACTAACAATGACTTGACTACACTAGTTAATACTTCTGTGACCTGTTAGTCAATACATGTGTACAATTAATCTTCAAACTAGTTAACTTGAGTAATTTTCAACCACAAATGTAACCAGTCTCACATTTCCTCTAAGGCTGGTTATCTAACCCCGGTTAAAGCCGTTAAACTTATTATACAAATTTCACTGTGACCTGATAAACATAGTTTAAAATCTCAGCTGACATAGGAAAGTATACTCCACTTAATTAATTTACATATATTACCATAATTTACATAAATTACCATAATTTACAGCTGGATAAATCTGCTTCGGCAGTTCTGTGACCTCATTTGCATTTCCATCAACATCTTGGCTTTACGTTGGCTCGCTCGGATGTTGTTCGCCCGCGTGAAGTTCATGTTCAAATTGAAGTTCCGGAACGGGTTTTTGAACTTGCGTTGAGTCTGTTCCTCATCTCTGGTCCGTGCGGTTTCATCAGCGTCTTCTGACTTTTTGGTCTCTAAGTCTTCCTTGCCCGCAAGGAGATCAGCTAGGGAATTCTCGCTGTGGGATTTATGAGGAGATTTGGTGATGAGCGATCGGGAGGATGTCTTCAAGTCCCGGAGATCGATTGGGAAGATTTCTGGGAGGGGATTCATAGTGACCAAAACCTCGTTGTCGTTGGGGAGTTCTGAGACTTGTAGGTCAGGTTTGCTGAGAGCAGGTTGTGACCTTTGACCTTCAACGTCTATTGTTGGTTCGTCTTCAGCGAGAGGATGTTGAACGTCTTCTGATGCTGTATGAGATAAAGCTGGTGAATCATCTTGTGATTCTGATATCATGTCTTGAAGGCTTTCAGCAACTTTTTCTTCATTTGTCATATTCTGATTCTCTTGGTCATCATGATGCTGTTCTTCTAGTTCATTCATCGCGCCTGACTGTAAATCTTCACCTGTTTGATGCTGATCATATTCTAATTTAAAGTCTACATCTTTGTTTTCTGTCAAACCATTTTGGTTTTCCTTCTCCGGCTCTGCAATCCTATCATCATACGCGGCGTGACTTTTAGAATGCTTCCTACGCGGCGTGATGTGTCTCCTCGTGAAGCTGCGTTGATTGCGACATGGATCTGTCGCAATGTCTCCGCACGTCGGCAACACGATATCCCCGTCGTTGAGCATAACGGGATCGTCGGGGTTTTCCTGTGGGTAGTTGGGAACGTTACCGCCAAGAATCTCTAAGCAGTCACCGATACTCAGCGCGTCGTAAGACGTTTCTGTTGACGAGGAGTACGGACTATCGTCAAAATCGTCGTAAGTGTCGTTGTCAACATCTTCAATTCTAACAGTTGTATCTTCATCGTCAGTTACGTTGCTGTCTGTGCTCTTCTGATAGACCAGGGTATGCGGGACGTTACCCAGATTCTTCTTCCTGTTCCTAGCTCTCTGGATGAGGTTTAGGTTGGTCACCTTGTTACCCATGTTCTGTAGGTAGCGGGTGACGACCGCCGTGCGAGGGCCCGGTCGCGAGGCCGGACGTCTCGGCTGGCCGTCACGTGGCTCGCTGTGTTTCTTGATTACCATCTCAGGGACGAATTTATCTTGGAGCCACATGGTGAGTCGCTTCTGGGAGGTCAGCTTGATCAGTTCCTGGGGCTCCTTTCTGGCTTTCCTGGGAACACAAAATTATTCCAGCAAGAATTAGGATTTGATGCTACAACAATTTGGCTTTCCGTTTCTTTTATAAATGTGACCTGGTTTTTAATCCTATAAACGACAGCTTAGTACATGTATAGAAATTAATTTGCTTTAGTGCTATTAACGCAAAAATTAACTTATCATGAACAGTGTCATTGTGTAGTTCTTTTGGCTAGTTCTTGGAGGAACTTTCCGCTTGAGTTAATTAATATGTGTCCGAGCCTTTGCTAACTGACTGTTGACTTTTTACTCTTCCATCCTTTGGTTTTTCTCCCACTCTTGAAATAAAGTATGCTCGTTACATTTACACATTCCCATCTTTGAAATCAATTTACTGATCAGGGTTTTATCATGACAAGGACATATGAAACACTAAACTGACCTTTCCATTTTGTCTTCAATGACGTTTAGTCCCAGGGTGTTTGCTGATCTGGCACTAGCAAAGGCCTCGATGACACTGTGCAATATATCTGTAAATAAATAAAACAACAAATCTTTGAAATTTGAGGAAGGGCCTACTAGGATTCGAAACGTTAGACCCTCTAATTTTGTTGATTTGTATGTTTCAGGTCAAATCAGCCAGTGAGCAGTGTGCAGCAGTTTTATTCATTTCCATCTTGAAATTTGATTGTAAATTTTGATTGTCATACATGTAAATTGTTAGCTTGCAATCTTGGGGTTGTTATTTGGGGATGGGATACTTGTTGATCCATCGCTCACCATCGGACTCATGTTTGTTGCGTCCAGGGAGAACTTTAAGTGTATGGAAGTAATCGCTCTCTCCGCAGAATGAGTGATAGACACGGATGCATCTGTCTTTGGTGTTACTGAAGAAAACTGCAGCTGAACCTGTAGGGAATTGAACCAGGGACAATGAAAAAACAACATCAGAATGAAGCAAGCCCTAACAATAATCAGCAAATAATTAACCCCAACTCCCTAGGCCTTTTTGCTAGGATGTAGCCTCAATCCTGCAAAATCCTCCAATTGGCCTCATGGAAAAATAGCATATAGCCTCAATCCTGCAAATTCCTCCATTATTTCTTGAATATGGTCCATGGAGGGGTGACCACTGCCTGAATCCTGCAAAATGCTGCGGCAGTGACTGTCAATATGTTGAGGCCTGGCCAGTTACATCCTGAAGCAGTGTGGAGGATGTCAAGCATAATCCAGGCCTACATTTATGCACGGCTGAGCAACAACACAAGGTCCTGCCCATGACCTTGACAATGTGCATCCTACGAAATCAGTAACGCACTTTTGCCATGTAATCTCAATCCTCCAAATTCCTCCACTTTGGCACAGAGGATTTTGAAGGATTCAGGGCGGTTAGGTTTAAATTAAAAAAAAGTAAAAGGCTATGGCAGTCTTCCAGTTTGCTTTCCGGTTTACTGTACCTCCTCTTAATGCACGTATGCATTACACCCGTGCTTTTGTGGTGCTCAGTGATCTTGTGTCGAACTGGAAGGCTGAAAGGGAGTGGCTTCCTTTGCCGCCAGAGCTTGGCAAAGCTTTTAGCAGCTTGTCATCTTGGTGTTATCACATGTTGAGTACCAACATTTAACTTTTACATTAACTTTTGTTACAGACACTTTTGAACACATAGATTGAGTTTCTGTAGTTGTAGTTGTGTTGAGAGATTTGTAGTACCATAACATGCTTGTTGATGATAATGCACACTGCACATACCTTTTTCAGTGTGATTTCCAGCCAGTTTATTGTAAATAGACCACTAAAATCTTAAAAGAGTATAGAACCAACTTTCGACCTTATTACTCGCATGGAGTGGATGTGGAGATGACCTTAGTAAATTGCCTTAGTTGTCCACGAAGTGCTGTGTATAAAGTGTATAATGTTTGTGCATACAGTGTTTCATACCTATGCCGATAGCTTCCATGTCTTCAATGTTGATCCTCTCATACTGAGTGATCTTTTCCGCCTCATCGTCATAGCTGAAAGACCAAAAAAAGGGAATATTTTTTGTTCAAAATGAAACTTGGATGAAGTTTACTACGTGAAGCCTTTGCTTGGTTGGGTTAGCATTGCAGGCCAGGGACTTTCCGTGAGGGCTGTTTGTGCTCACCTTGCAATGTAGTAAGCCTTCTCTGTGATCAGTAGAATGACGTCACGATCGTCATCATCGGAATCGTCTGGATCTCTGGCAAGGAAATCAAGATGGAAGATGGAGTTAAACGAGGGACTCTATCTGAGGGTCATGAATGGGGCTGGAGATTTATACACAGCCCACACATAAGACATCGAGTCAGAATCTGAGAAGGGTTTCTTGACAATTTCTTTTCATAATAAACTCTGACACTGGTTCAAGTTAATGGGTCGATTATTGCTGGTATTAAATAAAAAAATATTTTTTTTACACAAAACTGATTCAGTTGTGTGATGTTCAGACAGACAGAAACAAAGACAGACAGACCAACTGACAAACAATCCATCCTTACATGGGATCGCAGTTGATGAGCACCCATCCTCGGATATAATGTTTGACTTCGTGTTTGGGTACGAGCAGCTTCAGACAATGCTGCGTCAGTTGTGCAATGTTTTCCTCCTTGACGTTGCTCCAGACTTCTTCTGCCGCCTCCTCATCGCTGACTTTCTGCTCCGTGATGACAGACAGATCTTCCAATAACTCCTCGTTGCCCAACATCAGATCTGAAGTGAAACAAAAAAACGGAGAGGAAAAATTGCTCCAAATTCACTATCATCAACGTGGCGCCAATCTTGTGAAGTAGTTTTGCTAAGCAATAATTTTTACGCTGATGCAAAGAAGCTATGGCTTCTTTGTGCACATTCATAATAAAAATAGTAGTGCGTCAGTGCGTCGATACAAAGATAACTCTAGGCTGGCTCTCTGGGACCGGCACAAATGTCTTTGCCCTTTACTCAAATTTTGAGTCTAGAATTAAAATTACGACTCACCTATTGTGACTTGTTTGTAGGCGTCTTTAAACTGATTCTGTAAGTATCGGTTAGCTGAGTGATAGCCGTCCTTCATCATTCCACTAATCTTCCTCTCTCCCGTTCGTGTGTAGTCACCTTTCAGGGCGGCCGTGCCTGCGTATTGACGGCTGATGATGTCACCGTTAGACGCCCACATGTCCTGGTATGTTTGCCTGATGATCCGGGGTAATCGTTGGTCTGGGAGGAGGATGCCTAGCTTACGAAGCTGAAGAGAGAAAACATTCATGTAGGAAAAGATAACATGAACAGAAATGCTAACACCACAACTGTATTGCAATGCATGGCCAGAATGGAAAGGTGTATTTTTACTGTTCGATCACAGACTATTATAGAAAGCAAAATGTAATACAAAAAGGCATACACATACATGTATCTTCATTTGAATTTCTGGAATAATTTTTTACCTTAAACAGAACTTTTTCTGCAGTTTCACTGAAAATTGTGTCCATTTCAAGAACTCTGTACATTATCAGTTGTACACGGTGGCTGAGTTCTGGACTAAAAATTTAACTTTTGAGAGGGGGGAGGGGTGTCAATTTTTACTGTACTAACTTTCAAACTTCTTGGACAAAGCTTTAAAATTAAAATTCTAAGAATCTAGGGAACTCTAAATGGGACTTGGTCAGAAAGGGCTCTTGGTGGTTTTGGAAAGATATGGGTAATTTAAAGTGAATTTATATATATTTTTCATGACAATGTTTGCTATTTATTTACCTGCATACTCAGCACAGCTCTAGCTACTGCCGTCTGGACCACATTGGTTCTATCTAAGCAATCCATACAGTTGACTCTGAAGACATTACGCTGCTCAAGAATTACACCTTGCCCGTCAATCCTGGAGAAAGAAGGACAAGATGCGACAAAAATATCGGTTTAGGTATCTTAAACAGTTGCTTTAGCTGAAAGGCTTTTTGTATGCATTTTCCTGGATGTCTTCATCATTTTATTAATTTTTTTTGTCACAATTCAATATTTATAAGACTGATCGTCAAAATTGATTGCTTTCAAAATAATCTTGTAGTTCCTCATGATGTGACTTCTCTCATTTCTGTGTGAATTGTTAATGCTGTGATGAAATTTCAGTGCAAAAGAAAAATGTTTTGAGTTGAAGTTGAACTCACCAACAGAATCTCATATCCTTGATGATGTCCCGGATGCTATCGATGAGAACGGAGACATTCTCAAACTTCAACCCACGACTGTACGATGAAATCAATGAAAATAAACATCTTAGAGTAAATAATGTATAGATATACATATCATGTTACTGTTTCAAACATTTTTAATATCTCAATTTGATTTCTTTGCTTTATTTTGAATTTTGATCATAATTATTGGCTTACCAATAGTCATGGAAGTCGAAGGTTATATATGTCAGCAGTGGACTGTTCAGCAATAAAACCTGTCAAAATAAGAGAAAAATGTTGGTCAGAAATTAGATAAAAGGAGAAAACAATTGTATGTAATTCATGCAGTCATTTATTAATAATTCATTTATTAAAAAAAGAATCTGGGTCGGAAATGAGATAAAAGAAGATAACAATTCATTCATTTATTCCTTTACTAATAATTAATAATTCATTTATTCCTTTATTCATATTAATTTATTCGTATTTTAATACCAAATAATTGACCAGATATGTAGCAGGAACCCCCCACAATGCGTTCAAATGTCTGTCAAATGTCCTGTTCGTCACTGTGGAGGGAGCTATTTGTGCACAAAGACCATAGGAAGATATATTTCCGACATTATGAAACAAAGACCGAAGTTAATTTTTTTTGCATAGCACACTTTCCTCACCTGTTTCATGAAAGCCTGGCCAATAATATCCTCTCGTCCCATCTGCTCCACTAAATTGATGATGACCACCCGTCTATAGAGGGCAGTCTGCTCATCAAAGTGGGCCTCGCAGGCCGGGCGGGTCTCTTCCTCATCTTAAAAAAAAAAACAATAGGAAAGAAATCTGACGTAACTAGAGTTGAATGAATGCAAAAGTGATGCTTAGTGGAAAATTTGCAATTATGTTACCGAGTCCAACAATTTTTGGGGGACAATTTTACTGTGGTTTTAAGAGATGTCCATTAATTTAGACAACTGTATTTACATTTGATTCAATTTGTTGATATTTATTTGCACTTTAATATCTTCATTTTATCTAATTTGTAGTAGTCAACTGTTACAGAAAAAGAAAAGAAAGAAGAAAAAGCGATTGGCAATCATACCTTTGTCAAGCCTTGGGGGTGGTTTGTACTTAATTCCTGGCTGAGTGAAGAAAACAGGCATTGAGCCTCGGACTTGGACAAACGACACGGTGTGTTCCTGGGTTTGGATGATTTGTTCCGTCTCCACGTAATTAGCGCAGGCCCCCGTGTCATCGATACCTCGTCTTCTGTAGCGAGTCCCTAGGAAGAAATAGAGAATAATGGATACAAAAATAGAAAGTACGATACTTGTTTGCACAAAAGGGCTGCTGCAAATGTCAATTGTGGTTGAAGTTGTGTTTGATCAAATGAGACAGAAATTGCCCAATTTGTATGGACAGCTTAGGTTAATCCAGGTCGGACTGAATTCCATGGCTCCGCAAAGCACAGGATACTGTGCACTGATTGCCAAGTTGTTTTCCCCGTGAACATGGTTAAACAAAACATTTCTCAAGAATGTTTACAATTGATAGAAATTTACTAAAATATCTATTAAACACAGAAAATAAACAGGTTATCACAAATAAGTCAGCATCCAATATTCCATCAAAGTTAAAAGTAATTTCTTATTAATTGAATCTATCTTGCGAAGTCAAAATAAATTTGCATTTAAAATTTACAAATGTACAAAATAAAAAAATTCTTAAGAATTAAGTAATCGTAAGATAAAAGTTGGCCCCCTCCCGTAACTTGCCACCTAACTCCGCCCTTCCTACCTGCCCTGTGTCTGCTCCTCCTTGAGATGAGAATGAGTTTGAATTCAGAGAGTTCCTCAGGCGTCCAGCTTGAACTTAATCCGTTCTCTCCTTCCTCCTCAAAAATCATCTTACACTCCCTTATGCTGACGTAGCCCTGGATGATGGGAACTGTCCAGTGATTGGCCAATTCCTTGTCCTGTATCCATAGAAACCGAGGGGTGTTATAATGGGAAAATTCCGTCATGAAGTGAATAAGTCTTGTCAGTACAAAATGCATATTTTCTTTTCTTTTACTTTATATAAATTGTGTTTTATTGATACATGTTGCGAAAATAAGAGGCTTAAAAAAAAACCAGATAAATACTAGACAAAAATAGGACAAAGTAAATACCACAAGTAAGGAAACCCAATACGAGATTCAAATGGAAAAACAACTCAATATTTGCTCAAGTTTGCTAGCTTAGAATGTCAATTTATTCCTCTCCATCGTACAAAATCTGCAAGTCAACTCCCTCTATTCTGTCTCCCTTGTTTATTCTGAGAGCCCACTGATGAAATACTCCGGACATAATTATGACAGTAGTTGGCCTTTTATTTAATATTGAACTCTCTAGCGAGTTCGGATGATTAAGTTAATGTCAATTAAGCCATCCTGTTTGTTGTTTTTGTAGGTCAAATGTGCTCTATCAGCCATAGGCAGCAACTCTTGGAGAAAAAACGGGAGTATATACTTAAGACATTCTGTCTTGAAGGTACCGACTACATTGTTTGTTTTAGGACAGGACAAAATAAAACAAATTACGCGAAGTGCTTTCAAATTGTCAAACTGCAGGCTTTTTCACTCAAGATAATCCTAAAGTTTGTTTTTGGCCAAAAGATGTTATTTAAAAAGACACGGCTTTTGCTGTTGCCATAGTTACCGTGCATGCAAAAATATCCTGAAGCATGTGTTGATTCCAAAAGAATCGCTCGTCCCAGTCATGTTCCCCGTCTCCTGTGTGCTGTCGCTGTAGAGTATTTGTCAGGTCTCCCGTCCTAGTATAAAAGAACCAGTCTACAAACAAAACATATCAAAGATACAAATTTATGAAACGAGACAGAACCTGTATTAAATTATCACAAAGAAATATATTAAAAAATCCATAAATTAAGGACACTTTGTTGAGTGGCGCCATTCATTGTTTTATAAATGCCACTAATATTCATGTTGGAGCTTATTTTCAATGTTTGTGAGGTTCTTGTCCTTACGATTGGTTTCCCCATGGGAAAAAAATTCTACCACAATGTAAGTTCAAATTTGGACGACAGAAAACAAAAATTCAATGAACCAATAACTCCATATTGATCATGACAACCAAAAAGCCTCCAAGTAGAAGGCACCAATACACCCTGGATTTTTTTTTTTTACAAAGGCACAAAAAATTTCCTTGCAAAAGAAGAATGAAGGACACTTTCCATGGCACTCACAGCTCCCACTTTGAACAAATAATTGTTTGCTTCCCCGTCTCTCCCTCCATGCACGTTCAGTAAACCAGTTGCCTGGTAACACGAGTATGACAAACTGCCGTCGGCAACCCAAACCCTAAACCTACCGGACTCGGTGAACATCTTGAGTAGTTCCTCCGTGATTCGTCTCTCGTGTTTCTCTCTCTCCTTGACCTCTTTCTAGGACAGAACAAAGAAAATGGAGGCAGCGGTCGGTAAACATGTAACCTACCATGGCAACAAATGGATTGATGGTATGTATATTTAATGGCAGGGTTCATTTGTGTAAATACAGTTTAATGGCAGAGCGAAGTGGGGCAATCAAACGGTTAATGGCACAATTTTGAAATGAATAATTAATTAAATGACAATCAGGTGTTGCATTAGTCTTGGTACAATGCAACTATGAAAATGGAGAGCTCTTTTTCTTGACACGTGGTTTCTTGATGGCTCTTGTCACCCTGTCCGACACACCTTACCATCTTGATTGTGTGACAGCTTTGATACTATTCAATGCTTTAGACAAAGTCTTCTGCCCACCCTGTTTATCGCCCTATTTACCACCTTGTTTGTCACCCTTTGTGACTGCTTTACCTTTCTTGACATGTGTGATAGCGTTGATATTATCCCATCTCTTAATAGTCAGAGCCTTCTACCACCCTTTTGTCGTCCTATTTGTTGCCCTGTTTGTCACCATTTGTCGCCCTGTTTGTTGCCCTGTTTGTCGCCCTGTTTGTTGCCTTTTGTTGCCCTGTTTGTCGCCATTTGACACCCTGTTTGTCGTCCTGTTTGTCGCCCTGTTTGTTGCCATTTGTCGCCCTGTTTGTCACCCTGTTTGTCATCCTACTTGTCACCCTGTTTGTCATTCTATCTGACCCTCACCTTCTTGACTTGTGTGACAGACTTGATACTATTCCAAGTCTTAGTCAAAGCTTTCTGTTGAGCTGAAGCAGGCTTCATAATCATCTTGGTTTTCTTCATTCCAAAATGATGCTTGGAACATCTCTATATCAATAACAAATAAGAGGATTGTTTTTTTAACAGAGTAGGCCTACATATTTTTTTTAAATGTTGAATATTTGTGCCATTACATGTTGCATCATGTATAATCAGATTCAAACCTGCCTGTTAACCCTGGCAAGTTTGTTGGTTGAGTAGTAAGATATCTGCACCAAAAACAGGAAATTATGGGTTCGGGTTCGAGTTCAGGGTATGAAATTTTTTCTTGTATTAGAAAGCATTGAGCATACCCTTCCCTTAAAATAGTTGTGAAGGGCAAAAAACTCAAATTGAAATTATACGTTAATACTGAATCTTAAAAAGTCTTAAATCTACGCATTTGCCACTGGCTGTTGTCTGTTGTGTTGTACCATGTTGTAAGTTTGTGTTTTTAAATGCCAAATGAAAAAAACAATAATTAAAATAATAATGTTCTGAAAAAATTCTGCAACTTAAACCAAAGCCTGTCTCCTGAATCACGCAGATCAATCACTAATTGCAATGTCCTTACAAATTTAGCTATACATCTCTGTACATGTACAATGTACATGGAATTTCTTCATACATACATGCACACATACAATGTGCATACATGTATGAATGTAAATGCACGGTCGTCTTCATGCAAATGCATGGTCATAATTTTTTTCAGGGCCTGAATCAGGCTGACCCATCGTAAAAGGCTTCTGGCCAGAGCTAAAGTATTAGATGCTTTGCCAAATTAAATCTGGCAACCCTTTTATACAAGCCTGGTTCTTTCCTTTCCAGTGGCCGCATCTCTGTTTAATACTTGGCTACATCTGTAACACACATGTCTATAGAAAGTGGCTACAGCTGCTTCCATAGGCGCATGTGTAATCACTAGCCACAGCCAAGTAATGTGGACGTGGCTAGGCATACATGTACATTTATGTAGGACTAGGTTATCGTGAAAGAGCTGCAAATAGTTAACGAGAAGACCATGAATTACTGACGTCAGTAAACTTCATCTCTGAGAATCCAGCTGGAATTGCGAGATGAGGTTAAAATCCAGCTCCCTCTGAAAGATTGGTCAGGTACATGTATTCCCTGCTGTTTCCACGGACTCGTTTTGTCCAAAACAGGTCTGTAAATCAGTCTCAAATCTCCGTAAGGAGACAGATTAATCGGGGGGGGGGGGGGGGAGGTTGAGTCTTTTTACTAACAGGCTGGGATGGAGTGACAAATCGGACAGATTGGCTGCATGCTAATTGGCAATGGGACGTGAAGCGAATCCTGAAATCTGAGCAGGTGAATATTTTAGGGAACGAGCGAGGACCGTTGTATGAGTAGTGTTGGATGGATTGCATCCTGTTTAAGAAATGTCTTTGGGTTTTATTGTGAGGATATCGGCACCTTCATTGTAGATGTGGCTTTCATTTAAGTAATCGTTGTACACACAAGAACAAAAATGAGAATTGGAAAATTGGGAGATGCATTGAGTGGTCAAGTACCAGTATTTGCAAGATAACCATGTTAGCATAACATGTAATTGTAAATATTTACATTTTTTTATGAGTGTACCTTATCACAAGGCCTTAGATAAGGCCGCTCAAATTGAAGGCTTCACAAACAGGGTCAGAAAAAGTGGTAAAATTGTAAACCAACAAATTGTAAAAGAACAACTATTTGCAAAAGTGTACTTGTCAGACTCGGAAACAGACTTGACTAACACACTACCAAGCATATCCTTAAGACCTCCAGTGAACATGAGAATCGATATGCACAGCCACGAAGGTGTCTTCTCCTGACATGCACATCCACGTGTCTAACGTTGATGAGACGTAGTGGCGCATTTAAGAAGTCTGTAAATTAATGCACACAAACCCTGTGGCAGTAATTCTCTTGAATTGAAAACATGTAAAGCCAAGGGTATTATTCGATTCTTGCAGGCTCTCCAACAATGAGGCTTGGAAATTTGTGTAAACAACCACCAGGAAAAAAAAAATGAACATCAGAGAGACAGACAAATGCTTTTGTCGCTTTCGTCAATTAAGATGTATTTTTATTTCTGGCCAAGTTCTCTTTTAAAAATGCTTAAACCACTTAGACTTGGTTTTCACAAAAGTATTGGTGAATGACTGTTGGAAACAAACTTGGAAAATACGACAGAAAATAGAAAAAAAATCAAGAGAAAGTAAGTAAACTGAGTCCAAATGTTGGCAGTCAGGTGGACAAACAAACGAACGAACAAGGGCACAGGGCATGAAAGTTTCACTTTAATAACATTTACTTATGAAACTTGGATTCTACTTTTCAATTTGGAAGTTTGACAGGGGTTTTAAAAACTGACTGAGCATAATTGAGAGGCCTTGAGACACGGATGGTTCCACCCTTCTTGATTTTCTCACCTCGATATCGATGTCTGGATGACTGCTCTCCGAGAGCGGAAGGATCGCGATGCGTGTGATGCAATAGACATTATGTCCCCCTGGCAACGAACCGACCAATCGCTGACCGCTAATCAATAAAAGCCTCCAGCTGGAATCTGCAACGAGACGAACCAGGAAAATGGATTGAATTATGAATGAATTAAAGGTTGTACAGAGAGATAAAGCTGTGGATTTATAAATTGTTTTAAATACATGTATGCAGGATCTTTTCAGTTGGCCGAGGAGTAATTCATGAGCCGTGTCCGCATTGGACTTTTCTGGTATATTGTACGAGACTGTTGTTAACTTAACCAAATGAAGTCCAGTGCGTACAGCCGGTAAACTTTCCAAATTGTTAAATGTCGATCGTCGGTTGTTTATCCCTCCACAGCGGGAAATTTTACAGGGCCAATCGGGTCGCGAAAGAGTTACACTGTCAGTTTCCAGTCGCTGAAATGTCTCATGGGGACAACCGCTGCAATGTAAAACATACATTTTGATCATGTTGTTTTCATGGCCAAGGACTTTCCGTGGGCCGTGAGTAATCCAAGTGCAGACGCACGGTAGAATAACCACAGTGGATTGTTAACAATCCCTAACAACAGTAACTTTTACATTAGTTAGTCCAATGTGAATGCGGCTATGGACAGTATGTTTTACTGAATTCTTTGCTCTGAAGATGAAAATTAACCTTGCGTACTTTGCGCCATACGCTTCTGTGCATACAGCTCTAATGTTCATTACACAGAGTCAATAATCAGATAGAAAGGGCAAGAATTTTTCCTAGTAACAGCAGTTCGCTCGAGATGAGACTGTGAGCAATTTACGCATGAATTGTTGATTATTGAGTCTGTCAACTGTGTATGATGAATCGGCCGTAACCATGGAAATGACAGGCCGAGGGATAAAATAAAACCCCAGACAGGCTTGAAATTGCTGGGGAAAACGTAAACTATGTAAATATCAGTCTATTTGGCCATGACTAGCAACTTTGGCCGACGTAGAAGTAAATAAATACTTCTTATCTCGATCTTGATTTGCAAATGTCAAATGTAGCCCAAGTACTCTGTTGAGGAGTATCGGTAGAAATGTGCGGGCAGTACTCCTCCGAATTAGATAGCGATGATAGATAAAGTCTGTCGTCAATTTTTTTTAAAAGGCCTAAATGCTCCGCTTTTAAAGCAACTTGACAAGACTTTTTCCTGAGGCTGGGGGGGGGGGGGGGGCTGGTTGAGCCTGATTTAGTGATTGATAAAAACAAACACTCCTAACCACTTTCCTCAAATAAATACTACAAAAGTTGAGATGTGACAATGAGATGTTTCACGTTATAAATTGTGCACAGAAAACTTCATTGCTTTCAATACATGTGCGTATTACGATGGATAGCCAATGTACACGTCTATGGAAGAACATGGCCAATCAATACCCTCTCTTAAAAACAACAACAAGCCTTTATTGATTACAAGTAAATTGATTGTACACTTCCTGTGAATGAGTGTGAGAAAACCGTTGGGACCAGCCTCTGTGTTTATCAAACACGTACATTGTAAAACTAGGGACATAGCAATACACTAACGTACGCACATTACGTACTGAACTAATGACAGTTCGTCGTGTGATGGAAATCAATACATGGTGGCATTTAGAGGGGAAAAATCGAGGCAAGCGACGGCTTATGAACCGTCAAGAGGCCTGGGTCCTTGGAGTTGCTTCGTTCTGATCCAATACATGTAAGCAAAAAAGGGTGACTGGGAAATTCACGAAGGCCCTTGGGCAAAATTAAATAATCGCACTGCTGTGGCAAACATGCAAATTTACATGGGTCATTCAGTAAATTTAGGGTCCAAACGTGCGCCATTTTTTTCTGTCCCTGTTACCTTGGTACTTTGTAATTTTGCCACTCAAGTATCATTGAGAATGTCTTCAAACGATTGCTTATTTGTGGGTAGGTAGTCTCACTCTTTATGGACAACTGCACTAAGGGGTGGATCCAAATTATAAAATCATAGATGTCAGATGTAACAGGGACAGGAAAAGTTGACCCCAAATTTTGTACACATGTATTTTTTTAAAATTCTTTGTGATGTCCACTATACATGAATGTATAGGTACATTGTAAATTTAGGCTAAAAAGTATAAAGGAAATCCAACGACCTTACAAAGTTGTGATGAGGGTTCCTTTCTATACCTAATGGCTAAATGTGAGTCTGAAAATATTTTTGTAAAAACACACGTATGTAAATGCAATTTCTGTCCTTGGATACGTTGTGCGTATTCCTGATGTTAATGTGATGTCAGTTAATTGAATTTCCAAAATTTATTCCCAGCCGATTGATTATACAGTAATTTTTTTTTAATATTCACCAGGTACAGTTAGTTCTGTGACTGACCCAGTGTTTACTGCTTCCGCCATATGTTATGCATAACATCATAAAAGGGAACACTCAACAATATCAGATAAAGACAAAACCTCAATGAGACTGTACGGATAATTTCGTTGAGTTCGTCCAATTTTTGAATATTGCATCAAGAAACCAGAGCTTCAATTTTACAAAACTTATGTCATTTGTATAATGATTTTTTGGGGGTATTTCTACATGTATATTTTATTTTTTTCCCCATATTTACAAAATCTCGAAAAATTTGAAGCCAATTTATCTTTAACCCAAGACAAAGGAAATAACGCAATTTTTCTTTGCAAAAACTCCCTCTTTCCCTCGACCAAAACAACAAAATCGCCTCATTAGAATCAGTATTTTCCAATCCATAGAACACAAGGAGACACTGACATTTGCTTCCATAATAGACACATAACTCATATGAAATCTCCCCGTAGACCTTGGACTCTAGAGCGGCAAAATGTCAAAATGTCCCACGCCAGGCCTCTCGAAAGTCATTTATAAATGAATCATTTATTAGAGTCCCCTCGCTGATGAGAATCATTCGTCAAAGCCGTGAGTCTGTTGACAGCGAAAACGGCAGATGGCACCATCTAATCCTTTTAGCGGAGAGGATGAATATAAAATTCTTAAAGAGTGGATCTGACCAATATTGATGTTTGGAAAATGTATTGTAATGTTGTAGGCGTGTATTATTTAACATTCATTCAATATATACCCAAATGAAAATATGAATTTACCAATTGACTTGAGCATAATGTGAACTTTCCAATCAAATGTAAAATGAAAAAAAAAATAGGATTATCATAATTATTAAGAGATACCTTCATGTGCAAGCATATTATTTATGTATGAATGCTACTTCCTCATTCCAATTTTAGAAAGAAAAAGGAATCTCCATTCATGAACATACATGTAATTGAAATAACTGTTTTCAAAGAAAATGCAGCGCATTATATTTTAATTAGTAGTTTTTGTGTGTTTTTTTAATTCAAAAATACAACAATCTTTAATATTTCACCACAGGGAGAAGTCCATTAAATTATCATTTTTATCCAAAAGAGCTTGAAGTTCAGATGAATAACAGATTTTCTGTTGTTGTAGACTTGGGCTAGCTATAGATGTTTTGCACTATACGTATCCCACAAACTGAACCCATTTATTCCGGATGTGAACAGCAAAAATGGTGACATTTAGTGCCCAAAGCTTGCTGTAGGTTAGGGATGAGTAAATACAATGTAAGTGAACAGTGTATGATCACTGGATCATGCACCAAACACAGACAAATTGTACATGATTCATGTGTATGCATCAAAGAACTGATGGCCCCCAAATCCAATAAAGACAGACCAAAAGCAATTTCCAAAATACAAGGACCTTCACGGATGGAAGCAGCTTAATCAGATTACAAGCCGCATCGCTGTACTTTGAGGCATGTCAGATGGTAAGGTTCCGTTTCACATTCATTAAAGCTGTAGGCCTGTGAAATGCATTCCGTTCTGAACTTATTCAATAATGCAAATTAAAAGTTCAATGCAATCTCTCCCAAACCTTTTATTATACTGAACATTTATTTTCAACGTTGTTTTGACACTACAAACATTATGTTAACATGTACCGGTATCTGGTAATAATATGAAACAAACCTGTTTAAACATAATTTTTCAGGTTTTGGTGATTTTTAGTTAAATGCAAATTTTCAGGAAAATTGATGCAACGGCACACGTTGGACTCAAGTACATTGTTAAGGTTTTTCGTACCACGACACCTGTACAGAAATAAAAGCCACTGTCAAAATGATTTTCAAGATGATGACAAAAACAATGCGGATTAATTTAACTCCTAGATACCATGCTTTAGAAGGAGTACGCGAATTATAATTAGAAGACTTGTTGTGTGAACTGTAACAAAAATATAGTCCAGTGTATGTGTTTGCTTACTTTAACATACATGTAGTGCAAACTCGTACAAGAAGTTGCCATTAATTATGGACAATGTTGTGTCTGCAAAATGTGTCTGGGTTTGGTTGCCATGGAGACAGATGTTGGATCTGCGTGATGAATTTGTGAAACCAGCCACATGCAACACAAACCATGTGAATCATATAACTTTGTAATAGCTCAACATTCATATTTTCTTTAAAAAGTTTTCATAAAACACTGGTCATATTATTTAGGGCCTACAGAAACAATGGAGTGAACGTCCACAGTTTGCCCTCAAAGATGGAGTTTGCACTTTCGGTAGAATTGCAGTTTAGGGTTGGAGGACAAGAAAGCCAAGAACTGTTTTAAAAAGGAAGAAATAAAAAGAAACTTAAATCCATTGTTTTGTTTTTCTTACTTTGAGATTCCTCTTTTTCCCTTCAGATGCATTTTTGAAAAGGGCATTCTGCACTCACTGGAACCTTGCTGAGCTGCAGAGTCACCGATTTTTCGCATTATTTATTAGACCCAGACTTGATGGGCTTGTGTTATATGAAGGCTCCATCCCAAGTTTCCCAACATGCCTAGAAATCTTTCGCTCAGTCTCTTCAGCAAGCCACTTACAAAGATGAAATCTCCAACGCCTCTGTATCAAATGTCATGGTTCCCATACTATGCACATAACAATGCACATTTGTAGGGAAGACTACATTATCTGCACCATGTTTAAGATGGCCTGACGTTCCGGTCTTAAACATTCAGAACAGGAGATGTATGTAAATGACTTCATATTTTTCATTGCACACACATTTGAACAGTGCATTAAAAAAAATTTAAAATGACTTCAGTATTTTTTTTAAGAGCGTAAGGTTGAAATTGTCTACCAAATGCTTATAAACTATAATCATATGGGGTCTTGATTTCTAGAATTGGGTTGTCAAATTTTTAAATAAGTGAAAATCAAAACGCCCCAGGTGACAAACTCTCCCCTCCTTATCTCCCCCCCCCACCCACCCACCCACCCACCCCTGTTTCTCCCTCCCCATCTCCCTCTTTTTAAAATTTTTTTTTATACTTATTCGGGTTAAATATATTCCAAAATTTGATTTAAATTGTGCTCTAATTTCCAAAGTTTCATTTAAATTTTCTCTCATTTAATTTATCAATTGAAATTAAAGCAGACTATAAAAAAAATCAGGTTTTGCATCTTTAAACAAGCCGCTGCTCATATGCTGTTTGGTTATTGGTAAACGTGCATGCTCCAATGATCACAGATATGGTGCAATTTAATCACCGTACGTCCCAGGTCTGCAGTGAGAATCAATGCCCATGGCTCTACCGTGTACGTGTCCTGAAATAACATATAGTTGTGGAGGATGTGCTGGAATTTCTATTGTCTGTGGAGAGAACTCAGGACAAGTAATTGCATTTTTGCCATTATGCATTGCAAATAATGGACAGCTGCGTAGGAGAATGTGTGATCAAATGAAGCAGTGTTCACTACGGGTGGAAACACGGTGTTACAGTGTAGCACTAGCAGGCATGCAATTGGCTTCACACCTAAAAATGCGAGTTTCATTGTGATATTAATTATACACTCAAATATGGCAATGGGCTCAGATAATATAAAACATTTTTACATGTTTAAAAAAATGCCATATTTTCAATGGGGAGCGCTGATAAAATCCTACAATCAGGCACACTACAGGGTGAGTCAAAAAAAGCGGAACCCAAACCCCCAAAATTATATTTCATACTTAAAAAAATATGTAGCACCAAAAATAATAATGACTGGAAAGCCAATTTCATAAGCTTAGCTGGAAAAAATACTAAAATTGGTCAATCCGTTCAAAGAATATCACCATTTAAACACAATGACCCTAAAACCTGTCTCGTCCAAAAAAATGCGATTTCAACAATCATCGTCACAATTGTCTTCAAACATCACCAGCGATGAAATCTTAGTTTAAATGTTAACATTACGCAACAAAGTCCTTTTGAAGGCCCGTCTTTTCAAAAAGTAGATTTTTTAAATCATACTGTTTGCCTAACCAGGGTTGTTAATCAAAATATTGTGTACAGTTGGTGACAGTTGTTGAAACAAGTATTCTGTTGCATTTCCTTTGTTGTTCCAAACAGTCAAAACACACAATAAATTGCTTTTTTTTGGACAAGACAGGTTTTAGGGTCATTGCGTTTAAATGGTGATAATCTTTGAACGGATTGATTAATTTCAGTACTTTTTTTAATGTAAAAGTAGCTTTTGAAATTGGCTTTCCAGTCATTATTATTTTTAGTGACAACATATTTTTTTAAATATAAAATATATTTTTGGGGGTTTGGGTTCCGCTTTTTTGACTCGCCCTGTATATTAACTTAAAGTAAAAGTGTACAAATGCACCCTTCTCATGACTATTTATTTAGGGGGAGACCATTCGCATACTTACATCACATTCTTACATTTTGCTAATGCAATTTTGTTTTGTTTTTTATTGATTTGGTTTTTTTGGGGGGGGGGGGGCTACACAATTTTTTGTGTTTTTTTTTTAAAGTCCCCCTAGCCCCCTTATATAGTGCTTAATATACCAAATGTCTCAAAGTGCTTTACAATTATTACCCCTGTTCCTCAGGCCATGACACCAATTTTTGCAGCAGTTCGAGATCAGCAAATTCTGGTCTCTACCTTCACTGTCACAGGTACCCATGTTTATACTCCTGGGTGGAGAGAGACAATTGTAGTAAAGTGTCTTGCCCAAGAACACAAGCACCATGTTCCCCGTGGGGGGTCAAAACCCATGTACCAAGGCACGCAAGTCGAACACCGTAACCATTGGACCACAGCACTCCACACTCAGCTGTTACTATCATTCTCACTAAAAAAAAATCCTTGAAATTTGTCTTTATCGCTGGTTGCTATTAACTCACCAGGATGCACTTTTATCTTGCCGATGACTCCGTCCACAGTTCCCAGACACACAGGATTCCATGCATTCGCAAGTGCCGAGCCTGGATTGTTCATTGAAAAAAAGGAAATGACAGGGTCAGAGCTGCAGATTTGCAAAGAAAAGGAACAGTTTTGGAGGGCCTTTTCAAAAGAAAAGATTATTGGATGACAACAAGTTATTCTATGTTTGCCTGACAGATAGGCCTAGGCCTAAACTGTTACAGTCATATTTCATAATCTGTATAGAAATCTTAGGCCTATTTACTTAACAAATTAAACAAACCCTGGAAAGATTCCCTTATCTGGCCATCAATTGTCACTGTGCACAAACCAGAGACTGGTCTGAAAATTTCTAAGTGTTTTTCTCAGTAGCCTAAATACTTCAATATTTTCCCTGCTAAATTTGACTTTTTTGGACATATTGTTATCACTTTCTGATGGCTGATAGTAGTTTAGATCACTGAGGCCTGAGGGGAAAAATTAGTGATTGCAAGATCCTAATACAAAAACAATCATGAGATCATTTTGACTATGTTTTGACGAGCATTTGACATTTCAGCCTACCGTGTTGCGGTTCCAGTTTACCGTCCGATCGACTGCACCACAAACTGTGCTGACCATCTTGCACGATGTAATGATCGTCCGTCTGAAAAAGTTCCATTGTGTCACGGCAAAAACGACTCCAAATCACACATACTGCAGTCAAAGAGATCTACCGTCTTGTGGCTGTGTGACACCAGGGAATGGATCGTTTGTCATCCCACTTTTTAATCACGAGAAATCCATGATTTTACGGGGAAAACATCTATCACTGCAGTAGGCATGCTATGTGACAGCACCGTACCGGCGCGGCAGAATGGCAGAAATCGATTGAAGGAAGGGGGGGGGGGGGGGCACTTAAAAAATAAATAAAATCACCATTAATTTTGATCACGCCCTCTATTGTCGGAAGTTTTGCGTTCTTTTTACCACGAAATAGAGTCCGTAAGAACAGTGGGAAATTGTTAAAACTAGGAATTACTTCCGGGATGTGCGTCATGCATAATTTAATCACATAACAGCCGCTAGTTTATTGTTCCGACTTCCGAGAAATAACCGTGCAGATGAAGTTGGCACTTCGTACAAAAAATTTTAACTGAGAGACTGAGAGATTTAATCTCCGCAGTGATTTGTTCTGTAAGAACTGTTCTCCTGTTTTCTGTGCCGAAATTATCAGTCGTGTTGAAGAAGCAACTATGAAGAATTCTGGTGTGTTTAGAGGTGTATTTCGGCCGCATTTCTTCGTGTTGTTGCTGTGTTTGCTGACGATATTTTGTTGGAATGTTCACACGACAAAAGCCGCTGCTGATACACCTGTCAATCAAGAAACAGGTGAGTCAGTTTGTTGATCACTCTGTCTGTCTATGTGTCTGTTTTTCAAACCACCTCTATTTGTTCACCTGTTGTTTTTTATTTCCACTTTCCTGCTTGAGTTTGTCTTGTTTGTGAACAAAAATAAATGTATTGTAAAAAAAAAAAAAAAAAAAAAAAAAAAGATTTTGTTTCATTTTTTTGTAAATGTTGGTTTCCCTTTTTTTCAGTGACAACCTGTGTAACATGCAACCGACATGAACAGATGATGGCCAAATTGAGTGACTTGAAACAATCTGCTAGAGTGTTAAGCCACAGAGTAAGCTCACAATTTGTTTTCCAAAATTATTATATTTTCTGAATCTAAAAAAAAAACAAAAAAAATTGTTTTACATACTTCACACATGTTTTATATTGCTGATTTATTAGAGAATTTAGACCCAGTAACTGGGGCGCTAGAAGAACTCCCTTTTTGACATTGGTCTGTCGTACTAGTGACCAAAGTCAAGATTCGAAAAATAAAGAGAGTTCTAGTAGCGCCCAGTTTAATACTGGGTCTACAGATTAATAGGGGTACCTATTTTTTTTCTGAAAAAATAAATGATTCTGCGAAATACATACAATGCAAGATACACACTGTCCAAATTGTGAAGGTCTGGCCCTAGATTAAAAAACATTAAGAACAGACTTAAAACAGACAGTCCTTGTGTGAAGAGACTATAGTTACATAGTCTTACAAAATCCAAACTGAAACCATGGCAACTACAAGAGTGATCACCTTGAGGTCATAACTCAGGCAGCATATTGAGGGGGGGGGTGGCGATCTAAACCCTTCGAGCAAGAGAAATACTCAATTAACCACAGTTTAGCCATTGAATTGCTGCTTTCAGTCAAACACTGATCATTCAAGGAAATGCAGGAAGTTCACAGAAAATTTTGAAGGGAAAACAAATGTGTAAAGAGACAAAACTTTACGCCTCATGTGAATATTAAAATTGAAATATTTTGCCTGGACTGTTTTCAGACAAGTCTCCAGACAGTCAGACATTGTGTACTTAAATCACAGTTTGATTTCTGTTCATTTTTTATTGAAGGTGGAAAAAGTCGGAACTAAGTTGGACGATCTGGAGCAATGCGATTGTGCGCAGAAATGAAAACCACCTGGGATGGAACAGTAGTGACGTCTGAAATTAAAGGTTACCGCCAGACACGCACATCACCAAAGATTACAAGGTGCAAAATCCTTGCCAAGAATTGTTAGTAGACAAAATCCAACAAGTTCATTACTGCAGGAAGTTGAACAGTTACAAAGATGGTTGTTTTTGTTGTTATACAATGTCTTCAAGATACCCAGTTTCCATGGCAACGGAAGTGATTGAATTGATTGAGTGGATAGCCCTTTAAAGTGCACCTTGACCTTACTGCAATCATTTCTACTTGTCCTGCAGTGATTTATTTCTGTACTGTTGGAAAACCACCATGCCAATTCTGACTTGTGGAATGCCGTCCACTTCAACCAAATATGCATCATGGCTGACTTCAAATTTCACAGTGATTGCTCCAAGTTTGTTTATTAGTTTTGCTGGAAAGTGACAATTTGTGGATATTATATTTTATGATGGATGTAATGTTGTGTGTAGCATTGTAGATGATGCCAGTGGGTCAATTTGGGATGTGTCCGTTATTAGAGTTTGAAGTTGTATGTGAGAAGGTCTTTCGATGCAGAAATGGCTAAAAAAAAAAGTTCTTTAGTTTTCAATGATATCAATTACCTGAACAGAATTCGGTTTTTGTGCTAATAATTAGGTCTTTAAACACTGACAGTATTATAATGTGGTGGTTTTTGTAACATAAAGCTCATATGGCTAACAATATTTTTTAGCTTTTATTTCACTACTTGCCAAGTACTTGGCAGAGGTAAACAGCTATTGTGTGCCAAACGAAACTAGGCAAACATTTTTAACTTTACAAAGCCCACTGCAGTTTCATTATCAACATTATGTAGTATTTCTTTCAGGAGATATCCAAGTACAATCACTGTAGATCTACAAATGAAACTTTTCTCTCTTGTAACTACGTGGCATACTTACAATTTAACATATCCATTGCATTGTTGACGTTACTGAACTGTACATGAACTTAATATGGCATGGGAACCATCAGATTCAATTACACGTACATGTTATGTGTTGGGGGAAGTCATAACATTGAAACCAAGTACACTATAAACAACCACAGATGGTTCCAATTTCACATAGACTTCCGGTATGCTATTTGACAAAATGGTTTCATCATATCTCGATCTGTGAAAAAGTTCATGGAAAAAGATTTCATAAATTGCCAAACATCTTTACTTAATTAGTACATGTAGTATTTTATTCATTATTTTTATGTTTCATTAACGCTGTGCTCACTTGAAATATTAATCTCTTTCCAAGGCCAAATGACAATGCTATTTTGCCAAATATTTTTTATAGTTTTATAATAACATTCGTGGCTCATATTTATTTAAACTCATCATTTTTCTGCTCGACATTTCCATGTTAAGTAATTTTGTAATAAAATGCAGTCAAGCATGTGAAATCAGAAAACTACAGTTGTCAACATTTGTCAAGAGATCGTCAGTGCGCAGTGCGCAACCCCAATTTTTCGGAGGGGGGTTACTTTGGGAATAAAAGTTGCAAATTTGTTTATTTTGAAAAGGCCATGTAGGGTCTCACTTACTCAGCATAGCTAAAGTTTATAGGGTGTGGCTCTTTTTTTTTTTTTTATCCCTGCCACGCCCTGAACCCCACCCACAACCCACCTGATCGACCACCCAAAAAAATCCTAAACCCGTCATTGTTTAGAGCTGTGCGCCCCCTGCAAGACTTCTGAAGATAACGCATATGTTGTGCCCATTCTTGAAAATCACGCATTCTCGAGAATGGGCATGCACATTCTCGAGAATGGGCGCGCATTCTTAAGAATGAGCGCCCATTCTTAAGAACGAGCACGCATTCTTAAGAATGAGCGCTCATTCTTAAGATTGGGTGGGAATATCACGTGCACAATTTATGAATTTTGCCCAATCTTAACAAACATTGCACGACATAATTATGTTAAATGAATTGTATAGCGGTTAAAAGGGAAACAATTCATATAAAGAGGAAAGAAAATGTGCTATGCTTCTGTACTCGTATAACTACGATAATTTGAATCAAATTAAACTTGTTATTATTGCTTTTTTCTGCCCACTATGGGAAGTTTTGTAATAACGGAGGACTGGGAACTAGTCTGGGAAGTGCTTTGTTTAGGCTAGACAAGTTACAAGTCCCTGCATGTATCATATGCGTGCCACGAAAAAAAAAACGATGTCCAGAAGCTGCCAAAATTGCAGCTCTGCGACGTTATGGTGGGATGTGAACAATAACTTGGTGGCAATTTAAATGGGAAATAGCATTAGCACTATATGGGATGTCGCAGTATTCATTCTCATTCTTCACATTCTTCGTTCTTACGCCCCCCCCCCCCCCCGCTTTTATTATCCCAAAAATCAGAATTCTTTGCACTAGTAATAGTATTATTATGTCTCTTATATTTTCCCGGTCCCCCCCCCCCCCCCGCATATCAATATGCCTTTACTTATCATATCCACTCTACTTTTCAGCGCCTTGCGTTGCAACAGTATAATTATTGAGAATCAGTGAACGAGGATTCAGCTAGACTTGCCAAGCGCAGCCGGTGCTCGGCATCGACAAGACCGTTATCTTGTCGCGCATTCTCAAGAATGTGCGCTCAATCTGGAAGAGTTATTTTTTGCCAAGATTGAGCAAGGATCCAGTTGCACATTCTCAAGAATGTGCACGCCCATTCTCGAGAATGCGTGATTTTCAAGAATGGGCACAACACATACATTGTTTATTGGGCTGATCTTGCATTCTTTTACGCACACGTGCTGACCACAGCACCAGCCAAATCTCCGCAGTGCCAGTGTTTGTGCAACTTTTCTTAGATTTTTCTCTGAAATAAGATGCGAACTTTACTCAAGCATTTGAAGTGTGTACTAGGAACAATCAGTGACAGCATCAATCAGAAAGTTAAGCGAGGTTAAGCTACAGGATTCTCACATTTTGTAACTTTTTTTCAAGGTCAAAATCTGACCTGTCCTGAGAAAGTTTTCGAATTCAAGATGTCGTCCACATGGGTTCCCAAACCACCACGTAACGCAGCAGCAGCTGGATCCGGAGCAGCACAGTGGCCTAAAGCTGTGGGGTCTCGCCCCACTCAACCCCGGTCAACAACTACAGAATCTCTCGGTGCTTACACGTACTTCAGTCAGGGAAATCCAGGGTCTTATCCCCACCGACCGAGCCAGATGGTGACTTCACCAACACAACCCCAACACCGACCGAGCACACCCACCGCGTACAAGCCGATCAATCCCCCGTCACAACCTCAACACCGACCCAGCACACTCACCATGTATCAGCCGGTCACTCCCCCGTCGTCTCCCCCACGCCCAACCGGCCCGTCTCCCGTCCAGTCTACCAAGCGTGTTGTTCAGCCACAAAGAGAGATTAAGTCACCTACAGCGGGAATTTCGAGTAGTTCAAGGGTAGGCATGGAACATACTTATGACGAATAACTTTGTTAGTACTTTTTCATTATCATTTATAATAATGCAACTTTTTAGTTCACTTTGAAGTTGGACATTTCCTGATTGGTTGTTTTATCTTGCGACGAAACTTTGAACAGAATAATAAATAATTTAGTCCTAAAAGACTTTTTCGATGCATTTCTTTTTCTTTTGAACTGATATTTTGCTTTAGAAATACATTTATACTGTTGAATACAATGTAATACAGTAAATAAACAAAACTAGTGGTATACTACACGAATAGTCAATGTTGATTCTGAGTATTCGGGCATTACAACTTTTATACTAGGGGAATATTTGTACCAAGTTTATTTCAGGCCTCACAGCAAAACCTTCTAAAACCTATTTAAAACTATGCACATATTTTTATTCCGGCATACATTTGAACAATGTTTAAAGAAAATTTTAAGAACCAATTTAACCCACAGTTTAGTTATAATTATTACAAAAATAACCACAAACAATATAGGCCTACCTCTCAGGGTTTTTTTTACAAGTGTTTCAGACTTTGGCAGTTTGCATGATATTGGTAACTATATCTAGTGGGGAGAACTTTGCTATATTTCTGCTACCTCATGCTGAAAAATTGCACGGTTTTGCATCCTAAAAACCTATAAAAAGCTATATTGATGAGGAGGGACACTGAGGCCTGATATGCAAAATGCACCACATTTTCAAGCCAAAATGTCATTTTACAAATGAGATGAAGATTTTTCTTATGTTTTGACTTTCCTGAACAGGTTTCTCCAAGTTCCTCCACCCGACCCACTTCACCCCGCTGCATCTGTCACCGAGATCACTCCAAGATCATGTGCTACGTCTGCGGCAAGACCCAGGTGGGCCGTGTGCGGATGCAGTGCCCTGAGCATCCTAACACCATTCATCTGATGGACTATGACCGATGTCCAGTTTGTAAGGCGGTCAATCTGGCCGAGATGAGACCTCATTGAGTGGCTTGGAAGAAACGGGTTGGGTTTTGAGATGATGCGTAAAGTATTGAAAGTAGACATAGAAAGATCTTGCACCTGCTTTGAGTCTGGATAGGTGAAACGGTAGACCTCTTGCACTGTGGACAAGTTTTATTTAAAGTCAGTGACAATGAAAGTACTAAGTGTCTACTCATTTATATAAAAGGGGAATAAAGACTTGTCCTCTGTGTTTCCTAAATTGTGAAAAAGTTTTGCCTATTTTTGTTTTGCATGTTTTTCTGCACTCGGGTCCTAAGTCTGCTCCAGGCCTATGTTTTTTTCATGTAACCTTAAAATCTTAAAATCAAGCATTCTTTCTGTAAGTTTTATGTTCTATTTTCATTTGTTAGACCGAATTGTGCATTTACTGTGAAAAAGCTTTTCAAAATGTCTTGGTTTTAATTTGTTTTTTTCAAGCAAATAGTGAATGAACAAATACTAAACAGGATGATGTTACAAAAAGTTAGCAGAATAAGAGGTAAGTAGAATTATTAAGAACATCAGAAGTCACGACATATTCAGGATTAATTTCAACATAACGGCTTTTAAATTTGACAAGATCTTTCATACCAAATATATCTCAAAGGTACTTTTCAGTCCAAAGACGTTCTTGTTCACTTTGGATACAAAGAATACAACTTGCACTGATTTTTGGAAAACCATCTTGGAAGATTTGTGATAAGGTGAGTGATGGAACAAACATTTTGTACATGTAATTTAGCTGTTGGTTTTCAAAATTTTCATGAAAATGTTGGGAAAGAATTATTTAAGTTCAGGTGCACATTTTTCCGCACAGGAAACTAAAGTTTTTTTGTTTTTTGTTTTTTTGAGCTCAACTTCAGGGAATCAATGCACAAAACAGGTAAACTACAGGGTGTTCCCAAAAACCAGAACTCTCAAGCCACCCTTTTTTTTTTTTACAGCTTTCAAATAATAAATCACATATCTTTATACATATTTGACAAGTGTATTTCATCAGCTTTTCAACAACGAAAAAAATCCTTCGAATTGGAAAAATATTTATTCAGTTACGACCAATTAAAAAAAAGGGCCACCTTTTCATTTTGTCCGCGGTGACTGATGCTTGACTTGCACAGTGAGAACAAGGGCCAAAACTCATTTGTGAAAGAGGCAACCATTAGTAGAGGGCATAGCAGAACAGTCAACATCTAAGATGTTTAACAAAATGGTCCTTTTCCAAAAAGAGAAGTGACCATTGTTGCAAAAAGTAAAAAATAAAAAAATAAAAAATAAAGAAAGTTTATAAAATTTAAAAAAAAAGAGCAAAACTATCCTCACCCAGGCTCACCCCAAATCGATTATATTCCTCATAGTGATAATTAAGACCATGGACAAAATGAAAAAGCGGTACTTTTTTCAATTGGCCATAACTCAATTAAATATTTTCCAGTTGGAAGGATTTTTTCGTTGTTGAAAAGCTAATGAAATAAACTTGGCAAATATGTATCAAGATTTCTGACGGTTTTTTTTTAAAGCTGTGAAAAAGAGAGTGGCATGAGGGTTCTGGGTTTTTTGTTTTTGTTTTTTGGACACCCTGTATGATTGTAAATATGACATTGCTTTTCCTTTTTCAAGATTTTACCTACATGTATGGTATTTAATGAAAGTACTTCTTGACATTGGTTAAAATGAGTCTGTTCTCTCATTTCTGAGCTTAGAGTAAAACGTTACCTACAGAAGGGTTAAGGTGGATTTATGTGAGCTCATAGTACTGTCAAATTTTAGAAGAAAGGTGTACATTTAAATGGTTTGATACTGAGGTTGTAGATTTTGCATTCTGGCTTGTTTTGCCAGTTCTTACAGATATGCATGTATTTATTACTTGGAGATGCAAGTTCTATTCAAGTCAAAAACTTCATTTTTGTCACTAAATACAAGTAAATTACAACATAGCAGAGAAACAAATATCAGGGATAGATTTAATGAGTGCCAATTTCTTGCATTTTGTTGAAATATGGAAATCAGGGTTTAAGACATTTCTATTTTGTTGCCTATTTTTGAGTTGTTTTGAAGGTTTGTTAAAAGTAGTTTTAAGTTTGATTTTTGTTTCCATAAATCTAAAGCATTTCATATACACGTATATATGCATGAAGCAAGTTCAATTACAAGTACTATTGAAAAGAACTCATGTTAAAAAAGGTATAGTTTTAGTTAAAGCATCATTTACCTGCGAAAGTTGTCTTTCCTTAAACATAAAAAGATTTCAGTAATGTAAAGAGATTTATTTAAAGAGAACGTGTAATTCATAATGTTTAAAAGGAACGACCAAAAAAATGGATTTTATGAGGGTACTTTGAAAGTCAATCGTACATTGGTAACTTTTGTTTCGGCACTCTGGTCGAAACAGCTCTCTTGTTTTTATTAAGAATTCAACCCCCCCACCCACACTAAAGTTAAAGTTAGGGTAAATCATTTGTCATTTGTGCATTTTGTTTGTTTGAAGCATTAGCAACAAAAGTGCTCTAAATTTAAAGATGGGTACTTAATAACTATCCCGAGGAAGTTTTAGCTCTGTGAATGCTGTATATTCCAAGAAAAAAATATTCTAGGATCTCGGTTCAATTCAAAACTTGCCAAGTCATGTTTTGAAATGCGCCCCAACTCAGCGTCTGGGTCACGTTCTCATTCAGCCGATTGCAGCTAAGCATGTCACGCACTGAACTTACGAATAATAGGAAGCGCATGTGCGTTGTGTCAACACTTACACGTTCCCATTCATGGATTCGCCGAATTACAAACCAAGTACATTGTACCAACATAAATTTCCAAAAATGCGTCACTTAAATTGACGCATCTTTGGAAATTGCCTTCTTTTATTTTCTTCAAAAAGACAGCATGCTCAAAGGAATAATTTCACAGGGAGTTTAGTGCCATTACTATCGTTACACCGAGTAAGCTTTATAACAATAATTTTGTCAATTACTTTTTAAATAGCTGCAAATGATCTACTCTACCTTAAACCAACATTAGTTGGTCTGAAAGTTTATATTTTCAATGAAAGGTTTTCATTTACTGACAACTCTATTGTCTTGCCCATTGCAGTTTCATATCGCCAGTCTTCCCGAATATAACATACTGGTATGCTTTACTACATGTATGATCCAAGTCAAAACATTGCCAAAGAGTATTCCATTTTGTATACATGTATATGCGTAAGTAACTTTTTTTTCTTCAGTTTTGTAAATAAGAAAACATACAAGAAAGAAAAACGTTTAAAGTTTTGTTATATTGTTTAGAAAAATGAAAAAAAAAGTTAAAAACCTTTCTTTAGGTATTGTATTTTGTATTCAACCACAATTTACATTAGTAAGTTATAAGAACGGAGACGTTTCAACTGTTATGTTATACAATAAAGTAGGTAACTTTATTTGTCAACTCGGATATCACAGCTTTGGTGTTAATTTTCTTGACTGACAAACTGACAGAAATGGCGTTTTAATGGCAACACTGAAAGCTTGTTTTAAGTGTCATTTGGAAACATTTGAGCTTAAGGAGGTTTTAAACAATGTAACAAATTACAAAGGAACCCAAAACAAACACATGTATATGAATTGATTTTGAAGGGAAACAGTGCCACATGAACAAAGACATTGACCAGTATTGGGGAACCGCCAACATAGGGCTGGATAGCTCAGTTTGTAGAGCACTGGAACGGCAATCCAGAGGTTGCTGGTTCAAACCCTGCTCCTGTCAATTTCTTGTTCAACTTTGAAAAAAAAAATATTATAATGCGGCTAATCAGTTCCCCTTTGTGGTTTATTTGAAAATTTGAAGGGAAAGGGACTAATTTTAGTAAAAATATTCAATATCTACAGTAGTTAAGTTAAAGTTACTTTTCAAATTAAAAATATGTTTTAAGTGTTTTTTTTTAAAGCAAATTACACAATTCCACAAAATATAACTGCTGAAAAAGGGGGATCGCTTCCATAATTTTTCAAAATGTTTCCTTGATTTCTTCATAGTCTACAAAAAGAAAAACTAACTGGAAAGTCTATACATGACAATCGCAAAGCCTCGGAGAGATTGTTAAAAACACCTTGCACCGAGTTTGTAAAATTGAACACTAACAAATTTCAAAACGATCTCTCATTTACTAAATGTGGCTACTTACTACAGAAGTGCTGGTTCTACAATGCCCAACTAAAAATTTGCTACATGCATGTAATCAAATGCTTTGGAGCTCAAACACAAAATGTACTTTTTTTCCAAATTTTGATGTTATTGTAACTTGGAACAATACTAACGTGACAATTATTCAGTCAAGACGAAATTTTATCTTTGATCTCATGACGTAATCTGTAGGTTCACTTGATGTATATAACACTTAATCTGTAATTACACTATAACAAACTGCACTTAATATGTCTGTGCAACGAACACTAGAAAACTTTTTACAAAACGTGTGAATACATCTGCTGGTGCCATTTCAACACATAATCAGATATTAGAACATTTTTACAATAACTGTTACTTTACTTACTGTAAGTTCACAATTCTACAATCTTGAGATTTGACATTTAAGTACAGTTGCAGATAGTCGCTTAAGATTTTTTTTTGAAAGGATGATAACATTTTGATAGACATTGAGTTTGAATTGCATTCTAATAAGCCTCTGTACTGATGACGTCACACTTTGTTTACACGTGCACTTTCCTATGGAGCCAGTGGGGGTCCACTGAACACCATAGGAAAGCACACACGTAAACAAAGTGTGACGTCATCAGTGCAGAGGCTTATTGTCAATGTAACCTGTCACGTGATGCGCAGAAAGTGCAATTTTGTTCTGAACAATTGAAGAGTTTGTTTCCAAAATGCGATAAACGCCATTTTGTTACTTTTTAGAATCCCGCTCACTCCTGGTTGCTGTTACTCAATTCAACACATTTTAAAAATGCGATAGAGTAAAAAATGTGGTTCAGTAACATCTGTTGTATTGCGCATGTTCGATAAATTTTCAAAACCACGGAACTTTGTCACTTTTTTTCAAACGGATGTATCACTCTTTGATGTTAACAAAATTGGCACATATAAAGCCGTTTGTAAAAAGTAAGAGTGCCGAAGTTCCTTTTATATTTGCACTTTTGTTATTAACCCTAACTCCCTACTGAGTTTTACTATGAACAGCACCAAGTCCTCCAAAATCCATCACTGACTCTGCTTCACATAATGCTTCAGGACCACATCCGCCGAAATCCACCACAAATCCAGCACTGCTAGGTGGATTTTGATGGTACTCATGGCTTGTCTGCCAAAATCCCCACAAATGGGAGGATGGATTTTGATGGAGTTGGGAAGGTTAGGGTTAAAGAGAAACGATACACTTTGAGCTGATATTAATTTGATATTACTTGTTTCTATTTCACCACCAGGAACATCATTTTTCAAATCCCAACTTTAAGCAACTCGTATTTTTTCGTCTTACTGCTGTTTGATTGTCTTAGACTTGTCTCTTTGTGGTTCCCAGTCACGTCTCCTTAGGCTGCTGCAAAGCTTCCTGTGGGCTGACGTAAGCACTCTCGGGAAAAAACTCCTCCAGTCGATCTGGGTGAGCAAGATACCTGTCAGAAACGACATCAGAAATTAAGCTTATATTCAGATATTTATTTCATTACCTTCACAATATTTAAAGTTACTTGTGAATCCTTTCTCCTCCTTCCCTAATCTTTCTTGATCCTTCAAAATCAAACAGATGGTTTAGAGGATTTCGCAGGGTTGAGAAAGCCCGATATTGGGATGTTTCAACATGGTTCAATGAATTTTCCACTCTCAATTATTTTGAGCAAACGGTAATACTAAGTTGTATTGTGATTCACTTTCATATAAACAAACTAATATTCTTACTTGAGGAACAGTTCGATGTGTTTGAGAAGTGGGCGGAGCTTCTTTGGTGGGAGGTCCATCTTGCCAAGCAACTCTGGAAGCTTGACTAAAGTAAACAAAGACACACAAACAAACTTATAAATATTCATGATGTGAGAGGAGCAATTTCAGTGACTTGAACTGGACTTCAAAGTGCTCAGTTGGTAGAGGGCAGGTTAAAATCTGGCTCCAATTAATTTCTTTTTTCCCCCTAACTTTTACTTATTAAAAGAAGACATCAAACTTAATATTTTCTTAATTTGTAATGGTGGATTTTAAATTCACAATTAAAAAACAAATGAGAGGATTTTGAGTAAAAGCTTGTAGTTACTTTCTTACCAAAGAGTCTCATAAGATGTTGAGCCCCATACATCTTACAAGGCGGCATCCTTCCATCATAATTAGCATCATCGTCTAAAAGTTTACAAGACGGGAGTTTCATATCGCATACGTTAATCCCAAAGTTCTTGCCATTGTGATTGGTCGCTTTGCCATTGTTTGACGAAGACTGGTTGGATTCCGTCGATTCTGATCGACTAAATGGAGCAACTTCCGGTTGGGTTTCCGGAGTCGGAGAAGACGGAATGGAGGAAACACTGGAAAGTCTTGTGGAATGACGAAGCACTGGTTTGGATGTTGTTGTGTTAGTAACTGCTGAGCTGTCTTTGTTGTGACTTGGTGTGTCGACCGAGTGTCTCTTAGGGTAGGGGGATCTTGGTGGATGATCCGCATCCGAGCAACGTCTCTTCACAGGAGGTAGAGGGGATGTTAGCGTGATCTGCTCGCTGGTTGAAAGTCTTCTTGTGACCCTCCTCAGAGTTTCGTCCTTGGATTTCTCGGGGGAGTCTTTGGTATCTGGCTTGGCTGGTTCCTTCGTAGGCGAGGATGTAACGCTGTGCTTTCTGGGTCTACCTCTTTTAGGTGGCGACCTGCTGAGAGGAGTACCAGTGATTTAAACAATCAGTTCCTGCCATTGGATCCTATTCGTAGTACTCATGTCATTTAAACAGTTCATTCGGTTTGAAATATTTTCAAGTCTCCGTGTTCAGAAAGTGTGAATTATTTGGAGTTTAAAGTGTGAAGTAGTGTGGGCCAGTGGTTGGAGAGTTTCATTTGGACAATTGTTTTGGTAAGTTGCATTTCAGGTCTCCATATTAACTCATAATTAAATAATTGGAGATCAAATTTCAAATGTAAGGCTCTGTGACACCTTGCCAACAGGCCAGCAACCCAAACATTCGAGCATCTTTCGCATGTTATTGGGCCCACAGAATATGTCCACACTTAAACCATTCATATTTCAAGTAACATACATGTACATGTACATGCAATGTAAAAGAGAACCATCTGCTACAATATGGCACCACGTGACCATAACATAAAATGTTAAATGGTCCACAGAGTTGCAGTCAGAGGGTCTAATTTGACTTTTGTAACTGAGCGTCTAAATTGTTTGTATTTGGTTATTTTCATAGTATTGCTAAATCTCTTACTTACAAATGTAGCTGTACTTTTAATTATAAAAGTAAGTATGGGAGTTAGGTTGGCACAGCAGCTCTTTCCTCGCCTTCCACCACTGTGACCCGGGTTCGATTCCTGCCCTGGCCACATGTAGATTGGGTTTTCAGTCCCTACCTGATTCCGTGGGTTTTCCCAGGAATATTCTTCCGAGGTTTTTTCCTACCTCTAAACTGTAATTTCTTCGCATTGTCTTCTCTCTACAGGTTTCTTCAGGCTTTCGAGCTCAGTGTGCTTTTGAGGAATCCTTGGTTTCATTACCAGATAATAATTAAATAAATGTACTTATAAACCCCTCAGTACTTACGGAGTTTCAGGCTCGGGGGCCATGTCTTTTACGTAACAAGACGTGACAATTTTCTTGTACTGTTCTGTTTCGATGCTGTACAGCAAGTTGGTCGGGAGAAGAAAGTCAAAAATGATGCGTAGACCGTCCATGACTTCCTTACACAAATCCACACTGGACAAAAAAGTAAAGAAAACGAAAACAATATAATCTATTCCAAATGCGTTATGTACATGGTCACTTATTACAGCTTAACATATCACGGAAACTGGGCCTAATCCTATGAGTTAAAAGACTCACTTGTATTTTGGTTGTGGTGGCACCACCAACCCTTCTTTAGCCACTGTGTTGACGACGTTCTGCGACTGACTTTTCTTTTTCTCATGAATCTGGACGTTGATGGCGAAATGTCTGATGTAGCCCTCCATGAGTGTCAGTATGTTGTGCTCACAAGGTAACTTCACCAGCTGACAAAAAGAAAACGATTTCAAATTAATTTCCTGTAAACTTTGCTCTCTTTAACTCAACACGATCCACAAGAAGGAAATTTTGTTGCTGATATGGGCAGTTGTTTAAAAGGCCTGTAAGTTTAGCTGGTTTTTTTTACTGGTTGTTGTTAACTTAAGCAGAGTACCTGGAAACAATCTGAAGAGGTTAGAGAATATCTCAATCCTTCAGAATTTGCAGTTAGAAAATATAAATTTTACATATAAGTCCTTTTATGCATAACATTTGGTTAGATTCAGCATGCGACAAACTATGTTGTGGGATTTCATTTTCACTTGACTCGTTCTTGAGAGGTCAGGGAGACAGGTGTTTGGTTATCAAGGATAATGGCTACCTGGTTTTTCCGAGTGATGAAGTAACAATCATCTTCCAGTTTCATCTTGAGTGCCTCAGGGAGGGGAATGGGGATCTCTACAGCCTCCAGTTCCGAGGACTGAAAACACAAACACAGTCAAGATCATTTCTCAGTCAATTCTCTTGACACCAGAATTTGAAAAGCTGTCTGTAAGAGAATTCTGGGTTAAAGATGCCACAACCCAAGGTCTCTGCCAAATTGAACAATGAGGATTCATGCTTACCGAGTCGTCGCTATCATCACTGTCAGCTACACCACTACTCATGTCAGAGTCCGAACCTGAAGAAAATAGCAAGTGATACGTTATAAAGTATTCACACAAATCACAACGGAACCACTATTTCAACAAATTAATGCCCTCAATTAAATAGAATGAAGTGGCTCTACAATGAACAGTGGTGAGTGGTATCTGCTAAATGCCTGTCCAATGTATTTGCATGAAGCAGTGACAGCCTCAATCCTCCAATTTTTAATTTAAAATTTTTTGGGGGGGCAAAAACCAGCCAGTACCTCATTCCTCCATATTGTTCCAGCGTCAAACAGGGCATGTTAACTACGGTCCTTCATTATAAACCATATTATACCCTCAATCCTTACAAATCCTCTGGTGCTATTACTTATACACGATCCTTGAATTTGTGAATTATGCAAAGCAGATATTGGAGGATTTTGCAAGGTTAATAATATGGATTTAATACAGTGAAACTTGCTTCAAATAGATGCACCCATGGTACATCATCATTATTATCGTTAGTCATCTTCAACATTTCCTACCTTTACCAGCTTTCCTCCTCCTTGCTAACTCAACCAACTCAGTCAGTGTCTTCTTTTTCTTCTTCTTACCCCTTTCGCCAAAATAAGGAAAAATTCCGTAAAATATTTGAAAGACCATTTGCATTTACTGTACTACATTTGTATTAGACTTAACATGTTCTTGTTTCGATTTTATTCAAAATTGGTTAACTCTTTGAATTAGTGCCTTTCCATCAAAGACACGTTTAAAATAATGATTTTTCACACACAAGATCATCAAAATATCTTCCCTAATGGTGACTTTAGATTTCTAAGTTTGCATGATATCTGTACAACCTACATTTTGGCCAGAGCCTGGCGATGGAGTTTCCCTTTCAGCTCCAGGTTTTCGTCTGTGTATCTCAAGATGTAGTGTGCTGGGGCCCAACGATCCCAACTGTTAAAAAATAAAATAAACATGAAATGCTGTCAATAATCAAACTACATCATAGAGTCTGGGGGGGGGGGGGGGGGTTGAAAGAAGTTGACCAGCTGAAACAAACATTGTAAAGGAATTCATTTCAAAACTTTATCACCAGCATTTTCAATATTCTGTGGTTTTGGTAATGGTAAAATTTACTAATATATTTTTTACTAACGAAAATAATAAAGAAATGACCAACAAGTTGATTTCCTGTTTGATTTGAAACTGACCTGCTGTTCCAACCATTGAAATGTACCAAGTACTCTGGCACTCTCTTGTTGGTGACCTCATCTTTGGTCCATTCCACCTCCAAAATCTAATTGAATCATGAAAATAAAGAATGAAAATGACAAGGTATAGTTCCAACAACTGGAAGATGGAATATGCAAGGACTGAAACATCCTAATTTATATGCTGCTTATAAAACAATTACCACTGCAATGGCCAATTTTGTGAGAGATCACAATGTAGAAACAAACATCTGTTCAAAAAAATTCCTCAAATTATTTGTACCCACTACCTATAAGTTCTAACTGCTAACAGGATAAACATTTGAAAATGCTCTAATGCATTGATTTGAAATGGCATGTAAAACATAAACGTTTACTTTCCAAAACTCTGCCAGTTCGTGACATACCTTCAAAGCCTCTTTGGACAGAGGATCAAACTTGGCCATGGATTTCCCCAAAAGCATTTATCTAACGGTCTTTATCATAGTACAAAGAACTGATCATGTGGCACACTAGACACACCAGACAGCTGTGTGCTTTGTTCCGCCTTGGGGACAGGTGCAAACCGCGCAGGCCAATAGATCACGTTGTTTACATTTTGTCAACAGATGTCAACAGAGGGCGCTAGACATCATCCTTGGACGGACGACGATAAGCGATGAGCCAGGGAAAAAAATTACTCGCAGAAAAAAAAGCGAAAAGATATGCCAGAAATGATCGAGAAAATGTATGACTTCTGTTTTAAAAGTTGTACATCGACTTCCGAAATATAAGGGTTGAATCAATGCAGAATGTATTGTTTATTCTAAATAATGCCTAATTGTTCAGGACAAGGTGGAAATGGGAGTTGAAAATCAAATACAAAAACAAGATCACATCGCGAGCACGTCGCGACTCTTGACTTGAGTCAAAATTTGATGGAAGATTCAAGGTAACTACATTGAGATTTCGAAGCAGAATCGAATAGGTTTATACTTACTTTGGAATCGTAAAGAACTCTCGCTTTAGTGGGATCAGGTTCGAAGCACAAAACATGCTCTCCGACGCTAAATTCGGCGGGTTTTAGGCCCCTCGTTGCGATCACCGACGTCGTCATGGTGGACTTTAAAAAATAAAAAGATCGATTTTTGTGTGCATGGTTCCCCTTAATCACTATACGGTTGGCTCAAATACCGCGGCAGGGAGCCCGACTAAATTAAAGAAGCACGCTGAGCGCATGGTAGATGTAGAGGGCGCCCTTTTTACTTACCAGAAAATCGCAGCAGACGACATTCGTGACATTTTGGCTCCAAATTTTGACTCTGTCATTTTCTTGGACCTGGGTGAAAACATTCGGCGGGCATATATTTAGACAGTATTGTCAGTAAGTACCCTAACGTGCAATTTTTAAAGGACTTTAATTAGGAGCTCACGTTGTCGTGATTGTTTTCTGAATTTCTTTATGAAATTCCTGAACGAATTTTCATGATAACATTTTGATGAAACTTCTGAATGCCTAGGCCTATTAGTATTAATTTTTTTTTTATATATAATGTTTACTTTGATCACAGTCTGGACATGCTGGAAAACATCCAGGCTTAAAAACTTATATTGACAACCATATGACAAGCATGACAAGTAGAACTTGAAGACGCAACTTTTGACTTATGAATATGAGTCATGAGGAATTGTTTGGGTAATCCTTACTTTTAGGACCCCGTTCCTATATACGGTTAAAAGACTCACCAAAACAGCTGACTAAATGACACTCAAAAGTGACATTCTGATATTTCTTGTCATATATCTGAACAGTATGACACCTTCTTGGATGTCAGCAGGTTTAATTTTGTGGAAAAAGGCTGGCGGGGCTTTGATTTTAGAGGGAAATTAAGGGAGAAAGATGACGATGACGAACAGAAACTGACTCAAAAACCAAGATGGCAAACTGCACAAAAGGGTAGGAAAGTCACATTTTCTTTGAAAGTGCTTTCAAAATTACAACTAACATGAATTTATCTGAAGAAAAAAGACTGCTTTAGCCTGCAAAAGTCACTTTGGTACTGGACAGTCATCTGCAAAAGTCAGTTTTGAACAGAACTCGTAAAAATTAGAGGTGTCCTAAAGATAAGGATTACCATTGTTTGTTTTTCATTATTGAAAGTATAGAAATAAATGTTTTTTTTGTAATTGAACTGAAAAAAATTATGATTTAAATTACAGACAATTTACGGGGCTAGGTCCTAGCCAAGCTCAAAAGTGTGATTAATAATAATAATTAATAGCACCAGAATGTGCAAGATGAAAAGTGTAATGTGGATATTTGTTGAATACATAAGTAAAGACATGCACGTTTTACATTCGACCATTTGTGTTAATGTAGCATTCCTGTCACGTGTATTTTTTGTAGACATGGGGGACGACCCATATGAAGATGACAGTAATGATCCTTCACAGCCACTCCACCATCCTGCTACCCCATCGGAGGCTGAGCTTCAGGTTCAGAGGATGCTGGGAGAACAATTGCACACTGACATCTCTATAGAGCAGTAAGTGTACGCACTGGTTTGCGTGAAGTACTCGTATAGTGCAAAGTAAACGACACTAATGTTATCCTGAATGTGCACAAAGACATAGAGTGTTAGGTGTCATCGGCAATAATGTACTTGAATATCTCTCCCTGTGCGGTCTCCTGTAGCTCTCCCTTTCTTGTGCACGGAGCCCATATTAAATGAAAGACCGAATTTGTGCAAGGTCCTAAGTTTGATGAATTCAAGCAACTACACGGCCAACCTGAAGGCACATTCAATCTACGAGTGGGTTGGTTGGACCTTCATTGTAAGCAATTCAGGAACACCCACTCATCTCATAACTAATTCATGATCCTTCTCATTTGCATATATCCTAATTTCCATATCCTCATTTGCATAACCTCAATTGCACACACATATTTACCTTGGTTCCTCGGCAGGCAGGTTTCTAAGAGCAGGTCGTTCACCCCGGCCACGTCAACCTTCAGACCTTTCGTTGAGCGAGCGAGTGGTCAATTATCCCTGGAGGAGTTTCAAGCTCTTGAGAAGGAGCACCAAGAACTTGAAGAGTTGAGGGCGTGCGGACTGAACGACCAGGAAATTGCCTTCAAATTGGAACATGAGGGGCGACAGCTATCCAACCTTCTTTATGTGAGTCAAGACTTTAAAGAGGACAACCAGTTCAGTGTTTGACCTCCTTTCTTGTCTCATTCAATGGTGTTTGGGGAACGATATTCCACTGTTGAATAATCAGACGCAGACTTGTAATGGAGTCTAGCACAAGTTATCACAAGTCATCACAAGTCGTCTAGTCTCAACTCAAGTCACAAGCTATTCAATCCAGCCTTGGTTTATCCCCTGTTACCTGTGATTGACCTGGGATTGGGATTGGCTGAACTATAAACATAAAAAAAAAATGTGTTGCTGGGTGCAATTATATGCATGATGACTTGGAAGTACAAGAACAAATGGACTGTGCACGCACAGCTATAACCATAAAGATGCTTATTAAAGAATCACGTAATATCAGTGCTTGCGTTTTTAAAGCCAAATTGCATTGCAGAAAACAATCATTTAAAAATTTACAGATTTTGCTTTTTTTGGTAAGACACTTCACCTTTCCTTATAAAGAGTCCTTTCTCCTTGCCACTTCTTACTTCCTTTGCTATAATCATTCAAAAGTTGCGTTGTCTTTTGTTTTGAAAAAATAATTTGAAAGTTGAAATTGTTATCTGGATGTTACTTTGACGCCTTTTTGTCCATCTGTTAATACCTTAATACAAATGTTTGCCTCCTTTGCCAATGACTCAGATATCCTTTGTCCATTTCTCCTAGCCTCACAAGAGGGGTCATTTTCTCGCTGATCCTGCCACTCGACAGAAACGTCTCAAGATAGTGGAGGACAAGATCCAAAGAAGGAACACACAACTCAACTCGTCACAAGATGCGACATCATCTTCCTCTGACAATCAACAGATGACTGATGACTCACAAGGAGGAAGTGCTTTCTCATCTCAACATCAGACATTACTTGGTAAGAAATTTCAACCATTCTTTTAGCAGTCATTATTGTGGAGAACCTTACAAAATCCTTCAAAATCCTTCAAAATCTACATTCTGTGATTTTAAACTTCAAGGGGCAACAAGCTTTAAGTAGATTCACAAGAGCTGAGTTCTACCCTTCCAAATCCAGCAAAGTTCTCTATTTTCAAGGAACTCAGAAGGTTTGGGTTAATGAAGATGAAGGGTACAGTAATGATGGATTTCTGTAGCAGGCAAAGGACTCAATTTTAACCCTTGACTCATAAATTAAAATTTGATGACTGAGAATTCACTCTCGATTTGTGAAGCCAACTTCTTGTTGGAATAATTTGAAATTTGATTTCATGAAATTGTAAAATTAGATGTGTATTTCCCATTGTTTTTGCATTGTTGTGAAGGTTTTTGATTTTTTTTTTGCAGTGACAGTTCATTAGTTCATGAGATGGTTGTGTAACTGTAAATTATTTACCACTGCCTTAAAAAAATCAATCTTGTTGGTTGGTTTCCTTGAAGGCAAGAAGTTTGTCCATCCAGATGATCCCATCAACCATCTAGATGCCATCGCTGCCGGGCTTTTTGGCAAGACCAATGAAGATAAACAACTTGGAAATGTTTCACCAAGACGAGGAAATACCACGTCCCTCATGGGCGAACCCACCAGAGGATGCAGTCCCGGTTGCCGTGACGACGGTCCTCATCCCACAGAAGAGGGAGGGGTCATTAACGAGTGCACCTCCAAGGAGAAATCAGTGGGTATCTTCAGAGAGGGATTAAGAGCAGAGTGTACATCAGAGTCCGTCGGCGAGGAATCAGTCACGGGACATGCTACTCACATCGGCCAAGCTAGACATCTAACTAAGCAGGGAGTGTCCCTAGAGGGCGCACCCAAGGAGGGGATTACAAATTGTGCCACGGGGGGTTTAGAGACGAGAGAGAAATCACGTCTTGTCCCGGGAGTGGAGGGGGAATGCATCGGTGGACAAGGTGAAGATAACGAGCCCCGTAGGCTGATCGACGTCATCAGACCTTTGTCACGAGAGGATTTATTGCTGCATCGTCTCAGTCAGGATGACATTTGTAGGATGGAGCGCTTTGCAAACTACTCACCGGGCCAACCAAGCAAGGTAGACTTAAACAATATTGACCATCCATCAGTATTTGCCATTTAACAATAGAGAATGTTGATCAAACACTCAGAGGCAAGCCCTTTCATAAACACAGACCTAAACTTCAATAGCTTCAAACGGATTCAGAATGTAGTTTCATTTCAAACACAAACAAACTAATTAAGATGAAAACAAGCACACTCCAAAAAAAAAAGTCCCTTCTCTGGTACTTGATTTTATTTTTTATGTGAAAATTTAATTTTCTGATTTGATGAGTCAACATAATCCCTTAGAAGTTTCATAATCCATGGTCCAAGTTTCAGTTATTGGAAAATGATCTTAATTTTTTTAGACCTATTTCACCAGCTTACCAAAATCGACAATACAACAATAATGACTTTTGAAAGACCAAATCTTTGTCTGTTGTTGAATTGTAGGTTCTGTACCTTAAGAACCTGTCAAGTAAGGTCACAGAGGCTGATCTAGCATCACTCTTCATCAGTTTCCAACATCCTGACAAACCTAAGATCCTCTTCAAACTTCTTAAAGGAAAGATGAGAGGTCAAGCTTTCGTGACCTTTGCAGGTAATCTAACCTGGTCAGGGGAAGCATGAGTTATCCCATGTTATTGTTTAGTTCTCTGTTTGTTCAAAAATTTATCCTTCAACAAGTTGTCCAGGTTTAAAATAATTTCGAAAAGGGAACATGTTCCACAATATCCGATTCTTATAAAAATGTGAAATTCCCCTAAATCAGGTCTACAGAAAGAAGAAGGAAAAACTTAAAAAAAAAAAAAATACAGAAAGTTTCAAACTTTCTCAAAATATCAAATATTATACCCTTATGCCAGATATATAGTTGAATATGCCAGATATATAGTTGAATATTTCCTTCTAAAGTATAATTTCATTGCTCACTCTTTTTTTGTGTGTTCTGAAGCTGCATTACCTAAAATATCATCATGTTAATACTGTACCATCTTTCAAAACACAGTTTTCAGTCCGATATTTTGCAGGCACGAAATTTTTCTGATCCTCAACTTCTTTCCTCGTTTGTTCTTCTGAACTTCCAATCAGTACAGTGCTGCTGGAAACTGAACAAAAAGCCTTAGAAATTCTTGCTCAGTTTGCAGTTTCCTCATGTTTTCACTGACTAGCCAGCCGGGCAAGTCATACAATGGTCAGACCAGATGATTGGACTGCAATAACCCTATTGATGGACGCTGAAGTAAGTGCAGTGACACACGGCAAATTGACACACTGTCATCGAAAATTCAAGACTTGTTTTCCAGCTGCATATGCCAGATGTTGACAAGATCCAAACACCAGCTGTTTCCACGAGAAGCTATTTCTTCAACTGATTGTTGCTTTTCTTTTAAAGTCTTCAAGTGTTTAGTCTTCTACCGCCATTACATTTGCACACCTCTCATCTGTTGAGTTTAATGGACCACGTCTCTTTTATTGCAGACACAGAAACGGCAGCTGATGCGATGGCACATGCGAATGGTTATCCATTGAAAGGGAAACCAGTGATCATACAGTATGGAAAGAATAGGTGACAGGGAACCAGCAGAACATCACAAGAATCTGTCAAAAATGGTAATTTCAAAGTTGAAAGACTAGACTGTTTGAGCTTTTTGTCACGAATTTTAAACAATGCATATGAGGAATAGTTTTGAGACATAACATATTTTTGAGAGTCTCTTTAAAGGTTTATTCTCTTTGAAAAGAATGAATTATGCCAGAATTCGGTTACAAGTTTACCTTTTTTTTAGTGCTAAATCATGAACAATTGATCCTCTATTCCACAGTAACTCTCACTCTCACAAATCCTCCAAAATTTACCGTGACGGTTTAGGAGGACTTTAGAGCAGGATCGAGAAATATACAGCCCAGGCACCATAACTTTACACCGAGAATTAATAATCCTAACTCCCTAGGCCCTTTTGGCTTGGAACCACCCTCAATCCTGCCAAATCCTCCAATTGCCAGCATGTAAAAATTGGACACAGCCTCAATCCTCCAAATCAACCGTTATTTATTGAATATGTTCAGTGGAGGGGTGACAATTGCCTCAATCCTTCCAAGTCTTCCAACAATCACTGTTAGTAGGTTGAGGCAGTGTCAATGACACTCAGAAGCAGTGTGGATGATATTGAACATAATGCAGGGCTCAATTATGCATGGCTGAACATAAACAATGCTGGGTACAGCCTACGTGTACTCAACACAATGCATCCTCCAAAATCAACCAACAATTTTATGCCATTCAGCCTCAATCCTCCAAAATCTTTCAAACCTGCCTTGAGGAGTTTGGATGTTTGAGGAGGGTTAGGGTTTTACATTTTTGTAAATGCCTACGAAATGTGCTTTTGATGCTTGTGGGGGCGCCCCCCCCCCCCCCCCCCATATATTAGTTATTAATTTTGGAGGATTTAGGGAGTTATCGAGTCAAATTGATCATTTATTGTTTAACAAAGTTGTGCAACCAGCAAACTTTGTGAAATCAATTATTTAACTGGAGCATGGTGTGTATATACCCAATTAGTGGGACCAACTCAATATTTCTATTTTCAAAATTTCCAACTGAGATCACTAATGGTCGTTGTTTCTGTCAACCTGAGTTATCAGATGTCAGGCTAAGCGGTGATATGCAAGTTTAATTCATCTCCTGTCGAAATAAATAACGGGAATGTTACACACCAAGGAAGATCAAATCACTGTGATTCATACAGGGGAACCATAATGCAACACATTCAAGCAAATTAATCTTATTTTTAGCTCGGCCGATCTTGTCAAGTGTTGTATATTTTATAAAGTTGAGTCGTAATGGTCGTACATGGTGCCAGACCTACATGTGTCGTTATCAGTCATGTTCAGGCAGCTACACCTCGACCAATCACGTGCTTGTAAGATTACACCCATGCCATCAACTCTGGGCAGTAATGGATGCGGTGGTATAGGTCACCGCGTGAGTACCGGGTGTGAATAAACCAGTTCCCCTGCAGCAACTGGCCTGTGACAATAACCCCACTTGTCTTTCATCGGAACAGAAACGCAGCAAATGCTATTAAGAGGAGAGGGTTGGCCTGGCACGGTCTGGGCCCGGACCTCAAGTACCATTGAGAATAATTACCCCGTTTGTGCTTGACCAGACTCTTGATAAAATCTGTTACTAGTCATACCTGGAGACGTGCTGTAGAAAGATGTGGTTGCCATGGTAACTTAACCATGAAAATGGCAAAGTACTTCACTCATACACTGTCAGTCACACTGCAATAATTTGGTTATTTTGTTTGAAATTATTTACAGGAAATTATGTGCTTGAATATGATTGACCATGATTAACACCAATGAAAACTGTTGCAAGTATTGTCATAATAATGTGTCTCAGTTGAGGATCCCTTGTTTGTAGAGGGAAAAAATGGAAAATGTCGCAGACCGTTCCCAATTGGTTTATATTTCCCAAATGAAAATCAATTTCACACGAAATGCGGGGCTTTTATTCAAGTCAAACCACCCACACAATTCTCTCTTCAAAAGAAGGGAGATGTTTGTCCATATCATCATTTGCTAGAATGAGTGTTTGGCTTTTTGGTAATGAAGTTATACGAATTTCTCGTTCAAGTCTTTTTTTCATTCACTGTCGGCTTCCAATGTGTCTTTACATATTCAAGTCATTACTCGTTTAGATGTACACTAAGTAAGCAAAATCCATTGATTTTGCCTAAAACCTTTGCTCTGGCAGATTGCAGCTACTTTAATTCTGAACTAAATGTCTTTTTATGAAGCAATATTGATTGACAGATGTCCAACCTGAAGCAGATTAAGATTTTCTTACAGCCCATTCAGATACCCGAGCCTTAAGAACACTAAACTGGCATTATTCATTTCTTTTAATTATTGTGCCTCATCATTTCGTTGATTATTTTACAGCTTCTTTGAAAGCTTTCGTGAAAAGCTGATTTTGTTTGGTGAAGTGCATGAAATATCTCAAACTTAGTCCTAAATGTATTTTTTTATGCTCCATATTGAGTGGAAGCTGACATATTTGTTCTACATTCTGTCCAAGCGATGGATGTAGCTTGATGAAGGTCCTTGTGTCAGGCTTCGGGCCCACGTGCAATTTATATCGTATGGCAATAGGTCAAGTACCGTGTGTTATGCATACCTAGATTCAGGAAACCAGACTACTGGAGAAATAGAATGATGCGGCGATGTGCATAACAATATCAATTATTAAATTCTTATCAAAATCACTGACATGGGAACTGCATAGATACTAAATATTTTGTAGCTTCAGATTGTAAGTAGTGATTAATAATCATTGCCATTTATTGGGCAGCATTTTTTTCTTCTCAATGAGTTTTCTGTTGTACGACGAGTAATCTCAAATAGTGATTCGCTAGAATTTTACAGTTATCGCTTCTATCTCTTGCATTTCATCCTTATTTGTGTTCTGTTTTTGATTTCTCATTAAAATTCTCATGTTCAGTCATGTTTTGTTTGCCATCTTTTAAAATAATTGATTTTTTTTCCTCAATTTTGGTTTCATCCTGTTTTGTGTTATTTATTTACAAATAAGCTACAAAAACGTCCCTTATCAATCCATCTTGATAACTCTTCCTGCAGCAGCGTCATTCAGAATATATCGATATTTTGTAAATTACTTCGTTCACACGTGTAACCATATATCCTGATATCCGGAATAAAAGTGTCTTTCTTAGCAAAAGTACAAGTCTAGGGTATAGACTTCCAACCACCGGAATTAGAAGTCATTTCCTTAATTAGGTGACACGACGGTTGCACGCAGGTGGAACGTACGCTCTCGGGGCTCCTTCAACCAATAGGATTGTCGAATTACACGCGCGCCTCAAATTAAGAACGCGCGTGATGGGCGCGCGAGCGTGGCGCCACCTCAATAATGGCGACCCTGATTTTACACGCATGTCATTATTATACTGAATTCCCAGTCATCTTGCCTGTCCTCCCTCCTTCAACCCTCCTCAATTTTCCTCATTGTGATATAGTTTCCGACATGCCGAGCATCATCAGCAGGTGTTTTTGCCAAAGCCCCGTCTTTTACCAATGATGACTTGGTGATTCGGTGACCCTCTTTAATTATCTGTAAGGTCATACCCAGAATCGCCACCTGCTATGAGGCTTATAAGAAATTCTTACTATTACTGCAGCGCCGAACCACTTTAGTACTGCTTTACGGTCCATGTTTCTTCATGTCTTACTCAAAAAATTAAAGCTGTCTTTAATACTCAAAATTAATTCATCTCCAAACCCAAGCCCATCTAGCAAAGCAACACCGAAGCCTTTTTGATGATACTTAAAACACATAAAGCACCCACTCTTTTCCGAATATTTTCCAAATTAATCCAAGGGATTCTTATAAGAAGTACAAACTAATAAAAAAAAAACTCCTTGATAACATTTAGATATACGACCTTTATTGTAAAAATGTCTAAAAGCTGCGTGGGTTAGGCATTTTTAGTGTGTGTAAAACAAACTTCTTGATGCCATTTAAATGTACGACCTTTATTGAAAGCTGCTTGGGGTAAGGTAATTTTTAGGGACCAAATTATGTATCTGTCTTAACTCAAAATAGATCCCTCCCACTCCTTATCCGACTAGTCCCATGAAAAAAAAAAGATATACATATGAATCACCCACTCTCTTTCTGTAAATATCTTCCAAATGAATGAGTATCTTTGCAGTAAACCACGGTGAATAGAGTAATGAGCTATTTTCCGATCTATCATTGGACGGTGCTGGCCAATTTTCGGCCTGATGTAGCATTTTGTTACCGTTTTATGTAATCATGGCAACCGTCTGGACTCATTGTGGGCTGTTTGGATGTCCCAAACGAGCGTGAGATCAGGTTGACAGCAAATCCAGTCATTATTTTGTATGATGGAGCTCTGTCAAGGTCTTCAGTTTATTAAGAATTTTAAATGGATTGGATTTTCAACCTTGTAAATTTTTAGCGACAAGAGTGCAGAAATTGCCTTCTATCTGTCAGCATGGAGTGATTACCGCTGACAGTCGAAGGTGAAAGCTGAGTTGCCATGACAAAAATCCTGTTTTGATGGTCAATTTAAAGTAAATTTGATTGCCACTGGCTCAGGTTCTAGAGAGATTTGCCGTCGTTATCGTCGCTGTTCAGAGACATACATTTATTAATATAATGGTAACAATATCGCCTTCGTATAGTGTCGTTTTACTTGATTCATAATACTTTTGTATATTGATCATGGAAGTGTAGAACAAACTCAATTGCCACTGATGGTACGCAGAAATTATGCCAGTGTATATTCTGTGTATAATCGTTGGTAACACCAATGAGTATTTCCCCTGTAACCCTTGACATTCGTTAGTACTCTTTGTGAAGAAAAAGTCGAACCAGTTTGATGTATAATGGTGGATTTTTTGCTTTGAATCAAGAGAATATTTTGTATTCCACAGAATGGCAGAGAGAGAAGATGGCTGTAATCCCGGATTTACACATCTTCCTTGTGGCAATCTCCGTCTCCCAGCAATCGACAAGTGATTTCAACTTCTGAGCGCATCTCAAAACCTCCCAAGGGTACCGACGAAAAAACAAATGCCGGCTTTTAAGTGCAATAGGGACACGGAGACGAAGCTGGATAAGACGGGGGAAAAAGAGGAGCTGCCGTGTTTGTGCCTCCTAAATGATATTATGGTTGGGTCATCCAGCCTATTTGGACAGCTGAAAATGTGCGGAAGCTGTAGAGGACGTTATCCCCGCGAGCACCTGCTGCGATTCCCGGGCCTCTCGGGTACCTCTCGCTTCGTGGTGTCTCCTTCATCGAAAGCCCTCTCATCGTATGTACAACGCCCAAGCCAGGAAGTATGTACTCTGGCTTGCTTGTGGATCATGTTTTCTCGCATTTCCCACGGGTGTATGATACTGCCTTCAACCGGATAAGCTTGTCATCCCAACAGGATTGTAATTTGTTTGATTTTTAATCCAGGAATCTGATTTATGTACAGGAATGTTGTTATGCTTTCGTCTAAGAAAAAAAAAACAGACTCTGTTTGCTTATGTGCTTCGTGCACTTGTTTTCCTATTCAAAAATCCTCAAATGGTTTTTATTTCTATGAACTCAAGTTGCCCAATAAGACTTGTGCAGTCCACTTGAAGCCTCGTCAAATGCTGTATTGTCTTTTCTGTCAAGAAATCCCATGCAGAACCCCTAATTCGCATAGTGCGACCTCCAGCGGCAGATATGCGCCGATGGCTGCTTTAGGTACAAGATTGGTCGCTGTACTAACGACTGTCACCAGAGACAAAGATAAGACCTACAGAGTTGAACAGCCCGTTTTCAAATAGTGTGGTAGAATCTGCGTTTATGAAATCTTGACTTGGTGTTGGCATTATTTAAAGCCATCAAGATCTCCAGTATTAAAACTCTATCTTGATATCACCTTCACACCCCATCGCCCCTTGCAACGACATCAAGTGACTCTGTCCAGACCTACAACCCAAGAGAGGTCATCATATACCGCGCATCGATATTCCACCTGCACATCAGTGGAGTGCAGAGTCAACCTTTTGTCATCAATTGGAGGTGTCAAGAAGGAGGAGGAGGACTGAGATCCCATATTGATGCCAGTGTAGATAGGAATCACATCGAGTCAACTCCTCGGGGATTGGAAGCTCCTTATATTATTAAACCTGTCAGGTTTTTTTTTTTGGCAATGGAGTGAGTTATTAAACGCATGGTCAGTGACGAGATGAGAAAACGCCATTTGGCCCAAGTAATGACTTTCTGTTGCTTGGTGTTTTCTTTATGCCGAAGTACTGGCAAGTGTTTACAGGATTTGATTTATTTGGATTGGTTTGTTTAATCAGGTTTATTGCTTTGCTCTGGTTTTTCGTTTCCTCCGGGATGATCAAAATCGGAGGTGGTTTCGTTCGGCTTTTGTTGACGACAGGTCGTGTCTATCGTATAGTTGGAGAAGTCTTGAAAAGTTCCAATTGATTCTTGGTTTTTGGGGCACAAGTGATTGGTTTTCATTATACCCAACTTCAACTGATATATGATACAGTTTGGAAATTGTTAAAGGTATCCAAACTTTTGTACACTTTATTTAAAATGAAACCTACATGGTGAAATTTCATTTGCTGTGACTAGCTTTTAATACTATGCAAAAATTGGACTCGAATTAAAGGTGGAGTGAAATGTTTTGGTATAAATAAATGTATTAAGAAAACCCGAGGGGAAAAGTTTATTTGACTATCTCAGCTGCTACAAAAGAAAGACACCCGCAAGCGTTTTATGGAGTAGCTCTTCATAACGACTTTCGTCTTCGTGCACAATTATTAATTTACTGCCGGACATTAATCGTCTTCTCTTCTTCAAAATCGCTAATAATTCCTCGATTCATTGGCTGCATTGATTTCAGTATAGCTCGTTCAATTGATGGGCTCTGAATATGAGCTGTTTTGACAAGATGGGTGTTCTGTATTGTGTCAACGTCCTGTGAAATTAACATTCCTCGACACGTCTCCTTTCAAGAATTTCATTTTGGCTCGTGAACTGTAGACGTACCTCTAGGTTCAAAGTAGTTAATTTTACAAAATGTTGATATTAAATTACCAATTTGGTTAAATTAAAAAGCTGGTATACTTCTATGCCACTGGAATTCCTCCGAGTGGTCTACCGTTGAGATGTCTCATATCGCCCCTTGAGCTGAATTTCTTAGATGGCGGTCTCTCCGTCACCCTGAAGCATTTTGGCTGAACCTGAAGAATTGCTAAGTGAAGTAAAAGCGGGTTACCAGCCAAAAAGTAACGCATATTGCTCGTGACTGGTACCCGGTTATTTCTGCTAAGCGCCTTATGCAGTTAACCTCAGGTGATTCGCTAACCCATTTATATCAGACCGAGTCGCGGCAGATCGCCTCTGAATTACTTCCAATTCGCTGTATAATCAACAGCATGTTGCTCGGAGCGATCCGTCTTGTCCCGAAATCCTCTCGTGTTTTATCAGGTATAAATCAAAGCAATTTCTCTTAACCTCGATCCGCGACCTGGCCTGATTTTACGAGCAGCAAATTTAATTTGTCTAGCGCCAACCATTTATTCAACTGCATTAGAGTTGTCAGTATGGGTCCTCGAAACCGTATTAAAACAATTTTCGAAAATATAATCTTACAGACTTCTTTGCAACAAATTTATTTTCATCTTCGGTACAGATTCATCATTTAGCCGTCAGCGTTGCTGACGTGACCTGTTGTGGAGAAGCTATTTTGGAGAAGCTATTCTGTTATCACTACAAGGACAACTTGAAGAAAGTGGGTTATTGCTCCCAAAGCTGGAGACTTCCAAGGATGCAAGGACGTTTAAGCGGGAGCATGCTTGACCTGCCGTGCTAAGTTTGCTCGGACGAACTGCATATTCAATGTAGTATGCGCAAGCGCATATTGCCTGAACGCAATTTCAGCACCTGGTAGTTTTAGCACACGACATCGATGGCTTTAAATGAGCTACACCCATACTTGTACTGGCGATCGTATTACAAAATGGTCTTAACTGAAGAGGTGGACTGACCCCACCGCTATCTCATCAAGCAAACTCGTCTTCGTCTTCGCCTTATCTTACTCCAATCTAATAATCTTAATGTACTATTCTCAGTGAGTCTTTTTCCCGTAATCTTCGATTTTGTGTTCGGAATACACAAGGGAGTACTTTAGTTGCCGTGGCAACCAGGCCAGATTTCTGCCGTGATTGTCGATTTTCATCTTGACCGCAGTGAGTTTGACCCTCTATGTCCGGGACGTAGCTGACTGACCCTTTCGCCAGTCAATATTAGTCCCGTTATTTTCCTCGAAATACTTCTTATGCTTCGAGAATCGTGTCTTAGGAGTTTTCTTTTTATTGTAAGGAGTGGTAAGGTCGTCGGATTTATTGCAGTTACAAAGTAGAACCATTTCTCTGAATTCTAGCCATTCCCAATTTAGGTTGGCAGTTAAAACTCCTATTAAAAAGTTCTTTTTGTTTAATTTCTTTTTCATCTTCGAAGTTAGTATCTGTCATTCGCGGATGCTTCAATTATTAAAAATAAAAATAAATTCCAGGGATTTCTCTGAGTGACACTGACGCTAGCCAATACAGACACACACAATAAACGGAGATATTTATCTTGGAAATCAATCAGCATTTTCTTGCGATTAGAATCCAAGAAATCTCCTCTCATCTCTGTCAAGTCTCTGTCAGCATCCTAACGAGAACAGGTCTTCTCTTAGAACAATCTCCTTGCCCGGAGCTTTTTATACAGTTCACCTTAATCTGGGTCTCTTTTAGTCACAGACCCCCAAAAAATCTAATCTAATGGCAGCTCTCCAAATAAACCGATCTTGACCGGTAAAATTAACCATGACCGAGGGGAAATCCAAGACGGTTTCGATGAAAATCATGCTTGGGTTCGGCCGACATCTACTTTCTCGGAGTCACTTTATAGATAAACAAAAATGACCCAACGAAGCAACCTGTAATTTACAGAGAACCTAATCTCCTATCTGCATCAAGGACGATTACAAAACACTGTAGCTTTGCTAAGTAGCACTGACAATTCCGTCATCGAGCCGACCTATTTTATTTAACTTTTGCAATTAATATTGCATCTTTGGTTTACTCAGTAATTTCACAATATCCTTTCTGTTAATTCATTATCAATATCTCGAGGGGTGTACGTGCGCGTTCTCATTTCTTGAAACGTTTAACCCCGTTTTAGGTATCCTGGCGGTGTACTCTTGTCTCTATTGTCCGCTGTAACTGGTCTCTTGTATGCCGTGAATGTAGTATGAGAAACTCTACCCAACCGCCTCGTCCTTATGACATCAATACTTCATCGGCACTGACGGAGAATAAGATGCGCAAAGCTAGATCTGGAAACATAAAGAAATCCCGTGGGACCAGTTTTATTCTCAATGAATATAGGTGTACTTTTTTATTGTGTACTTTTATGATGTCCTGGCTTTGTATCAACACAACGCATGTTCGCGTGTTTGTTTATAGCTAGGTCTGTTTGGGTGTTTGTGTAATTGATGTTGTGCTGTTCTTTGGTCTTCTCTTTCCCCTCTCTGCCCCTCACTCTCACCTCTGACTGACCCCGACCCCCTTCTTTAAGTCTTCATCCTGCAGCCTGTATCACTAGAAGCCCCTGCACTTTGTTATTTACACATCTTGTGTTTATACCATCTCGTCTTTCCTCAATGTGTTTTTTTTTTCAACTGACAAATCTTTAGTTTCCTCCCAAATCTTTCAGCCTGCGATTGCATGTAGTCTCACACTCATTTCCTCTCATTTCCCGTAAAACAGAAACCTTTCCCCGGCTTTATTTTGACACCTCTCATCAAGCGTCGTCTCTCCAACTGGTGTCTCCTTCATCAGCACCATTTACTATCGTCAGTAGATAGTGGTATCATCACCTACTCTCATCAGCGTTAAAAGGCTACGGTTCCAAAGTCAACACGCTGGAGTCCATACAGGTCTGGAGATTAATTGAAACATTCCTATCAGACTCCTGGACTATAGAAGCACAAGTGTGACGAACAGGTAGGCCCCGTTACACACTTCACACAGATATACCGCTTTGCCAAAATCAAACTTGGGTCTTTAAGAAGCCGGAATTCTAGTTTCTGGAGCTGTTCTTCACTCTACCGCGCGCCACGCTTGCGGCAAAACGTGACCTATGACGGCATTATATTAGCCATGTGCACAAAAGGCGTGCGTCACTGTTGACGTCACTGGTCGTGCATCTTTTTAATTTTGGTAATAGACAAACTTAATATAACAACTTTTTTTAGTGCGAGAGGTGGATCGATATACAATAATGGATTTTTGTACACGCCAGTTAACTAGTAATTCATTTACCACAGTTTGACAAGTTTACCCATTCCTATTGGTCGAGAGCCCGTCCCGTGGATGGTTTTAAACCGCTGAATAAACACCGCCGCGCTCTGCGCCATATCGCGCAGTACGCGCCGCGTGCGCTAATCTCTTTAAGGATATATTTAGCATTATAACACCTCACCCACAGATTCTGTGTCTTGATTGGCCGAGAGTGAGTCACATGTTACTTTCTATTGTTGCTATCTTTCTGTGCACGGCCAAAAGTACTATACACGTAGCAACCAAAGTACTATACCATTAGCAACCAAAGTACTATTTCCATGGCGCGGCATTTGTGTGCAAATGCATGCTGGTATGCGGGTTGCGCGTTGCGTGCAGCGCGTTTTGTTCCAAAGAGAGCGCGCCACATAGTTGGGTTCAAACATTTCGCGAAGGGGTAGTTTGGAAGAGAGAAATACATTTTCCACCAATTTTGTATTCAAATTGAAGTTTATTTCAACTGTTTCAGATTTAAATAATTTAAAATATTATAACCAAGCAGAATCTGTGGGTGAAGTGTTATAAAACAAATATTGAATGCTTTATCTCGTGGTGAAGTAAAACTAGCCTCCCTCGGTGCTCCATGGAGCATTCTATTTTCCCTCGGCTTCGCCTCGGGAAAATAGAATGTCCATGGATCACCTCGGGAGGCTAGTTTTACTACACCACTCGAAGCATTCAATATTTGTATACTATACGCGCGCGAGGCACATTGTTTCACAAAACATGAAGCAAAACGGTTGAACAAAATCGTTGTGAAACTTTTAACTTGTTTTGACTTTTTGACCGAAAAGGTATTTATGAATGGAAATAAATATGTGCTTGGCCGGTATTAAACAAGTACGTTTAAAACCGGCCGGGGCCTGGACGCGGATAATGGCCCTGGCATATGGCTTGGGCCATTATCCGCGACAAGGGCCCATACCGGATTTAAACGTACTTGTTTAAAACCGGCCAAGCACATGTTTATTCCCTTAGTTGTACAATAAAACCTTGACATTTAAAATGCATATATATGGAATATAGTTGTTTTTTTTAAGGGGGGGTGTTTGCTAGCTTTTTTTTTGCCTGTAAAACACGATTCATTAATGGTACAAATGTAATGGAAAGATGCCATACCAAAGTGTGTTTTTATGTAAGCCAATCAAGTAGACTGACTTGATTCCTGCGAGATGTTCATGATCACCGATCACTTACACAAGCTGATATCTATTTTTGAAATGCAGTCAAGTAACTTGATGTTGAATTATGAAAGCATCCCGGTTTCCTATTTTTCCCTGGCGGTTTCCATTTCCTTCTTATCTTGTTCACATACGTTTCTGGGAGGCTAGGGGGCGCCTTCCCGGTCACGCCCAGTAATCAACGTCGCCATTTGATCCTCCTCCGGTTCCTCTCTGTCCAAATCCTCAATCCATCATCAGCCCAGGAAATTCTAGACCCCAAACCACATCGACATAAAAAAAAACCTTTCTCTTTCAATCACCGACACCCCATGTCACCAGATGCATTGATGCAGACTTTGTAACGCGCATTTAAGATTCGTATCTATTTCGATGCATTAGTGTATTTTTCGGCGGCTTGTTCCAATGTAATTGGACAGGATTTCTACACATATGCTGACGCAGCATTAACCTCTCCGGACACTCTGAGTACGTGGGCGGTGTCTAATTATAAGAGATGGGATTTTGACGTCTCGCCCCGAAGGTCTTCTTCCTTTATACCCGCTGCTAACG